AATGGCCAGGGACGAAAGACCGTTCGGAATTATTTCACCTGGTTGCCTCGTTATTCCTTCAATTTACCAAAGAATAGTTATCCTTCGATTCCCTCGATACGTATATATTTCTGCCGGATGACCTGCATAAGAATCGATGTAAACGAATTATCCCGCGTAGCTCTGTTTGCTAATATTTAACGGAGAATCAAGGAACGAAGGATTCTTCTCTTTCGACGCGTATTATCGCACGTTCGGTCGGCCTGATTTCCTTCGACATCGTTTCATCAAGGCTGAAACGGGAAAGATTTTTACGTATATATCAATTTTTGAAATAGGTCGTGTTGTCGTATCGTTATTCTGGTACGCGTTCGTTACAATTAACCGTATCGGACGAAACTGGCGAATGAAAACGATAACTGATCACCGTTGTTATTTTTATCATTTTATGTTTCCCGGTAAACTGATTTTTTTTTTTCTTTTCTTTTCTTTTTATATGTCGACTGCTGATTCAGAATAGGAAATAAATACGATTGGTAGTTATCTTTACATACATCGGACGATTCAATTTCAAGTTTATTCAGCTTTTGCAGCAACTTTCTAGTCGTTGAATGGATACATTGTGCAAACTTCCTGGTAAATTACGAAACTTTGCTTCAGTCGAAGAGGTGTAAAATGCACCCGTGGGAGATAGGAGATCGTTCGTCTCGCGGTATAAAAGACAGTTCGAAGCGTCTGACGATAAATGTACTTGTACTACTGCTTCCTGAAATGAATTTCAACGGTGTACGCGCGATAGCTTTGTCGGTGTTGTAAACGTATTTTCAGCATATCTCCCTTTATTCTGGTAATAACAATGCATTTGAGCGACATTAATCATTTATGAAATTGACGTTTCGAAATTTCATTTTCTCGAAAAGGAAGTCTGATTAAGCCTTCGAAGAACCCTTCCTTCCTTCCTTCCTTCCTTATTTCGTAGGATTGATTAAAATAACGTTAGAAGCATCGTAAGCACACTAAGACTTAGGGGCTAGGTCAGCTGTTTTGCTCATCGATGCTGGTAGAATTACGCCCATCGGGGCAACAACCATACGGTGGAGAAACGGGGATGGAAACAACGTGTTGCTTTGAACCGGTAACCAGATATCAAGCTTTACCAAATAATTATGGATGTTATAAGTTTCGAACGTGTTACTTGATTCTCTTAAAATCTCGTTAATGAATTATTCATGCTAATTAATATTTTTATATCGTCCTCGTAGGCATCAGTCAGACTTTGTTATACGCAAACGCCTATTAATCTGCGCCCAGATAGTTCAATCATAACTGTTCGTCTTCATAAAAAAAAGTCAATCCAGCTCTCGGGAGCGACGTGAAATGATTTTGAAATGAGATTTGCCAGCGAGAGATATTGCGGTGAAAGGTAAGGTGAAAAAGAAAATCACGAGGGTATACACTCGACGTGTTAATTTCATCTTGTAAATTGCGAATGCAAATTCTCGTTAAACGAACGTGTGCGGTCCTCGCGTGAACATTCACGCGAATACGATGTTAAATGAAATTATCGTTTGATCGATCGATAAAAGGGTGAAAAATGAACTTCTATCCAGTATTTTTCAAACAGAAGCAGTTTTCTTCGAATTAATAAGAAACTCTATCGAATTTCCATTAAGATTGCGCGAAGCGTGCTTGAAGAAAATTAAAAAAAACATGGTTTATCCTTAAATTATCTCGTGACGAGAATTTACTCGTCCAAGTTATAAATAAATTTTATCTTCCTCCTAGTGCCGGGCAGTTATTTGTTTAGGAGTTTCGGCTCGTTATCGATTAATCAATACAACGGATTAATTCGTACGCCCTTTCCATCTGCGATGAATTTCCGGTGACCTTAGTGAAATTCTCCTCACTTTACAATAATCACCGTAACGATTGTGGCTTTTGATGCATTGACAATTTCTCATCTCGCTGAAAATGTTACTATTGTTATTACTACTGCTATCACGACTTCTTATCGTTAAGTGCATCGGTGATTAATTCGTTATTCTGTAAAATTTAGAATCGTGACTCTCTCCATGGTCCGCCGTTCGAGAATTAAAAAAAGCATTAACTATATTATGTTTCTCACCTTTTTAAAATAAAAGTTAAATGATACAAATTAATTAAAACAAGATTGGTCTTCAATAACGCGAAATTGTGTATTTAATAAATTATTGATGCACTGTCTGCGTACGATAAGTTCGGTATAATTAATTTTCCCAAAAATCATTGATCCTCTAGTGACAAACAGTGACAGGCGGAATCCTTATTTATTAGTGGCGAGACTTTATCCTGCTGAAAAAAAAGGCGATCGTGAAACGGAGAATGGTATTAGCTTTATCTAACGCGAATTTGCATTTACAGGATTTCGTGATTCGTCTAAAGTACCGATTCGTATCCGTGTGAGTTTCCATGCTCGCGGGTGTACTTGGAAACACGACGATACAGTGAACGTTTGTTCAATTACGATCCTGGCTAATGGAACCCGACGGGATTCGGCTTAACGACTCAAAAACGAAACCGAATACCCTTCTTGATAACGATTATTAATCTTCCTTTTTTTTTCTCTCTCCGCGAACAGATTTTCCTCAAGAAAATTCTGAGCAAGGCTTAATTAAAACCTGTTTCAAACTTTCCGTCCTTTAAATCGTATTAAAAAGTGTCAATATTTGAACGAGACACGGCAGTTTTATTAAAACGTGCACCGCGGGACAGAATGTACACGATTTTGCTATTTTGATTATTTGTAAAATAAGAAAAAAAAAAATATGTACGTATCTTTTTTAACACAGTTTTATTTCGTTCCTTTGAAAATTTTCGCAGTCCTTCTCTTCAAAGTTTCAATTACATTTTTTTCAACAAGATTGTTACTTCAAAAGAAAATTACTGGTTTTTCGAAATTTCAAGGCGAGCCGTCAATCGTTGCCGCAGGTATCGCGTACACGGTTCTGGCAATGTTTTGAGAAAATACGCGTTTGAGGTTTAGAGAGATATGTTTTTTTTTAAATATCAGCATTGGGTTTTGCATATCAATTTTAAAACATCAAACTTTGTTTTAGAACGATAAACAAAAATTTCAATGTTTCTCACATTTTATCGTAGAATTATTTTCGAATGCAAATTTTTTGATTTGAACGTTTTACGTTAAAGAAGAAGAGAGAAATTGTTTAAAAATAATAAGAGGATGGTGAAATTCTTTCTCATTCCCGTTTCTTTAAATATTATTTTTTCAATATCACTCGGTAATTAAATCACGAAAATTTTTATTAAATATTCATAATGCGTATACGATTAAAGCAGGCTGTGATTAAGTTCTTAGCTGCTAGTGGCTCATCTGCGAATAAATTTGAAAGTTTCAGGAACAAAAAATACGACCTTCTTTTATGGAAAATCTTAAACGTGCCTGAAATTTTATTCTCGGAGCATAGAAATAAGCTGTTTTATTAAATTCAGCTATGAGGGACATTCTAATTTAGTGATTTCACGAGAAACATGAATAAACATATAATTTCAGTTGCAACTTTCTGTAACCCATTGGCTCCCTTTCAAAGGTTCATTTTCTTCGTTAAAAATGTAGTTAACTAGATGTTAGACCTGTTACAAAGGTATTCTAATTTCTTTTGTAAAATCTTATCGATCGGTAAAACAGCATCTCTTGCCGGTGAATGTACACTTCACCTTCCGGTCTGTCCATTTGCAAATAATTTCACGCTTGTTAACTTGCTGAATATTTTCCTATTCCCCACCCTTTCTTCTACTCCGGTTGTCGTCAGCGGTTCGTAATTAAGGTTCGCAGACGAGTTTAAGGTTCTCTTTAAATAGAGAACGACGAAAGCATACCGGCAGCGATACACCTTCTTCCGGCTTTTAAAAATGTATACCTGTGTATCGTGTTGCCACCTTAGGAACCATCCTGAAATAGCCTGAAACACATTCATTACCAGCAAAGCATATTCTTTAACAATTTTCTTTAATAAATTAATGTCTTTTTATTTAAAAATGTGCTATCCTCCTATCACAAGGATAAGATGGGTACTACGCACACACCGACTAACCTCCTGCTTTTATACCAGCCTGATTAGGACACGTGACCGCTTCGACCAATCATACGCGAGCTGGGCTGAGGCGCGACCAATCAGATTGCGTTATTCAGATAAGCCTTCTTTTAGCGGGAGACAATGCATCTTCATAAATATGTAGTCATTTTTTCTTTCAAAATTCTTAGATAATATATCAAATTATCTATATTCTATGCGTAAGAAAGGTACGATAAGGTCAAGTTCGATAGTAAATGAAACTGAGTTGGCGTTCCGATACAGATACTGACGATGTCGTCGGTAACATCATCATCGACGGGTTCATTAACACCGGGGGCTTCATTTACGCCTGGTAATTTAGGGGTTGCTCGTCCAGCTTTCCAATTACGCCGGTTCGTCGTTTGTAGAAATTCGTTGGTCTCTGTTAAATCCATTTTCTTCGTATTTCTTTTTTTTTTTTTTTTTTTAACAAGTACCCTTTTTTCACACGGATACTTTGTAATTAGTAGACGGTCGCGCAAATTGTTAATTAATAGTCAAATGGATGCTAACTAGAATGCTGCGCGTTAACAAGATTTCTCTGTTGTAGCAAATGATTGAACATTCGAGAAAATTACAGCAGCTGTTCTACACGAATAAATGAATTCTCGCATGTGTTAGATTTAATCAAACAAATAGTTGGCTTTTTTTTTTTTTTCAACTAGCTCGATACGATCGGTATGCGATCGAGCAATCGAAATGTCAGGAAAAATCGGGTCCGGTATTGAGTGAAAGGGAAAGTTGTAGGAAAAAAATAGAACTCATACGCTCGTTTGCATTTGTCGCTTATGCGTATGGTTAAACTAGAATATTCTGTAACATTCGTTACGCGCAATTTCCATAAGTCTAATATAAAATTAGGTTTGACGTTGAACGTTATACTGAACGTTTGCTTTTACTCTGTTTCAGATACGTTCACCTGTAAAGTTTAAAAAAAGAATGACGTTCATGAACGTCTTGATATTTCTGTTGTTCGTTACAATAGTAAGATCTCGTCCAATGTCTTATAGTACTTACGACGAAAAAGAATTGTCCCGAGATAATTCTCCATTTTTACTTCTGGTCGACCATCGGATTCCGGACTTGGAGGTATGATGATTTTTTTATAAATTTTCATTTTCTAAGTGTTTAGCTTTATTAATTTAAATTTTAACATTTGTAAGCTTTAGTATTCGAAAACTTCATTACAGTGGACTCTCGTTATATCGCCGCGAAGGGGGAAAATCCATCCGGAAGTCAAATCGCTCTCTGGCAATATAACGAGAGTCTACTGAATTCTAAATTGAAGTTACAAGTTTAGTTTAATTTATTCTTTTCTCTTGTATAAGAAATGGCAGAATAATTAGTCATTTATTGAATCTACGTCCCCGCATCAATTTCCATACTTTATATTATCTTGTATCTATAACGAATGATCGACGAGGGCGAATTGTCTGGTAAAGCTTATAACCACTGTATCATCTCGGAGGATGATGCATTCTCGAAGTTGGATGTACGTGCATCAAATAATGGTATTTGGATCGCATCGTCGTCTATCAGCTATTAGTTGGACGTGAAACGACCACGATATTCCCTTAGCGAATGCGATTGAATTGTAGAACGTGAATGGATCGTCGTATCTCACCTGAGTCGTATAGAAAATCAAACTTTACGGTCAGCTCTCTGCATTCCGGTTTTATTCAACGTTCCATACAAAGATCATTGAATTACACCAGCAAGTATGGACCCAGCTGGAAACCTTCTGAAGAAGATATGGCTTTGGTAACCAGTGTATAGAGAAATTTTTATCACACACTTCATGGGAGGAGGAATTGTTCTTACGTTCACTGAAGAACAATTCCCAAAGTGTTTTTCAAAATGAAAAAGTGGTAGATAATTGGAAATGTAATTAGAGATTCCGTTTAACAATGATTTCTTGCATTCCACTCTATGGAATAATATATGCAGGTGTATCTGAGGAACCCTCGTTTCCCATTCTCTGTTCATGTTTAATTAGCGATCACAGAAGCATCGTTTCTCTGCCATTATTATTTTCAAGATAGTTGTTCTCTTATGAAATACCTGCTTAAATCGTTGCACGGTTCGTTCAATTAAATTCATGATGATAAAACACGCCCGTTGGAAGAGATATAAACAGGTTTAAAGACTTTTAAAGGTGCTCATTAAAAAACGGCTGATTCTTAAATATCCGACCTTACACTTGCGTGTGACGCTATCAGAATGCGTTTCGAAACATTCTTCGTATACTTTTATGCAATTTTCGTTAAAAGTGGCAGTATAAGCGGGAAAATGTTTCATGGTGATAGGCTTGCAAGGTCCGTATCACCGTGTACAAACACGAGGAGGTGGCATTTTATATTTTACGTTCGTTAATATGCATTTATAACTCGCAATGAACTTTAACTGCAACGCGTGATACTTTTCCTTCCTTTCATGGTTTAACCATGCCGAAAGTCATAACTATTCAGTCGCGTGAAATTCTTTATATTTTCTCCTTTTAATTATGTAAATTCAACCGAAAACAACGTTGTTTTTTTTTTTTTTTTTTTTTTTTAATTTTATCTTACGGTATTATAACACTGAAAGTTGTCCGTTGCTCCAGGGATTAATGTTAAATACTTTAACACGATTAAGGGGTAGGCGCGCACGAAGACGACCTTCGTTTTTGTCCCATTCCAAAGAAATTGTCCATCGCTTTTTCCCTCTGGCAAAGGAAAAATTAAGTGCTTCATAAAAAGCGAGGGTAAAGATCGTATAAGAATACTTTCATATTTACATCGGCTCCGGCCGATCCATTACTTAAATGACCTCGCAAACTTTAAATGAATGAATTCTAATTATATCCTTACCGAATATCTTCCAAGATTATTAATTAAAAAAAAAATGATTGTTAATATCGATCGTTCAAGCGAAGTGATCGATCATTTGATTCGTTTTTCGGCAAATATAAATATCAACCATCTGTCCTGAGAGTCGGCGACGCACGGTACTTGTTGTTAAACCCTTTATTCTGGGACTCGAGACGTTCGAGACTCCCTCCGTATTTGTGCATTATGCTTCCCTATAAGTGTAACTAATATAATTAAAGAAAAGTTTGATTATTTTCAGAACGAGATGTTTGACTCGGGCAACGATCCTGGATCAACGGTGGTTCGAACCAAACGAATTGGATCTTTGTCAATCGTGGATTCCTTGGACGTTTTACGGGAAAGGGTGCTCTTGGAACTTGCACGACGCAAGGCGTTGCAGGATCAACGACAAATTGATGCTAATCGACGTATTTTGGAAAGTATTGGTAAAAGATCATTACCTGTCTATAACGGGGATCGAAAGAATGGGATGGAATATATGATTGAACATGAAAGAAAGAATCAGAACGTAACACCGGAAAGAATCACTGGTGGATTTCAAAATTGGCTACAAAGGGACGATTCCGTCTTTCGAGAAAGACAAGACGGGCCGACTCGAAGGGTAACTTATTTCTGAAGTAGTTATTCATAATCGTATGGGATATTGAATTTTATCTTACAGCTTGTATTTTCATGATAACGTGTTTCAGGTACAGGCAAACGAATTGCATTTACTGTAATTGACTCTGAAAGGCAAATATAAAAAGAAGAAAAAAATCAACTATCGCTATATTACGGTTTTTTATCTAACAAGCTAATGAATTGCGTATAGTTTATGTATTATTCGTCATACCCCTCAGGTTTTACATGTATGTGGTACATTTAACGGTGTGCAGGAGCCATAATTTAATAGCGTTACATTCATGAATTATATGGAAATTAACTCGTACGTCGAGCACAAAGTAATTATTAGCATGTTCGCATAAAATTTCCAGTAAAGCAGGATTAGTTCAAAGGATAGAATGTATCAGTATTCTTCTGTATATTTTAATTCTTTTAATAGCTAGTTTAATTGTAAGCATCCTGATGTGGGTTCGGAAAAGGAGGGAAATAGAAATGATAAATGAATAAGAAATATGGATTTTATTAAAAATATATGACTAAAGCTGATATTGATTATCCAAGCTTCAAATATATTCTATTTCTTCCTTTTCAATTATGCAACACCATCAAACAGAACAGTATTATATATTGTGATTTGTTCCAGTCTGCCCAAAACAGTAATCTCCACGCTTAATATTTGATATCCAATGTTGGATACATGTAACTTAATAATGTATGTTTCTTTATGTTAATGTTTTAAGTTTTAAGCACTGAACGTGTATTAATGAGGTGTAGAAAGTATATTCATCACAGGTTTTGTTTATAATAGTAATGAGTTCAATCAAAAAATAAATGTTCCAATGAAACATTTCAAGCTCTTTAACGCGAATCGCTTTTGTTTCATTTATTTTATTATTATGATTAAACAAATATTGTGACAATAGAATTCGACTACTTTCAGTGTTACCAAAGAAATGCCATATTTTGCGGATATACTCAAAATAATCGGTCAATAGTTCCTTTTGTATGCATGATAAATTAATATATGTATATGTTGTGTTTTCAGTATTCGTCTTCAAATTGTATTCATGTCCACGTCGAACATCGAAGCGTAACTTATTTGTTAAATGTTCTAGTTTTAGTCTTAAGTGTTAATATGTTGTATTAAAAATGTAAAACAACATTAATGTTTTCACAATTAATATAAATGTGAGAAACTTGTGATCATCGGGAATAATTATATTTCTTTTTTTTTTTGTATTTATTGAATGTAATTCCTGTTTTTAATTTCACCCATTTTAATCTGGTTCTTCATTGATTTTTGCTAATCATTCCCCTGGCTGTACATTGAACATAAATGATCTTTAGGACTATCGCGAGAACATAGAAAATTTACAATATAGTAATGAAACAAGTTAATGCTTCTGATGTTTACGTTAATATTAGAATATAGACATACCTACACGCGATTATTATTTATGTGTTATACTATATAACTTGTTGCTAAAAACAAAAAAACGTGTATAAGAATAACTAAAAATGTTGTATGTAATATAGGTAGAACGTATTTATTTTAAAAAATTGTACAATATTGTTGTTTATTTATTTTCACCTCGATTTTTTATGTCTATGAATTAAATTAAACGATGCATAGTTAAACTGAAATAAATTTCATTTAAAATATGTTTATCATGCATCATAATTTTCACCTCTTTCATACATTAAAATATAAAAAAATGTAGTAAAAAATAAGTCGTATCGCTGTACTATTCTTTATAAAAGTTTATTTTCTTTTTTTACTTATCAGCAATGTTTATATAATACTTAGTATTATTACAATTACAACATGTGCCTCATTCACTTCCAGCGAATGAAGATAATATTTCATTTTTCTCTGAAAATATGACTGTCAAACTGTTGCAAACTGTACAATGGTCACAATCGAGAATATTAATGTACAATTATTTTTGTGAACATTTTCTAACAGATTATCGGGAAGATAATTAAAGGAAATTTATTATTTTCATTATATATATGTTCAAATTCTATCAACTCGTAAACTATTAAACCATTTTAGTCCTATATATAAATAATTAATACTCTATTAAATCATATTCAACAAGCACAAATAGTTCGAATAGTTGTATAACATCGCCAGTATTTTCGAAAATGAAGAACCGAATAAAAACAAAATAGAAAGCAATGAAGGTAACTTAGAACCGTAATGAGTCCGAAAAATTAAGTATAGTCTATAGTACGATTGCGATCACAGTTTACGAAGGTCAAGTACAAACACGCTCCCATCGGATGCAGAAGCACCAACTTTATCTCCTCGACTATTCCAACACACTTCGAAAATTCCTCCTGTACCTTTGTAACTGTGTACCAGTTGACCACTCTGCAGAATTAAATACAAGATAAAGTAAGTAAAAAATTATGTTATAATTAATGTATAGAAGGCTATCTTACCTGAGTGGACCAAATATGAACACATTTGTCAAAACTTCCACTAGCAAGAAATTTACCATCTGGACTAAATGCTACACTATACACTGGCTCCGTGTGTTTCGTAAGTTTGTGGATGCATGCACCTCTTTCTACATCCCATAACCTTACGGTAGAATCAAATGATGCGCTAGCTAATGTTAAATTCATATTTGGATTATGAGTTCCAGGGCCAGTTGGCGACCATTTAATAGTATATATTTCTTTGCTGTGAGCTTGAAGATCGTGCACCCATGTATCTTGTTTCATTGACCAAATTTTAAGACTCATATCATCCGAACAACTGGCCAACAGATTGCCTTGAGGATCCCATTTTATAGCATTAACTTCATTCTGCAAACAAAATAAAAATGTTACTTAATTAATTCGATTTATAATAACAAGTATTATTGTTTTTTAGGTACACACCGTGTGTCCTTGGAAGCTCTTGATTGGTTTATCAACGTTAAGCTTGCATACATGAATACACTGATCTGTGGAACAACTAGCAAATGATGTATTTGTTTGCCAATCGACATCCAAAGCAGGCGCACAATGAAAACTAAATTGTTGAGTACACTGTCCACTTTCAGCATCCCATATAATTGTTGTTTTATCGACACCAGCGCTCAATATATAGTTACCGCGTTTATTCCATTTTAATGCGAAAATTGGACCTTTGTGCTGCCCTAAGGTAGAAGCTAATCTACCGTCCGTTGTCCAAATTCGTGCATAACCATCGTAACTTCCGGTTGCTAATAAGGTACCGTCGCACTGAAACGATAGAGAACGTTTAAATATTTCCTATAAAAATTCTAGAAATAAAAGTAACAATCATTGTACCTTCCAATCCAATGAAGTAACATCTTTGTTACTTGGAACTTCGGTACCACCCTTTTGTATACAGTGACGAAGAACGAGCTGATTCGGTGCCTGAGAATTATCAGACATATCCCAAATACGAGCTGTGCTATCACCAGAACCAGATGCCAAAAGATCAGTTGTTGGATTCCATGCGCATATGAAAACTTCTGATTCATGACCACGCAATTTTGTAGCTTTACTTGCTGGAATTTCAACAGCGCTAGCGGTAGTTCCTGTTCCTGTTCCTTGTTGCTGTTCATCCACTTCCATTTCTGTCCTATCTCCCGCTCTCTCATTTGTACCTACACCTTCATTGGAGGTGACAACTGTGAACAAATCCATAGATTAACAATTATCAAAGGTCTTTCTTTTTTCTTTTTCTTATAATCATATGTATCAAGAATATTGTTTGCTCCTAGTTTACAGACATATTATAAATTAATATTGAGCTTCATCTTGCCATATCAGTGTATATCCTAATCTTAACAACATACATCATTTAATAGATTAATAAAACATAAAAATTTATTGAACTCTGCTGTCACTGTTATAGCAAAATATATTAGCTCCTAATAGATCCATAAACTAAAGCTGTCCTTTAATGTACCTGGTGTATGAAGGAGGTCTATAAAATTTAATTACTTTTATAAACCAGGGTGTACCAGGATATTAAAATAATTGAGAATATAAAACAGAGTAAGATAAAATTACCTTCTTCCCCATTTGTATCTTGTACTTCTGTTTTCACCTGTTGTTTCTGCTGATTAATCTGATTTTGCCTTGATGCAACAACATCAGGCATAACAGCATCGATAAGGGACAATGATTCCACCATTCTTTGTTCAGTGCCATCTTCACCTATTGATATCTCTGCTTCTGTATACTGTAACCCTTTCTGAAGGATTGATAAAAGTGCTGCTGGTGGTACTAATGCTCCATTTATATTACTCTGTGATATATGTGATTCTATACCAAATGTGTAGGCAGAATGTTGAAATCCTATAGAAAACAGATAAAGAAATATTAATTAATAAGAAAATGATCAAATGGACAATTATAGTGAACGTTATAAATACATTTCTGTATGTATTCAAACAATTGTATCTCTCTATTATATTTAACTTACATTTCTTAATAATCCACAAAGCAACAAGTTGTTACTTACTATAAACAGTTATCACAAAAGCAACATAAGGATTATTTAAAAAATAGATCTGTATAAACAATAACAATTCAAATCTCGTTGTACACAATTACTTGGAAAGAGGTTATGAGTACTTGAAAAAACATACCGGACTCTTGCAGGTATCGGTAAACCAAGAAATTAACTTCATCGCTAGAGAAGCTCATCGTTCTTAGCCTTCACGATACTAGCACAACATATTTATAGGAAGTTCCGCCAAAAAGTCGCTTTCATTCAGGTCGGACGCCGAGATTTGCCGCGTCGAGGTCGCTGTGGAAGAAGAACTCGTATACATCATACGCGAAACATTACCATTGGTCACAAGATACGAACCGGAGATGTGTTCTAAAATTCTACATCATTAATTTCGAGTAATTCCATCTTATTTTAGAACTGTTCAAAAAAAAAAGAAATAAACTAACAGAATCGATTCATGTAAATGTTTTCAGCTGGATTATGAAACGGCGTGACCGTATTTGTATAATAAAGTATAATAATGATGTAGCAGCAATAATATGCAATAATACTTTACTATACATAGAATAGTTTTTAATTAAAAATAATTTGTGAACACTGTTTCAGTAAACATTGCGCGTTATGACCGAAAGTTTCAAGTATTTTAATGATGAATACCATTTACAGAAACTTGCCGATAAGTCTGCGATGTTTAACCCTGTTTACAAGGAATTCGATACTTCAAAGAGGTTTGTTTTGTTAAGAAAATTAAATACATTTTATTACGTATTTCTTACGTATTTATTAAATGAATGGTACATTATAAAAGGGTTAACCTTTATATACAACAGATTTCATAATCATTTGTTTGTAATTTTAAAATGGTCAGTGCACATATCCAAATTTGAAAGATATTTATAATTATACTCAATTATGATTAATTATAATTTAACGAAATTCATGTTAATTTAACAAATTGTTTTTATATACTTGAATCATTCATTTTGTATAACCTTAGCTCTAAATCCATGAGCACGGATTCCCGGTATTCCTTTGTTAGTTTAGTATTTCTGAAATTTGTCTTTCCTAAAATACATGTTTATCTTTTCGTCATTTTTCTGTTCATCCGAATTTGAAGATCATTATAATTATTATAATACAATGGTTATTCAAGATCTCCAGAGATGAGTTACCATGTACCCTTCTTCTTTCGGATTATGTTTGTTAATATGTTAAGTACCATGGGGGTCTTTGGTGACCAACTGATATAATTTGACCATGGAATTAAAAGAGAATTAAAAGTAACATTAATATTATACTTATTATGCAAAGTAAGAAGCGGAAAATTTAAATTGAAAAATGGAACGTCCGTAACCCGCATAATAATTGTATAGTGTGCTCTACGGCTGTTTTTACTATGCAGTCAACCTGTCAAATATTGATGTCATGTTTGTATTTTTGATGGTATCGCCGCTAAAATTTTGTTTTTTGATCATATGACCTAGTTTTCTACAATAAAAGCCACGTGTAATTACAAAAAGCATAATTATCAAATCTGGGCACCGGAGAAGCTGATTGGTCAGTCCAAGGTCACGAAATATACCGTCCATGCCTCGAAGAAACAGGCGGCAGTGCCGTTTCTGTTCTCTTGGTATATAAGTGCATAGTTGTAAGGAAAGCGCGGCAAGTGATCCGCGTTGTTTTTTTTCTGTTATTAAAGTTGCTGATATATTCTTTTCAACTTGTTTGAAGGCTCGATTAGGAAAATGACTGTAGAAATCGATAAGGAAGAGTTAAAAAAACGATTGACGCCGATACAGTGGCACGTCACACAGGAAAAAGGGACCGAAAGGTATGTGACGTGAATTTAATTTGCCTCTTACGGAACTGGGTATGCATCACTTCATACGTGTTTCTTTTATAAAGCCACATGCATGTAAGTATTTTTATTTACATGAAGAAGTTTTTATGGTCATGGCCTAAGATTTTCTGGAATTTTGTACTTTTTCAATTACTACCTAAGCAATATTTTTCGATTGATTATGATATTCATTGCATATGTTTCAATAGTGATTTCATGCAACTTATTAATAAGTTTTCTGTGTTGCAACATTTATGAGTAATGCCACAATTTTGAATTGTGATGAACAGTTTCAATTTTATTGATTTTTATTTCTTATGTGTAACTTTTGATTAATAATCTATTATTAAAAATCTGAATTGCATACTTTAAAATATATTACAACACTCGTGATACAGTTTTCCAAAAATATTGTCTGTATGGTGGAAACTGGGTTTACTTTTAGGTTGACATGAGACCAAAATAACTTTTTCAAGAGCATGTGTTGGCTTGACTTTGCGTCATGACCAAGCAGTTTAAAAATAAAGTATAGGTCTTCATAATTAACTTCCTACTATACAAGCTACTTGATGCTTCTAACCTTTTCTATTTCCTTATACAGACCTTTTACCGGTTGCTACAACAAATTCTATGAAAAAGGCACGTATACCTGCATAATCTGTGATCAAGAATTATTTTCTTCTGATACAAAGTATGACAGTGGCTGTGGTTGGCCTGCGTTCAATGAAGTATTGGATCAGGGACGAGTCAAATTAACCAAAGATACCTCACACGGTAAGGGAATATATGAATTTTAATTTTAATGATAATTCTTTTAGAATTATGCTCGGACTCTTAGTACAATAACACAGTATTTATTACGCATACAATTCTACATTAATTCAAAGTATGTGCTTAAATGGTACATAGATAAACTTTGCTGTGAAATTTAATTGATAAATGATAACACTGAATGCTATCATCATAAAGGTTTTATCTGTTTACCATTTTTAAACATTCTTCATTTTTTCTTACATTCGCTCTATCACAAGACCTCTCCTAAACTCTTAGTTTTGATATTCCTAAGCCTTCCACAATTATTACATTCTATTTAATTTTTTATGATATTTTATAAATAGCACAAATGTATGGTTAAACTATTACAATTTCAGCTATTAAAATGTTATGATACATTTTACAATGGTACTTCATATATGCATGTAAATTATATTATTAAAATTTTATCAGTTTTTTTCTTTCATAGATACATGTATCTTTTTTAATGTATAAGAATAAAATAAGTTGCATAGTTATAATATTATTATTTTTATAAGTTTTTCCCAATTGTATTGGTATAAGGAAGGCAGTACTCCTTTTGTCCTTTACCTTGCATGTTATCGCTTAGAGTGTGATTTGTGTTAGACTTACATCATATATTATATACTAAGATCATAGTTACGTATTACAATTAACGTTTTTGTATTTCATATGGAGGAAGAAAATTAACATTTCTTATTTTTGCATTATATAGTCTTTTAACATATAGCTTCTGCTTTACATTACATTATGATATTAATATGATTATTATTATTACGAATTTGGAGCATAAATTATTATGTTTTGTGATATTCTGAAGCAGCTTCTTTTTTAAATATAATTAGATATTTGAGTGATACTACTTTATTATAATATAAATAAAAATCTTCTAGTAAAGGTAATATAAATTATTTCTATGTGCTTTAAATAATTTGTACTTGAAAATGATAAATATTATTTTAGTTATTTTATTAAGTTACCAAGACAGTTAAATATAGAAGAGCATTTTGGAGAACTTCAATTGGATGAGTAAACAAAGGACCAATGTTATGGGTATTGATTAGAACATGTAGTCACTTTTTCTTTTGTATGTATTATTTTTATTAAAATTTATTTTTTTCCTTAAAGTTATTTAGATTTGTGGTTTTAATACTTATCGCAATCGAACTATTGCTTTTATTAATATTAGTTCATTTGTCTTGGTCCTGCTATTGCTGGAAAAACATTTAAAGTGCGCAAATCAAGGTGTTGGTCTCTACGTTTAATCACACTCTATTCTATTTCCTTTGTATTCCTATTGCTCCGCTACCACCACTTCACTCTCACCATTGACACACGAAAACTGCGTCGACAATTGACGTACAGTTGGTGGAAATCTACTACTGCTGATCGCAAACCCAGATATGGTGCGGACCGAGGTGACCTGCTCAAAGTGTGGTGCACATTTGGGACACGTATTTAACGATGGGCCGAAACCTACAAGGAAGCGGTTTTGTATCAACTCAGCATCCATAAACTTCCATCCAGCAGGAGAAGAGAAGAAGCCAACATCGTAAAAGTGATAGGAACAAATTTTCAATGGGACTTTCAAATATTACAAATTAATTTTGTAGAAATTGAAATTACATTTTCCTGTAATTACTTTGTTGTTCTGTGAAAGTTTTGGTACTTTTTCAAAAAGCAAACATGTTAACAACAAATATTTTTTAACAAAATATTAACATTTATTTTATGTGTGCTATAAGCAACTATTTATTATCCATATGCCATGCGTTAGGAAACATAGATTCATTATAAAGAAAAAAATATGTATATTTACATATTATGGGTTGATAAAATATATCAGATTAACTTTTGCAATACTGTACTCTTAAAATAGATCTGATTCTGTACATACACTCTAAATGAACGTTAGATAAAACATTTAGCGTGTATAAAAGATCTGATAAGTTAATGTAAAATGTGTAAGAAGTAACTTATAAAAACATTCTATTATTTTTTCATGTTATATGTGATGAATATAATATGTAAATAATGATTATTATTTATTTGTCTTAATACACCAAATTATATAGAACGATTATTATTTTGTAGTTGCTATAGAAAATTCTTGACTATTTAAGAAAACAACAATTATGATCTTTAATTTTATATGATTAGTATTAGTGTAATATTTTATAGAATTAAGTGGAAGGAGGAATATCATTAGAAGAACAAGAATTTTTTTTTGTTATAAAATGTTTCCTTATATTGTAACGTTTTAAAACAAACTAAAACGTGTTACAGTACAATATATACGCAAATTCTAGGCATTATTTTTACAATAATTCATTATTCATTTACTGCTTTTCTTTACTTTTAAATTCGACATTGTTAAGTATTAGCTTTCCTGAGAAATCAGATTTTTACCAAATGTTTCCCTGTAATAATGAATGCCAATTTCATTTACAGAGGTACAGTTAAAACGGAAATTTTTATTGAAAAATTGCAAGCCGAAAATTGCCGATGACACATGTAAATAAAATAACGACTCATTACTAGGCCTGATTTTCTTTTTCTTTTTTTTTTTTAATAATTGAGATCTCAAAGCATTTTCAAAAACATCATAAAAAGAGTATTGAAAACATGCGTATACATACTTAATCTGATTTGTGTAGGAACCTATTTTATAGTTCTAAACTGACAATAATACGTTTCTTATGGGGATACGTAAATGCACTTGGAACGATAACCGAGATAACGATGCCAAAACAGTTTATACTTGTCCACATTTTAAGGTCTTGTAATACTATTTTATTTTTGCAATAACAAAATAATAACAATTACTTGAATTTCGCGAATAATACTTAACTTTTATTACAGTAAGGCATATCAATACAACTTTGTACTTTTGTTTATTCCATAAATAAATACTGAATATTCAAAGTACTTGTATGCCTAATTAAGGTTTATTCATTTTTCAAAAATGTGGACAAGTCAACTTTGCACCTTATTCGACTCGGTTTTGCGAATAAAAATAAATCTTATAGATAGCTGCTTGTAGCTGAAATATACTTAATAACTGACGCAGTAATACAATGACATAAAATGGACGTTATTTTTTTTTTTTCTAAAGATATTTGTGAAAATGCAGGACCTCGTTCAGTACTTCTGATCGAGTTAAATGTCAATTTTGACCCTGAATTGCAAGTTTCTTTTACACAAATGTATGTTTTTTTTTTTATTTATTAATACTAGACGTGCACAGTTATTTTGTTTTCTATACCTCCTAAACACTGCTCACAGTACCTAAATAATTTGGAGCAGATGCTGAAATGGAGTAATGTAACAGTTCATATTTTCGCGCAATACTGAGACAAATTTCATACAATTAAATATTATATAGTCCCTGATCCTTTCACAGGTAAATACACATTTATCCTTCAGCATACAGCTCCAAATTTAGGTGTAAGCGCAATACAAACTGAGCTGCTTCGTCTGTCAAGTATAATTAGACATTATTGATTATTATAAAAAAAACTAATCAGGCTTTTTAATATTACGAAAACAATAAACTCAATAGATAATGAATATATTATTACATATACGATCATTCGTTACCAAACGATGTATGCTTTCATTCTTTTTTTTTTCATTTTTTTTTCTTTTATTATTATTATTTCTTTTACTTTATGCATAATATGTCATTAATCTCTTCGATAGCTATTATATTTCTCACGTGGCGTTCTTTTAGTATTAATGTACGATAAAATCCTATACATAATGAAGATGATAAAGAATAGAAATGACAAGTTCGAAAATCTGTATTTCTTAAACTAAGAATATCCCAAGGTTTCTTTTTTCAGTAATATATGTTTAAGACATAATACAATTAGGAAAGACATTATTACATTTAATGTAGTACAACCATCTAGAAACCTTGTTTTTTTTCTTTTCTTTATATATGAATATTATGAAACAATAATCTTCTGTTGATTTGTATGTATGCATTTGCTTAGCTTTAAACAAAATATTAAATCATTTCATTGACGGTTCAAGATTATAAGGAATCTAGCGCGAGTTTTTTCACGTGTCTAAACATGACAAGACAGGCACTTTATAGTGTCACAAAATGCTCCTATATCTGAACCTTGTTTTAAAATTTCGTCGATCATCCGTTCACTTCTTGCAAGACACGTTAGAGACACAACTTACATTTGACCTGTAATCGAAGAACACACGTAACTGGACAATTAGCCCATAAAAAGATGTTCTTATAACTATATATATATATATATATATCTTAGTAACAAGGTCAATATCCCAACGTGTCTAATCAGCGATGCAAATGAGAAAAATTACTTATATACCTTATCTTACAATTATAAATGAATAGCGTTAAATAAGATTTCGCATGTATTAAAATTTATCATAAATTTCGTTATATGTGAAATCAATTTTTTTTTCTGTACTATATATACACATTAACATAATGCAAAAATTGCAGTGTCGAAATATTTTTTTTTAAAAATCTATTAAAACTTCAACTTAAATATAACACATAATGATGTCTGCTAACATTTAATGACAAGAACGTGATTCTTGAGAACGTTTAAAACAAGTTAGGCTATCGCTTATTATATCTACGTCATACTGACAGACCAAAGACTGAAAACATATTGCTCTGCTCTCCATAACTTCGTTCAAAAAATATAAGTCTGACACGAAGACCAATTTTTCTTCTTCTTCTACGATTTCTTGTTAAACCATAATAATATATTAGAATAGGTCCTATGTACTTGTTCACATTTCTTTATGATATTATCTAATAAGGTTTTTTGCTATAAATAATGTGTGTTTGTAGCTAACTCTGATCTTCACATTTTAGAGTCAGTAATACTAGTTTTATATCTTTAGAAAATAACTGACAGTCACTTGAAAATCCTCGATACCAGTTTAATATTGGTAGAAGAGCTCTCCAGGCAACAACCCTACTCGTACAATTTATTCTTTATCTTGAAGACTATTTTTAATAAGACATTATAGCGAGCTCTTTGTAACCAATAAAAACTTGTCGAGGAATATTAGATTTCTGCCGTCAGATCGTTCACAGTTCTGATTTAACTTTACCTCCTCGCAACATGCGAGAATCGAGTAATTTAAAAACTTTGAAACCATTTCTCGATACTTTTTTAAGGTATCGGATAAGTTCTATCTATCTATGACCTATATATATATTGTATACACATATAATACATATAATATATCTATAAATTACAGATATGTTACATATATTATATGTATATTTATATATTTATATATGTTTATTATTTATTATATATTATTGAATTATTGTGCCGTTCCGTTTTGGGAGGGTGATTCATTATTTTCTTGTAAAATTATTAACTTTTTTTTTGTAATCACGTTGTATGATCACAAACACCACTCTTCTAATGACCTTTAGCAGCTTCCTTTGCCGCCATTATTAAAGGTGTTAAAGAAGCAAGTGGCCTTGCTAGTTTCAGAAAAGGATGCTGCAATTTATCATAAAAGTATAAATTTTATTAACTATTTATTTCATTAATTGGCTCAAACGTAACACGTAATAAATGTACCCTGTACAAATGTATATTGTTAGAATTACCTTGAGTAATTCTGAAGCAGCCGATCGTTTCTCCACTTCAACTTCTAAACATTGATCTAAAAAATCTTGAAAAATTCCTGATAATTTTTCTTTCTCTTTAATTTCAGGTTTTCCATTTGTTGCAATTAAATACAACGCTCTCAAAGGATTTTCGTTCAAGTATGGCGGTTCTCCTTCTATCATTTCAATAGCCATTATACCCAACGACCAAATATCAACCTACGTTCAAATTATTTCTGAAGATTGCAATATGATGAATTCAATTCTTATCGGAGTGAATATATTTACCTTTGGACCATACTGTTTTCTCGTAACTACTTCTGGCGCCATCCAATATGGTGTACCAACCATCGTAGTTCGTTTACTTTGTTCCGGTGAAATTTGTGCACAAAATCCAAAATCTGTTAGCTTTACTCCGCCGTCTAGCCCGAGCAGGATATTGTCTGATTTAATATCCCTATGTATAACTTGGTTACAATGAAGGAACTCCAAAGCTTGCAACACTTCTCTACACACCGCTGCTATTTGACCCTCGTCCATACATGTCTCTGTTACAACATCCGTTAAACTACCACCAGGTAAATATTCCATAACTACCCATAATTCCTCACCCACGAGGTAACTATCCAGGTAGTTCACAACATTCGGATGTTTGTTCTCCCGCATAACTAATATTTCATTTATTATTAACTCTTTCTTTGGCTGTTGCGAAAGGTTCATTTGTTTTATTGCAACTTCCATTCCCGTTGATGTTTCAATTGCTGTGTATACTGTTCCCGAAGCACTGAAGGAATAAACATGAAAAATGTTTAAACTCGTTAAAGATATTCCTCGAGATGAACCTGGTACGCTATAACTTACCCTTGTCCTATCTTTTCCATTTTTGTATATTTTCTATTCGGATCACCTACGCTTACGATCGTTCTTAGTTTTTCTAATATTTCATCGTCCGACATTTTTTTCTTCCTAGCTTTGTCACTTTGGGTTGGTCTCGTTTGATCAGTTGTCGTTGAGGTGGGAGTTGCCTGATTCTTATTTCTATCCAGCTGCGATTGATGCGGTTGTTGCGGTGTACCATTTCGTTGAGGTGATCCTAGCGTAGTAGTTAATGGTGGTGGTGGTTCTTCTTCTATCGGTTTCGTATACTGTTATAAAAGAATTTTACTCTTTAATATTTATACGAGGATATAAAATAATATTGAATGGTAGATCGTCGATTGTAAACATTACGTACAATTGATTTTGTACGCTCTGGCCTAGCAGAAATCGGTGGTGGCGGAGGTTCATCCTCTTGTTCAGAACTAGTTGCACAAGCATCGGTTGGTGTACTACTCGGGCTACTGCTACTTACTCTGTAATTTTATTGTTTCTCAGTACGTATTAAAATATATCTGTATTAGATATTGATTTAAATGTACAAAAGACTCACCTGCTCAGTGAATGTTGGGAATGAGAACTTCCAGAAGCTTGTGACATTGCTTGTCCACGAATATTTCCTACACCTGTTCCAACACCTATACCCATACTTCTAGGGCTACTTGCTCTTTCGATAGGAGCTAAAAATTAAAATTTAGTGTTTTTAAGTTATTAATGTACACGTAAAAAATTGATCCTAAGAGTAATATTATTAGCTTACCAACTACTCCAACCATTTTTGTTGTTGTCATGTACTTGGAACCTTTTGTTTCTTTACTGCTACTATCATACCAATTTAAAACATCTAATACAGCTTGTGGATTCTTCTTCTGTTCTTGTTTACTGATGTTACTAGACATAAGCAACCTGGCCCAAGCTTCTGGCATTCCCTAGGATCAAAGATTATGTTTTAAAACAATCGATATTAATGTTACATCTACATATTTAAGGCGGGAATAAACTGATACTAGATACAACGTTTATACTGTTATTAATCTCAAAGTTTTCGAAGCTATGAGAAAATCGTGCAAATATAAAAACATTTTGAGAATTCAATCGGTACCAGGAAGAAATAGTAAGATTTTAAGCAGTCAAACGAATGTTAAATTTCATTCTGCAAGAAAGCAATAATATTAAATGCAACGTTGACTAAAGCATCTATCAATCTACTAAAGCAATTATGCTTCTAAACTATGATAATTCCTAAATCGTAAATAAATAAAGAAAATAGTAACTCAATACTCTTAATTGCAACAAAAACAAACAGTAAAACCAAGTGTATGTATAATAAAAACTATAGGTAAATTATCTTTGTGGTCATTTTGAGATTACTTACTTTTAATGGCAGCTTGAAAGAAATACGTGTCATGTTAGTTTTTCATGTGAAAAAATAATAGGTATAAGAAGCATCAGACAAATTACCAAATTACTTTTCCACAATGTCCATACAAGTGTGAACAAGTGATGAAAATTTAAGTTTTTCAAGGTATGAAAAATCCATCTGAATTTTATATTTTCCATAAAAACAATGTTATCCTGATACAGAGTTGATGTATCATTAAACAATGTTTATTTGGATATTCCATACCATCGTAAGAGCAAAGCAGGAAGCGAGTGCATTTTGAACAATGATAATAAGTTACAAATAGCAAGTAGACTTACTGTAAATTCACCAGTAACAGCATCAAATCCGACGTGTACAGTGTGTTCAAAATTAGTGGGATAACTGATATTCGGTTTGTCCTTGTTCTCCTTTACCTTCATTTTGCTTTTTAAGGTTTTTTTCTTACGCTCATCAGAATCAGGTTCTTTAGGTAGCGGACGCATATCCACTGGTAAATTAGGTGCTGATTCACCTCTGAAATATATTTAAAACTTATTGTTAATCAATCAGATCAAATAGCTTTCTGTGTTTACAAACATTATGTTTGTTCTTTTCATATAAATTCATACAAGAAAATTTATAAAAAATTACATATGATTATTTAGGATCAATTATTAGTATACAAATGATATATACATGTATGTGCATATCATATATTATAATCATAAGGTACTTTAGTATAACTGCGTATAGAGACTTAAAAAAATGGTCTCCCACATCAGAATGTCATCGCGTCTGAACTGTAAGATTTTATTTTTAGCAACCACCAAATTAGTGTCTGTTCCTCTATTTTGGGGGGGATGTAGACTTCTACATATTGCAGACAAAATAATAAGAATGCATAACTTAAAGCCAACCTTTCATAGCATATAAATCCAATACAATTCACTATTATATTTATGATAGTTTAATACAAAATCAACTGAAATGTAACTCCTATTAATTTTAATAGATTTGTTTCTCCAAAATTTAATACTATTAACAATAGTTCTAAGGAAGTACGATATGTATTATTAAATATTGAACATGTTATTAGAAACTTAAATTACCTGTTTGATGTAAGTCGCACAGGAGGTGCAGGGGGTTTATCCTCTTCATCTGACATGTTGTCCCTGCTTCTGTCTCTTTGTTGCCAATCTATCTTATGTTGCTGTGCGTCTATTATTTAAAGGCTGGTTTAATACTATTACTTCCTACCACAGTCGTCTTAGTTATTGTTATATTACACAAATTTGAAAAGATTAGGGGTTCAAATCACAGTAAATAAAGAATCCTTTATGTTGACAAGACCACCAAGTTCTCTCTTGAAAACACGATATTCTAAGATCCATTCACTTCTATTATGAAAGAAAGAAGTGAATTTTATTAATTTAGTAGATGTATCGAAAAGACGTTTCGGATACCGGCATTATACGAGGAGCACGGTTAAAAGACTTGACGACCGGTGGGGAACATGGAACGAAACAAAGGTGCCCCTCCTCGTGGGTGACAGTTTCGATAAGGTAAATCGACACAATTTATGAAAGATCTTTTGTCCGTTTGGGAATAGTCACGGCGTCTACGAACGGGTCAATGCCGTGGGTATGGGGTGTACTCGAATGCAAGAGATATACACAAGCACCTCCGAAGCGTGATTCACGCACGGGTGCAGACACCGCGCCGCATCCACGGGCCTCTACTTTTTCTCTCTTTCTCGACCAGCTTCGTGTACGGATTTCTCTTTCGTTCTTAAGACGGTTTCACTCCTTCCTTTTTTTCTCGTATTTCAGCACTCTCGAAAGAAAAAATACGGTTGTATATTCGTGTATATATGGCGCCGCTTTATCCACACGTCCGTAATGTGCCGCGTTTGGGCACGGCGGAGGCGGAACCACGCGGCGCTCTAAGTCTTATCAATGGCACCTCATCGCGTACATGTAATCGACGCCCAATGTCGAATTTCTCCCTATTCTTCTCCACGACTTTTCGAGGTTGATAAGAAGTCTGAATCACCACCGCCGCCGCGGTCTTCTGGCACTGCACAGCGCCTCCACCGAAACACCGTTCACTCCCTCTCTTTCTTTATCTTTCTCTTTCCTTTCCCATTTCTCTTTTCAACTTTTTCCTTTTATCTTACTTTTTTTTCCACCTTATCTTTTACCTTATACACTTACAAGGTTAGTACACTTAATATACACATGTCGATACATTTATTTTTATCTATCTGATTATTCTTAGTTAACACGAATAAATATATATATATGCAAGTGTGTGTATACGTGATTAAAAAAAAGTAGAATAATATAGATTGAAATGGTGGTGATACTGTATGTATATATGTACATACATACATATATACTATAGCAGCTACACTAACGCTCCAAGCGAACCAGGGGTCAAACTAATGCACGTTACACAGTGACTATAGTGGCTACAAATCTAACAAGACTGGACGTGCCTTTGTTTTCGAAGAGTCTTTTATTATCAATTTTATTATTAAAATATAAAACACTTTGCATTGCACAGTGACTACAGATCCAACGAGATTAGACATGCCTTTGTTTTCAAGGGGTTTTGAATTTGTGCCTTGAGAACGAACGCCATCTGCTCTATCCTGGTACAAAAATGTGAAATACTTCGCACTGCAACAGTCTAACCCACGTTGATGGTAATCCAGTCCTCTCAATACTAGATACGAGGGCTTCACCGCCAAAACCGGTATGGCCATAAGCACCATTTGCAACGGGAGTAGGGGCTCCAGAAAAGAAGTTAAGGGCTAGAATAATATAAGAATTTAAGTCAATTAAATTCTCGTGTAGATCCAGTGTTGTTGGATCTACAGGGGGTGGTTGTGCCCTCCATTTTCGACCGCAGTGCGATCTATGCACAAACGACTCAAACTACTCGATAACTTACCGATCAATTTTGCGAAAGGAGTGAAGCACTAGCGCTATCTATCGGAAACCCGCGGAAACAAGTCGGTAAGTAGTTTTCGCGGGTTCCTGATAGATGGCGGTATAGGACAAATCGATCGGTAAGTTTAAGTCTGTAAGTCGAGTAGTCCTTTGTGTATAGATGGCACTGGTATAGACATCTCTGCATTCTTATCATCCCTACATTCCTTACATATCTGTATCATCTCACATCTCTATATTCCTCACAATCCTGCCTTCTTTATATCCCAACATTCCTTACATCTCTTCATCCCTTACATCTCTGCATCCCTTACATGCCTGTATCCTTTACATCCTTGTATCACTTATACTCCTGCATTCCATACATCCCAGTACCTCCCTGAAATTGAGTTGAAATTTTTGCGGCTATAAGGCCTGCGAATTTATACAAATTTAGTTCCTTTTTTGCCACCAGAGGGCGCTGATTCGACATCGAATTTTAGTTCGAATTTATGCATCTAGGGGGCGCTATTTTTTTCGAAATTTCGCGAAAATTTCGAAGAAATAGCGCCCTTACCTTTACTTACCTTTACTCGAAGCAGTCTTTATAATATATTTATTATAAGGGATGCAGAGATGATAAGAATGTAGGGATTTTAGGGATGAATAGATGTTAGGAATGTAGGGATTTAAGGGATGAATAGATGTAAGGAATGTAGGGATGAAAAGAATGCAGGGATGTAATGGAACGTGGGATGTAAAGGGATTCCGTAGGGGTCCGGGGCTGGGGCCCCGGTCTCCACTGCACACGGCCCGAGGAGTGCCGGCATCGGGTGTGGCCCCTGATGTTGGCGAAGTTTGACACATGGCGGAGGGTCAAAGGACCCTCCCTACGGTCCTAGTGCAGGCCACGGTGGTGGTTTTAGTGGGTAAAAATCCCACACTACCTTCTGCCCCTCCACAGGGGGACTAAAGGTGTCTTTCTGAAGATTTCCACCACGTTAAAAAAAAAAAAAAAAAAAAGTTATTTAAGGGTTGCAGAAATGTAAGGAATGCAGGGATGTAAGGGATACTGAAGTAGCCTTGACCTATATCGAGGGATATAATTATATAAGTAACTGGAAAAAGTAAAATAAATGGGGTCCTCGGCTGAAACCCAGAAGAGGGATATAATCATAAATGTTATTCCCCTCCGATGAGCTAATTTAATAACCAAAAAAAAAATAAATAAAGTAAATTAAACTAACTCTGGAAAAAAATTATGCTGATTGTGCCTTCTTCATACGGACCTGACATTCTCCAGGGATGTTAGGGACCTCGCTACGCCAATGACCCCCTTTGCGTACCGACCTGATATCATATTGGGGTATTAAGGACCCCAAAACGCCGGTAAGTATCTTTGCATACCAATAATATGGCATCCGGGGTGCCAGGGACCCCGAAGTACCAGTGACCATCTCTGCATACCGACCTGATATCATATTGGGGTATTAAGGACCCCAAAACGCCGGTAAGTATCTTTGCATACCAATAATATAGCATCCGGGGTGCCAGGGACCCCGAAGCACCGGTGACAGTGTTTGCATACCGACATTTTGGTATGCGGGGTGTCAGGGACCCCGAAGCACCGATGACACTCTTTGCTTAGCGACACTACGGTAATTGGGGTATCAGGGACCCCGGTGTATCGGCGGCACTCCCTGCATACCAACATATCACCTTGGGGTGCCAGGGACCCCGAGTATAATCTTGGGGTTCTCAGGAACCCCGAATGCGATCCTGGGGTTGTCAGGAACCCAGAATACCATCTTGGGGTGTCAGGGACCCCGAAGCAAGTAGCGAAATATAAGACCTAAAAACGAACAAATCGTGAAACTCGCTTGTTCGGGACAGTGATGGGTACGACCGGATCTAGCGAAATATAAGACCTAAAAACGAACAAATCGTGAAACTCACTTGTTCGAGGTAGTGATGGGTACGACCGGATCTAGCGAAATATAAGACCTAAATAATTAAGAAATTATTCACTCACAAACAATGGAAATGATATATTTATAAATCACGAACTAATTTGTTACAAACATTAAAAATAGACTCACAATCAATCACAAACGATTTACAAACGAAATACACTAAGAAAAATTAAAAATAATCATATTATTCCTTCCGGCTAGCTTCATGTAAGTCTACATGGGGACCCATGATCATTTGGGGTGTCTAGGACCCCCTGAACCATAACCCTTTGACAACAAAGGCATGTCCAGTCTTTTGCCTCTGTAGTCACTGCTAAAAAACGGGGTTTGGAGGAAGTGTAAAGACAAACCCGCGCGGTATTAACGTATCTTGCGCTAAGGTTATTTATTGGTACTTTTATTTTTAAAATATTTAATATCAGTATTCGTTGTTACCATTTGTCCTAGAAACGTTGAAGTTCTGGTATTTCCTAATATGACTAGGTAAATTTAAATAATTTTTAGGTTATATTTTTACACCTGAAACAAAGAGAGTGTTAAAAAGGAGTTGTTTAATTTTTTTTACTTTTAATATATTATCTGTGATTTTTGTATCATTCGTAATATACAGTATATTTATTAAATCTTTACCTTTTAGTTGCAAAACCTAAATCTGTAACTGAAAGTTTGAATTTTCTAGCATTTCTATTATAAATTTGAAATTTCAGGTACAAAAAATATAATAGAAAATAATTTGTTAAGTATTTTTTCGATGTTTATACTATTTTGTTTAGTACACCAGTAAGATCTAGTTCTTCTCTGCAGAGAAAATATATTCATAATATGTTTATGTTATAATACTGTTAAAACACCATGTACTATAGATATATTTGATCCATAATGGAAGTCTGAAATTTTTAATTACAGATCAAAAATAGAGTTAGGAGATGTAACACCGCATAATATAAAGCAGCTAAAACTTCTAAACCAAGTAGTATTTCCAGTCTCATACAATGAGAAGTTTTACAAGGATGTTTTGGAGGCTGGTGAACTAGCAAAACTTGCATACTACAATGACATAGTGGTATGTTACATTTATGGATAAATATTATTGAACAAAATATTGTTTACAAAGTATGATTAAATCATTTTGTCGCTTCAGGTTGGTGCAGTTTGTTGCAGAGTGGATACTTCTGAAAATTCTAGGCGGCTGTATATCATGACTTTGGGATGTCTTTATCCCTACAGAAGGTTAGGAATTGGTACAGTAATGGTACAGCATGTTTTAAATTATGTTAACAAAGATGGAAACTTTGATTCAATATTTCTGTAAGTATTTAATTAATTTTATTTAAGGTGTTCACCATTGTTTACATAAATATATAATTACTATTATTTGTGTGTTATATTTTCTGTTTGCAGTCACGTTCAAATAAGCAACGAAGGTGCTATCGATTTTTATAAAAAGTTCGGATTCGAAATAGTAGAAACAAAGGAACACTATTACAAGAGAATAGAACCGGCGGATGCTCATGTATTACAAAAGACTTTACGTCCTAAAACAAATCAAACAATTAATATTTAAGTACAATGCTTGAAAGCTATGATTTTAAATTAGACATTAGACGCATATATTATCAATAAAATATAAATGTGTGATATAAAACATACAGATAAAAAAAAACACATTTATCATGTTCGGATACCGACTTAATGTTTAAATATTGCAAATTTTTTTAAATAGTATAAATTATTACAGTCTTTGTACATAAACAATCAATTATAATTTAATATCTGTAAAAACAATAATAGCAAAGAAACATTTTGTTCCCACATATTAACATGTATACTTTAAATGAGTATTTTGCTAGATGCACGTATAATTATAATGCTAGTAGCTCCTGAATTCTTTTCACACATAAATCTGATCCTTCGCTTGCTTCTTTTGAAACCTGTCAATTAAAATTAATTTAACGTGATGTGCATACAGTATCGAGCAAAATAGTCATTCCTTGGGAAAATGGCTTTACAGAAAAAAAGGGAATCCGGACGCCCGAGACATCATTTTTCCTGGGGAAAGCCTATTATGTTCGATACTGTACATTTATTTGATATAAAAGAACAAAATTGTTACCGGTGTTAAATTTAAAAATCCGTGTGGTAATCCTGGCAATACGTCCAGCGTAACTAATACACCAAGCAATCGTAACTTTCTTGCAAACATAATAGAATCATCGAGGCACGGATCGAGCTCCATTGTCTATAAATTTAAGTATTTAATATTGCATACTATTGAGTAAAAAAAAAAAAATATTAAAAAATTTACCAGCATTGTAATAGGTGGTAATTTTGCTAAAAGATTATCCGCTGCAAGATAAGGACTTAAAAATGGATCCCTGGGTACTGTAAATACAAATTCTTCCAAAGGACTTTTCACGTTTTCTATATCAAGCTCCCTAGATTCTCTGTGCCTTCCCGTAAGAGACCAACCAAAAAATGACCACGATCTATCATGCCTTGAATTATTATCTGTATTAACAGCACCGTTCCCTACATGTGTCGATGAATTTAAATTCATTCCTAAAAACTTTTTTATATATTCCTGAGATTTCACTTCTTCCCGTAGATGTTCTGTTCCTATGGTATTAAAGAATATTTCAATTGTCAATTATATTCTTAAAATACTTACATCTAATATATTATTCATTTATTTACCATCAACTTCAGTTAAACTAACAGAATTCAAAGTAGAGTCAGATGGTAAAGATGCTAACTTGTGTGCATCATTTGTTTCATCTCCATTTGGACTCAGAGCTAATGCTATTAAATCACTTTCGCTTACTTCAGCAAAAGATTCTGTGTCTGACTTTGTACATTCGGCAACATCACCTTCTCTCTCCCTAAAAATATAATTAACTAAATGTTAACGATAAATAATGTTTATGGTTAAATCAGATTTATTATTGCCTATAAAATTTACCGTGTAACTTTTTTGGTATCTGAAGCGGTGTATGCTTTCAGGCAACGTATAAGAAATCCCATAGGCAGTAGTGGATCGGTTAGGCAAAGTAACCGCGATGGTGATAGCACAAAATCAACGAGTACCGGTGTATATGCCATAAATATACCGTCTGGTTTTCGAATATTCAATAGTATGCATTTCAAAGTGACGCTCAGATTTAAATTACCCCCGGCAGAATCACCTATGGAATTATCATTTCTAAGTTAACACATTCAGCTCGTTTCAAACTCCGGTTGCTAGGCGTCTTACCGACAAGAAGTATTTTTTTAGCAGTACTTCCAAGCAATGTACTTGCATGATTTAAAGCCCATGCATATGCGTATAATACTTCTTCGAATGCACGAGGAAACGGGGCTTCGGGTGCTAAACTGTAGTCTATACTTAAAATTGGTACATCGAGATTGATAGCCCAACCCCTTAAGTATGTTTCATGAGACAGTGAAGTTTGCGCAACGAAACCTCCACCATGACAATGAATAATCAACTGGTCCGATGATTTATGCAGTTCTCCGCCTACTCCACCTGAACCAACCTGAGGGAAGCATATACTACACAGGAGTGAAACTGATGCTCTATGAAAATTTCTACATGATTAAAGGAAATATACGGGTAAGGATATTAATTGATAAACATTGTACTAACTATACGCAATAATTTAGATTCCATAAAGTTTTTATCTCTTTACCATTCCCAAACGACGTTTCGAGCTTAACAATCTAACGTGTATCGGTTTCTTTCCAATATGACTATGCGGTACTGGAATTTGCACAGTTGTCCCATCTAATGCAAGTAGCGATAATCCTTCGGGTGGAATTGAAATTATTTGATTTATTGCCAAAGACGGTGATGTTATATTCGGTAATCTGCGTGTTATATCTAAAATATATATAGTTTATGAAATATACAAAACAAAGGATTAAAATTTTTATATAAAAAGAATTGTTTTACCAGATTCGTTGAGGAACCAAAAGGCTTGACAAAATGATATATCAGCGTGTTGGGATATATCAACGATACGACGCGCTCTTGCTTCAGGGTCTAACATGTATTTAACAGAATTAGCACAACGTGCTAATAATGTACCATTAGCATAGAATGCCTCGCTAAATGTTGCCATACAAACCATTATAGTTTTTAAAACGGGCTTCAAGCTATCATGAAACTAAAATCAATACAGTTCTGTTAAAAATTGCTTGGAATTAATTGATTTTATATATGTATATCTGTTTCAATTAATACCTGAAACCCTAAACACCTGCCATAAAAACAATACTGATTAATGCTATCTACTTTGTTTAAAATTTCCTGAGGATTGTGAGCATCTCCTATAAAAAGAGATGGTTTTCCATCGATCATTGAATCACTCCATGAAGATAGAGTTTGTAAGTGTTCTAAACAAGTATACAAAGATGCCAGCAACTGTGAACATGCCTCTATTTCTCTGTAAATATAGGTAAGTTAAATACTGAAATATTTAGTACTCTTAAAAGAAATAATCTAGTTACAATATTTACCTCATATGATAATTTTTACGAAAAAACATAGAATCCTTTTGACAATATATTTGATGACAAACTAAACGCGAATGTGCAATACATCTATCTACTAAAATTAAAAAACTTCTATATCCATTGGCAGGTGTTTGTATATCGTAATCATACATTGGTGCAATCTTGCTAAGTTGTTTATACAGAGGTTGCAGCTGAGTTAAATGTTCTAATATTGCTAAAACTGCACCTCTGATTCTAACACCATTTTCATCTTGATGGGATACAAAGAATTCTTCATTAGCCTGGCATAATTCTCTCAATGCTCCCCATTGTAGAGGTTCTATATTTTCAAATTTCTTAAAATCATCATCAAACGACATCTGAGCTGCCCCCTCTTTAGTCATTTAGCAATAAATCTTTTAATTAAATGTTTCAAAATAGACAATAACTGTAGAACCTGTAATATCAATACTTATATGTAGCGTTAAATAACAGAAACAAGAATTTTAAGGTTAAGATATTTACAGTGCTGTAACGTACAAATCACTTACAAGTTATTCAGAAATGTCAATTTACACTACATAATGCATCTTTAAACCAGTTCTTTAATGAACACTATATTCTACGTTAGAAATCAGCTTTTATTTTGGATTTGACATTTCTTAGATCTCTATTGGAGTCGCCATATTGTTTCTTGGATCAATATCGTTGTATCACACACAAACATTACGCACTATTAAATCTTATTTACACTACATGTTTTCAACGAACAAACTTTAGTATACGTATACCGACAAGTAGTTCAAAGAGCACAAGATACATTCAAAGTTATATGTTGATATTTATTATTAATTATGCGACAAAAACAAAAATGTAGAATTTAATAAAACGATGTCTATTATCAATAGCCAATTGCATGCTAATTGTAATTCAAAGTTCAATGACCTAATAGAAGCAGTTCCTTGAATGCTTACGATCGTTTATTCTTAATTGATAATATATCAATTTCAAAGCATGAAGTGGACTTACTTACCAAACATACGTGTAATCTTTTATCTCGGTAGCAATTATAACTGTTATGGGAATTAAAACAACTCGGTAGCAACTTTGTCGGGCTAATGAGCAACTGACAGTTCTGCAGTTATCATGGTTACGTATCAGGCGTTGAATTAATTAATCATATGTAGAGATATCCAGGACAAAGGAATGGAATTATCTAATTTTTTTACTGTAATCATATTCTTTTTTTAAAGAATATATAAAGCTTACTGCAGATTATAATGACTTAAAGTATCAAAAACTTTCCATTTGGTAATTGGAAAGTGAAACGATTTTCACCGCAGCATGTAACGTGAGAATAATATTAATATATTAATTTTGCTATTATAAAGGAGTTGATACTCAAGTAAATCTTTGTAATTTATTTATTGATAAGTAAAATTACATATATCCACAAACACAATACGTTCTTTTCACGGAGTGTAATAATGCGATAAAATTTGTGAGTGGCGAGGAGAAAATCCTTGTGTGATGGAAATAGAGGGATACAGGAGGATTAGTTTAATCCTCCGGTTTAGTAACTTTTCTACTCGTCGAAGAACGTCACAGAAACGTTCCATGGCAAACGTGTAGTTTCCGATCCTACAATTATTAAAAAAAAAAGAATGTAATTTATTGAGTTTATTTAACTCAAATTGTGTTTCTTTATCCGTCGTTTCTATCCGTTCTCTCCAATCCGATGGACGTTATAAAAGGTCAATTTTTTAAAATCGAATTTAGATACTGACTAATTCCATCTAGTGTTGATTGTTTCTTACAAAGTCAGCGCGTTTTTCTTCTACGTCAGAGAAATGTAGCGATATCGGAGAGAACTTTGATTTGAGCGTGAAATCGCTTTGTTTAAGCGTCGACGGATGTTGGAACGTAAGATCGAAAACTAAACAGAGTTGCGTGTAGGCGTATACCCGAGTATCAATATTGCACATATGAATATTTATTAATCGGACCTCTCGCATGTCTTTAGTTATTGTTGCAATATCAAGGTTTGAAGACGCAAAATCGATAGAATCGTACGAATCGATATTATACTGAAAGAACTGCAAAAATAAAGTTTAGTTCCGTTATTATTTCCCATTTCGCCGACTTCTAAATCCAAACCGCTATGCAAAGGACGTATATATTTTTTTGTTCCTTATTTTTTTTTTTCTCTCGTTTCCTCACTTCTCGCGTTTTTCCCTTTTGTCTTTTTTTCTTCTTTAAGCTAAAGTTAATTATCTCGGTAGATATTTATTACCTCTTTACAAAAATCAATTCTTAAACTTATACAGGGTGGCTCGATGCAAATTCACAATATCTTGAAGTCTGATGACGATGACATTGTCAAATTAACAGACCTAAACTGATATGCTTCCAAAGGGGCATCTCCAGCTACCGTTAGCTTTTTTATTCCCCGCGGCCAAGGTCGTCGTTAAAATAACCTATCCTCTTCCTTCGTTCGCTATATAAAAGCATTATTAGATTATTCACAATTAGCGCAATTGAAAATTCTTTTATTATTTCGCAATCTGCGCCTTCATTTTCAAAGTGTATAAACAACCGGAAAACCGAAATCCGGCGCGCGCCATTTGAACAGCTAACGATTGAACCAGGTAGTCAATGTATTGTCCCAGGTCAGTATTCAGACAAAGGCGTGTAAAAAGACAAAGATACACGCATACTGACACAAAGCGATCGTTCAACCCCGCCCTTCTTCAAACTCTGGAAACTCACGAATGGGATTTCTCCATTCGTCCATTTTTACTACTACGAAATGCGCGCGCACCGGAAGTTAATCTTCCAATTCTTGTGTACATTTTGAAAAGAAAGCCACAAATTGATAAGTGGTAAATAAATTTTCTCGTTTCTTTTCATGTGAAGATTGTACACAGGGCCGGCCCTGATTGTACACCTGTATATTATCAACGTAGATTGATAAACATTGTCAGCTCAAAGGTGCTTTATCATTAGAGATACGATTAGCAAAAACACATCTGTTAACGTAGGTCAATCATTATATGATCGCATACCACCTTTGTTTTATTCTCGTTTTTTTCTTTTTTTTTTTTTTTTTTTTTTGTACAACTGATAGAAATCACGATCGAAAGAAAGTACAGTGTCTAGTCTGAACGAAGAAAAATCATTATAACGTGTATTGTATACTCTTCAACATCTGTGAATTCGTATCAAGTCAGGTTTTACACACGCGACGTGTCAATGGTTTCCTTCTCGTTTCAACGACTATATGCTATAGGTACATAATGTATAGTTAATTTGATAGGTATACATGTATATATCTATGTATATATTCTGTTCATATATTACACACACACGCACACACACACGCGTACATGGAATATTATTATTAACGCATCGATGCTATGCTTTTGTTGTATCCATAGACATTACGGTTAATTGCTATCATTTTATAATATATCTAAAATATTTTTAACACTTAGCGATGCGCGAATGTGTGTGCCTGTGTATACATACTTATTTTTTTTTTTTTATTTTTTTTATTATCGGCTCATCCTTCCACCGGAGTTGCGTGAGACAAAACTTTTTTTATTTTATGTTAAATAGGAAGGCAGCTGCTTCACGTGCGCTTATAGGAATCCAAGGATATTCAGTGTCCTCTGTTTGCGCATATAGCGCTTAATTTATTTTTCGCAGAAATTAAACAAATACGATATATGTATAGGTATAACTAATTACAACGTTCACAGAAAATTGGTAAGAGGTTAAGGTCACCTTAATACTTGTACGGCTAAAGACTGTTGTAATTGTACATACAGAACGATTCGTTCGACTGGATACGATTAAAAATAATGTACAGTTTAAACGTAAGACATGCAAATAAATCTTGTATCATTGAAAGCTATGCTTTCCCACGCGACCCTGGCTAAAGTGCAGCCTACTACCATTTGACCATATACAAATATATAAGCATTAAACATGTAATATATTATCGTTATAATATATATAATATATATACGCGTTCATATATATTATATATAATATATATAATATTATAATATATATTAATATCCTAAGATAATTATTGTATGAACCATCTTTCGAAAAGGAACGATGAAATGAAAAAGAAAAATAAAAATAAAAAAAAAATTAAAAGAAAATAGGAGAGAAACGCTTGCTTTAAATAGTTGCCACTTATTCGACCTAAATCGGAGGTACTAATGCCACTCAAAAAAACTCCAGTTAACTGTTCCTCTTATTCGACAGCCTCGGCGTGACTCTTTCCGATTTTGTTCGCTTTTCCCAACGAACGTTATTCGTCCAAGTCGAACAAGTCTATCGAATATTTTCCGTGCATTACATTCGGACAGCACCTCGGATAAGATATCGTGGACTCTTGTGTTATGGAATGATAAAATATCTTGCTCGTTTTGTTTTTTAAACTTTAGATACGTTCATGATTTTTCTTTCTTCTCTTTTTTTTTAATCTCTTAAGTATAAAGTTGTATAATCTAAGTAGACGTTAAGTACTGAAAGGTCGCTGAAAAAATCAGGCAGTGGGAATCGAACGGAGATGAAAAAACAGCTGCATCACGAAGGTGAACGTGCATCGATCGCCGTTCTGATATTTTTAAAGAGTGTCATAGCGTTAATTAATCTCTTTCGCGTATAGTGCTAGGTAATATGCCATCGTTTTTTTTTTTTTTTTACATTTTTCTTCTTTTTCGTTTTTCTTAAATCGGATTATACATTTATGTTGCCGCCGTGCAAGCCGCTACCGCTGCTACCACTTTTATTTATTTATTTATTTTTTTTCCACGTAGTTTATTTAAGCTGCGTAACCATTATTGCCATTTACTACCTCCAAAAATATCAGAACTCAGAAATTACAGCAAAGAGCGCAACTGCCACGCATACCGTGAACGCTTGTATCGGTGAGACGTCGTGTTCTCGTATTGTTCTCTCGTATGCAAATCACTTGAAACCAATTGAGAGATTATTGAGTTTTATTATAAATATACTCAGCGGTTCGAGTGACGTTACCGAGTGTAATAATTGATTTCCATTATTGCCAGCGCTACTTTCTGCGTTTTGTTGCTCTCTCGGTAACATTGTAAATGACAACGAAACGAAAACAACGTGTATGAGATACTTCCGAAGACAATTATCTTTTTATCTCGCTTTTCCATAATATGGCACATTGGCGTGTTGTTTTCCTTTCACACTGTCCCGTAGATAATTTCTCATGGTACGAGCAGATAATAAACTCATATCACTTCTATCTACTTAAATGTTATATCTAATTATAACATTGCTTTATACATATCGTAGATCGTTAAATATGGTCGTGGTACACCACCAGCGATATAAAGAGACGACGAAACAATGATACTCCGTTTTCGCGATATACCTATCTCCCTATGGACAGATTTTATTTCCATATATCACTAAGATGTAAATTTGTATACTGTTTTTTTTTTTTTTTTTTGTTGGATATTTCTTTCTCTTTTCTCAATCTTCGGAAGAACCTCGGATCTGAAAGATATCTTACACTAACAAAATACTATGAGATTCTTGAAGAACGGACAATTAAAGACCAGTTTCAAAATTAAAATGTTTGTAGACCAAGGTGATTCGATTATTCTTTAACTTCAAAGTATTTGTATGTAGGATTTTCGTATCCGTTTATTTGCATGTTCGCGACATGCCGTTCCTCCGGTGTAGCCGCTTGATCAACCTCGATGAAACCCTGTTTAAGAATCACGCGTATAATATAATTAAGTGTTCTTATTGCGCTCAGTGTACACCTGATACTTAAATCAGTATTGCTCATAAAATGATGTTCGTTTTTTAATGTAAGATATAGTTATTTAAATGTACCTGACTGTGGGGGCTCCTTGCACTGCGTCTTTTAAATACCGCGACACCTACGATCGCAGCAGCCATAAGTGCAATTCCAGCAAACGCAAGTGTGAAGTAGACGGATCGACTTTCCCTGTGATAAGCCTCCCTTCTCAGAGAGTAACCCTGCATTTACAGGAGAACAGACAAGAAACATTTCATTTGTCAGATTAATATTATTGACATAGTAAAAATCATTTATTACATTTATCAATCAATCTTACCGGTTCAGAATGAGAAATGTCATGTGTCATACTATGTGCTGCCCTAATCAGTCCTTCGCTGTGCATAGCGGCTACTGCTGACGGTTGTTCTGGTTGTTGTTCAGTATCTTTATTATCATTTATCGAGTCATTCTCTTCTTGCTGCGCCTGTTCGGTACGTAATTCGCCGCGTTCTGCTTTGCGTTGCTCTTTGCGTGCTCGTTCAAGTTGCTTCTGATGCTCTTTTTCTAAAGGGAACAATAGATTTTTATTGCAATAAAAATTATTGCAATAAAAATTTACTCTCCGAGTAAATAGTTACCCTGCTGTTTGCTGGTAACGTCAGCCTGATATTTATCTAAAATGGCTGCTTCCGCTTCTCGCGTCATCGCTAACAGCAGTCCTGGAGTCTCATCTTTGCTCCTGAGGGCCAAAACGTAATCATCCATAAGGCGGCCAATTTTCGCGCTTAAATCAGGATACCTAAATGAAATAACGAACGAAAAAATCCTTCATATAGTATTCTATAAGGCAAAAATACGTTCCTCTCTTTCGCAATTCTCAAGATCTAGCACGTTGATACATTGTGATAGCGACGTTTCACTAAACTGACACGTTACCGTTCTAGCATCAAGAGACTCTGATTGGTGATTCTATCGATTTCCGCCAAATGTTCTAACGTGGCTGGCTTTTCACGCTGAGCTTGTTCCAAGCTGCTGTCCAGCAGATGTTTGTAGTGGGCGATCGTGTGATGTCTATCTTTGTGCAGAGCTCGAAGAAGTTTCTGCAGGCATTTCTGGATACGATGCATCTGAACGGAATAGACAGAAAAATCTTGTAATGTATTTATTATTTGTAAATGTTGAAAATTCAATGGAGCACCTACGTTTGGTGGTGTCTCATTCAAAGCAGCAGTGTAGCACGACATTGCCTCGTCGTTTCTTTGCTTGACGGCTTCCTGCAACATTAACACAGTTCTATAAAATTTTCTTACCATTCCTCGGAATCGAATTCTCTTTGATTCTCATTTACAACAAACGTACCTGCACTCTTTGTTGATGCATAGCGCTAAGCTGATGCTTCTCAGCAGCCCCGCTTTCCTCGAGAGCAGCAACAGTCTCCTGGAATCGCGTGGTCATCCATCGTTTGAACGCGTCAGCAGCGACCGGGTCGTGGGCACGGATGTCCTGATACTTTTCCTCGAGATCACTCCAGTCCTTCATCACCTGAAAACGTTGTAGCACAAAGATTTCGACACTAGTGTCCCGCGTGATTTGAATTGCCCTTTGAAAACTCTTCATTGTCCCTCGCTAAGCGATACTACTGTAAAAAGGGCCAAGCTAAACGATAACACCAACCGCTTACTTTTGTCACTTTCTCCTTGTGCACCTCCTCCAGCCTCATTTGTGCTTGCTTGTAGCTCTGGTGTTCCGAACGAGGGTCGAAATGAGTTAAATACGGATCAGGTGTGCTCTGAGACTGAGGGGATTGTTGCGTGCTGGTGCTGACCGGTAGCGGCATCGCGGTGGCATCAAGTTTCGGCTTCTCCGTCGTTGAAATCGTTGTTGGTAACCGACTACAAGATCGTCGCGATTGGTTAACAAGGGTCTTCGGATTAATCGTACAAGGGGGATAACGAGGATTTACCTTGTCGTAGTGTCGTAATCATCCAGATACTCTTCGTCGCTCTCGTCATCGTCGGGTTGATCGTTGAGCACGTCCTCGGAATCAGCATCGGAATCGTCATCGTCGTCCGCGTCGGCATCCATGTCATCCTCGTCGTCAAGATCATCCTCGTCCTCGTCCAGGTCCTCGTCCACGCCTTTCGGAATCGGTAAGTCGATCGGTTTCTTCGCTTTCATATTCTCTGTAAATCATTCGGAAACGATCGTTGAAATTCCAATTCTCCTCGAATAGAATCGTTAAATTGAATTCTCTCGAAAATGAAGCCGAGTATGAAATAATGTTACTCTAAGTTTCTCGCTTATTTTAGTGGATGGAACGATCCTGCGAGCGGTGGCATTGCGAACGATCCCCGTGTAAAGGAGGTGGAACTGAAAATTCGCGAAGCATAGGCTTTCGTTGGGTTCCCCACCCTGAAAAACTCTAATTTGTCTCTGTTATGTTGAAGAGGACAAGCCGTCTTGGCTAACTAGGTTCTCGAGATGTTCCATTCTCCGAGAATAGACACGCTGATGAGCTGACTTCTCGAGTTCTGCAAAGGCAGACAAAAGCTTTGCCCGGCGTATCCTCATCGCTATCCTTTTATCTGGGTCACGCGGTGGTTGTGACGGCAATTTTTTTTCCTCCCTTCACTCTCTATCTCGCGGAATACAATATTGCGCCTGTTCATATCGACAAAAGTCTGCGGCTTTCCTTTTTTCGGTAGAAAGAAACAGGAAGATTTGATCGACGGTATCGAAAAGAACGGAACTCAATCAACGGGCTTCGCTTTTCCACGTAGACGGGGAGAGGAAATACGCTTTGCTCGATCGTCCGTGAAAATTGCCGCGGTAAAAAACCTTCCACCTCGACTCTCGGCTCATTTAAAAATAACGGTATAAACAAATTCCTGCGAGCAAAGAATTTCATTCGATAGACAAATATTTTCTCTGCAAGGTACGTACGTATCTTCAAAGGAAACGGTACTTTCGAGGGTAGGAGGAGCTCCCAGGACCTTAATTCTAAAGACACTAACTTAGAAAAAAAAATGTAATAAAATTTGGAAGTGGATACATTCATTCTATGCTCTTTTTGCGCTAAGTTTTTCGCTTTGGGAACTTGGCCCATCCCTTAATTACGTTAATGACTATGATACTTTTTGTATGAAATTTCGGTGAGTCGTCGCGACCCGGCCGAAGAAGGGTTCGGGATGTATTTCAAGTTTTATTGCCGTAGACGAGACGATGAGAGACGGTGATTCATCGGTCGTTTCTATTGATTTGAAAAGTACGCAGGGTGGTAACACGGTCGCGTGTGTATGTACAGCGAATTGGCTGGCGTACAAACCCTCCCACGATGGGCAAGCAATATTGGATCGGGTTTATTAGCTATAAGGTATCTCGGTATCGTACGTGGTAAAGAAAAGATGCGCAGGAGCGAGGAGAAAGAGGCATAGTGCCCATAGTTTGTTACGTTGCGCGCAGTCGTCGACGGACGGGTTATTGATTGTACGAGAGCGAGGGAGATAGAAGTGACAGGGGATGAAACTGACGGGAAGAAGACGGAGAATCGAGATACAAGCTTATTTGAAAAATACCGTGATTCCATTCGCGAATTTCTATACGACGCAGTCAAATTCAATAGAAGAGAAATATACAGGGTTATTGAAATTGAGTGTCGCACATCTTCAAATTGAAATAAAACGCAAATTATTTCATACAGTAGAATTTGTGTTAAAATAAAGAAACCATAGAAAAATCGCATACTTTGCATTTTATTTCAATTTGATGATCTGACACTAAATTTGGATAACTCTATAATATAGAGGAGGCAGCATAGTCGAGAAATTCATTTAATAAAATAAGTCAAGGATCCGACTTTTCTCTATAATTTACACATTTTCAAATGTTACGAGTATTTCAAGTACTCATCGATGCATTCTTTTCGAATAATCCCGTACAGTTATTTTCTTTGTGCACTTACGGTAACGCTTGATTGAAAATGGCTCAAAGCCGAGGAAATGAGAATTTTTATTGAGAATAGATACTGAATACATTTCAACATTTTTTTCCTCCCTTCGCTCTTCGCCTTCCTTTCCTTCGTAGCGATCACTTTAATCTTCCTAAACTTGCCATTTTTATATCCAGCAAAGAAAGTTTTTAAAAGTTTCTTCACGGTTTCTTCCAAAAGTTTGCAAATTCTTATCATTGTATCGCTTATTCTAACAGAGTTCCCTAATCTTCGTTCCTAGTGTAAAGAAATCAAAACGACCAGAAAGAACACGTTACAAGGTAACAGAGATCTGTGACATGGATATCAAACTACGTAATAATACTGCCCTCTTTATTTGTCGATCGAATTACAATAACACGTACCTACTGTTCCTCTTGCACGCCAAATGTTCAGTTGAAATGATCGATTCGATGTCCGCGTATGTTTTCATGCTATACACACTTATCTATGAAAACTCGCGGCTTCCAATGAAACATATTTGATAATTACACAGAACATGGTCGTTGAGTTTTCAGATGGGTTCTTAGTATCTATCAGGGAAGCAATTTCCTATATCTATAGGAAAATTGACAAGTCTAGTCTAGCCTAGAGCCTAAGTACCATGCGTCGCCGATTCTCCGAACGAAAATTACTAAGGATTTATTAAGTTTGTACTACATTCACGTAATTACCAAATATCTTTCAGGTTCGAATGCTTTCTTTGAGCTTCGTTCATGCAATTCAACGCGGGAGCTCTATTCAGCGCGCAGAACCGTTGATGAATGAATATGGTGGAATGAGAATGTACGTACGTTACGTACCTTTCAGGTGTTTCGGGCAGCACACGAACTCGACACCAGAGAACAAGGATATACCGCAGGGTAGCAGCATCGCGAAACTCCTCAGGTTCATGTTTCTCTCTCTGCAGGTATCTGCCGCGGTTGTGTTCCATCTGAAACAGACATGTACGAGTTACAGTACTCCTTGTCTGATAAACGTATCTGTAACGATGCTGGCCGGGTCAGTGGGTGAATAAATCATTATTGAAATTAGGAAAATTATAAAATTATAATTATGTTTAATAAACCTAGGAAACCTTGGCTACCGCAGATGAAAATCCTAGCTACGATAATGACAATAGCCACTCCAAGTAGGAGATTATCGAACTGTGAACTCCAATAAGGTGAAACGTGTGCCAATATGGATAGAGTTACGTGGTGTCGGATAGGCAAATCGATACAATAGAGGCGTTGCAGTGTCTTCTTTGATATTTGATTGCTTACCGGTGAGATTCCCAACATTTTGTCTGATTGTGGAGATGGTCGAAGAGGCAGCCTTCTGGCACGAGTAACGCATCACTTTGGAACGGTCCCTCTAGGAAAAGAAAAGCATATTTCTTGTATTTCCTGAATAGAGTGTGACTGCATTCTAAAATCCGATCATTGTTTTTGTTATATTTATTTACTTACTAAACGGGATTAACTCTTTAATACAAAGTTTGACAAAAATAATATTAAGAACCTTCGTGAATATAAGATAGAAGCGGTATAAGATATTTAATTAGTATATTTAATTAGAAAGCTAAAGAGTAGAACCCCCTTAACACCGGCTCTCCCGCTACAACATACTCGACGACCCAAAGGAATCAATACGGCAGAAACTGAGAATCAGAGTCACTCGCTGGGGTCGTTCACGGATAAGATTGTAAGTTAACTCGAAGCTGATGGTTATTTTAAATAATTCTTCTGATTTTTCCTTCGTAGATTTGCATACATACCGAGACATCTGTAAGGCTTCACCCAACGCGACAATTTACATTTAGTCCTTCCTGGCTTGCACCATCCACTAACCCTCACGTAGTGCGAGGACTCGACGATGTTGGTAATGTCTCTCTTCGGGTATGCCTAGAACACGATACCAATTCGATCATCCATTAACCGCGCATTAAGGATTTAATAAAGGGAACATTTTATTGCAGATGAGAAAGCGTCGAAGATTGCAGCGTTCATTCGGTGCATTCGAATGCGGTTGCAACCATTGGCGTAACTTGGGATGGTCTTCGTCAGAAATTATTGGAGTAATTAAAAGCTAAATTCTATCTTAATAGAAATGAATATGTAAATCCAAACTTTGGTTAATCAGAGCATCCATCAATGGTACAATTCCCAGGAAATTGAAACGGAAATTTCATTTATTTCAGGAAATTATGGATGATACTTCTCAATACATGTCAGTCAATCTTGTGTATTATTGGTAGAATTATCAAACCTATTCAAATTTCTATCCATCCATGGCTGTTTCTTAAAATTAATTTCAATAATTAATTCATTAATCCCTTACCTTCTTGCAATATTCGAGGATCTCTAACTTGTCTGTCATGCAGCTCTTCTTGTCGGTCGAGGAAACCCAACGACCCTGTTCGCCCATGTGTTGTGCCAGATACACCTCTCCAGCTTCGCATAACGTGGCCACCTTCGCAAACCGTTTACAGTAATTGCTAATTTAATTAATTCACATAAATTTAGATAAATTCATTTGATTGATCGGACGGATGAGAAGAAAATATTCTGTCGCGTGTATGAAAAAAGGATGAATGAGAAGTCGATGAGTTTCGACCGGAAGTGACATTCAAACGTATCACGTGTAGCAGTGAATTTCGCGGTGATGTTAAATCCGAGTGTAGAGGGCTCGATGACATTCGTAAGGAAAAGGAAGCGTGAAGTTTGAAGTGGTACTCACCTGGGGCTCTGATCTTCCTCCAGCGGGTGCCAACTCGAGCCTCTCCGACACTGCCTGCAATGCAGAAAGCACACTGACATTCGAACTACCGTGAAATTATACGCTTCTAAGATTTTTCACTATCAACCATCCCTCTACATTTCATTCGTTGAATATTATTTTATTTATTATTTTTTAAATATTTTGTTATTTCAAATACCTAATAAAAACGCTTCTAAGATTTTTCACTATCAACCATCCCTCTACATTTCATTCGTTGAATATTTAAACGAGAATCGATCAATTATAGATATTAACCCTTTAACAGGTTGACCGCCAGGTAAACGCTATTAAAAATTTCATTAGATATTCTTTTTTTTTTAAATTTTATTTATTATTTTTTAAATATTTTGTTATTTCAAATACCTAATAAAAATATTTTTAATTAGATAAGTAATCAAATTTTTAATAATATAGATAATGGCTTTCTTTGATAATTCAAAGGAGATATGGGTGACATGGCATTCAACGTGTTAAAAGAAAAAAAAAAAAGAAAAATGGAAAGAAAAATTACAACATCAAACGTGGGGGATGAAAGGATCTCAACGAAATCCCAGAATCTATCAAATTGTAATTTCCCATTTCGAAGAACAAATATCGTTCCTGTTTCTCCCTGGTAATCTCGTAAAAAAAAAAAATCCCTCTTTCCATCGAGAATTCAGAATACCCTCGTAACGACCTATAATCGCGTTCTTTCCGGTTTCCCTAATTCCTAAACCGTTTGAACGACCTTTCGAATGCTCGATCGATCGATACAATAAAAGGTATTAAACTAGAGGCCTCGAAACAAGTTACACAGGTAATTAGATGTTGAAACTAAAGAACTGGTTATAAGTATCTTTGATTGTATACTTGGGTGGTGGTTGAGTCCATTTAGACCCCTTGGCATTCGATTAAGTACGAGAGAGGGTGGGTGTATTCCTCTATAAAGATTCATCTCCAATTCTAAGATTCTAAAATTTTAAGAACTGTGAAATTGTAAAGTTCTAAATTGTTATTAATTGTTCTAATTTGTTATTAATCTTTCTCTTAAAAATCCTTCTACTAACTGAACAGATGACATCTTTCTAAAAAAAAGCAACGCTGCATAAGAAACTTAAGTAATTTTGCAGAAGGCTCTTTCAGAAATCGGAGGTTCAGGATTCAGCTGCTAATGGGACTTGCTCGCTGACTTCCAATTCCTTGGGCAATCAAAATTCGTGATTTAATTTAAAAGAAGTTGAAAGTTTCTTGGAAGTGAAAGAAGACGCTGTACGTTTAACTTCACTTTGTAAGAACGTTGATTTTAAATGATTCTTCTTATCTTCGACGATTTTAATTATCAAGATGCCTTAAACTTTCTGCATTGATAATAATAACAATTTTATTATGTAATTTTAGCCCTTCGTTGCATTGAGTTTCAAATATTCAATATGAAATGATCAATGAATTGATCGTTCCATTAATTATGAAATTTCATGACATAAAATTACGGCAAAATAGCATTTATGGTACATGAAATTAAAGGTTAAAGTTTGAGGAAAATGGCTACATAAGAGTTTCATTAATGTCTTTCAGACATGATAGCTGATGACCAGTTCTAGCCTTCCGATAACTGATCATCTCTCATCAACATGTAACCCGGATCAACAAGCAGAATTCCAGTCTAGCAACACCAGTTACTCTTATTACTACCTTGAGGAGAATGCAAAGAGAGATCGTGACATACACCTCGATGTAATTCGCGACGACGTTTACGTCGCATAACGTGTTGGCCACACCTTGACTGTATCCATTGGCGTAACCAAATGGGGTCTAGAATAGCCCTGATCACCCACAAAATATATACTACCACTTCACCAGAAATAGTTGGAATAAATAAAGAAAAATTCCTCGGGTTGAAACAAATTTTTCATTTCCAGTTTCATGGAGTTTTGACGGCGGACCATGGAGAGAGTCTGAAGTTATTTAAATTCCACAAAATATTCAATAATTCAGCTCCGATTTTAATGTACGAATAGAATATCCAATAACGAACATTATCATAACGAATACACAATACAAAGTTTTTTATCCGCTCATATTTAATACACCATTTATGATTGAAAATATTCAATTGGACTTTACATTTTCGTTTGTTACTACGTAAATACATTATCCGTGGAAACGGATGCAAATCCGTTCATTTTTAAATATACCATATCGGTATTATTATGTTAATTTAAATACAATGGCTCGGTTCTCTTTCCATTCAGAAAGTCAAATACAACCAAAGAAATAATATTTCATTATTCTGTATCATGGTAATGGAAGAGGAACGTATATTACGTAACTGACTAAATATGTATAGCCAAATGACTGTTATTGTCCCAAATAATCATCAGTTCTCAGCTGATCCATTAATGCTACCCTGAGCATGCGAATTCGAAGGATTTCAAGAGCGTTCGTCAACGTGGTCTCGACAGTGCGTACGCAGCCTCACCGATGAAAGGGTTAAACGATGTTTCACTTGCGCCGCATTGATGAACCTACATCGAGCATTACCTTTTTCTCTGGAAGCTAACCAGCAAGCGTAGAATAATTTCACGCGTGTGGGAGCGTGTCGCGCGAGCCATAACAAGAGAGGCTTCTTACCGATCTCCATTTCTCGGCGAGCAGGATCGAGTGAAATCAGGTTTCTGGCTACGTTTCTGTTCCCATTTCCGCTCGTTCCCTCTCGAATATCATCCTACGCATCTTCCAGTTTAATAACGACAATGCCAAAAGAAGATCTTCAGCCGAAAATTAACCTGGGCATGATATCGCTATGGATCGAGCCAACGTGGTAGGAGTACCCCTAGTATCGTACGGCATAGCACCTAATGTCGGACATTAGCTTTAAAGAATTGAAATGTGACAAAATTGTTTCGACCGTCAAAATAAAGGCGGTTCAAACAATTTTGTCACATTTCAGTTCTTTTAGATATAGCTAATGTCCGATACTAGGTGCCGTCCGGTACTAAGGGTGCCGTCTCCCTACACCTATCCTAGATAACAACAGGCAAGATTCGCGACAGTTTCCTTTGACACACGTCTGGGAATGCAACCCTTTAAAGCTGATTACCGGACGTTTTATATAAGATTCGATCTAAGTGGATTTACTTAATGCACTTAAAGCGAATCTGACCGCAGCCTTAAGGAGCTTCGAGCACACGCGACACCGCGCGGAACAGTTTTCAGACGCTGACGCACGGAAATCAAACCCTCGTTCCCTTTTCCTTAAGATGCTCTGGAAGATGACTCCAAGAAATTTCACATTTTATATCAGAACCAACGATGGAAACTACGTTTCGACCACCTCTGTCCAGAAGCATCCAGGGCTAACAATTACGTAGGAACAGAAGAATTTAGGTCGTCGTGGTAGCTGTTAATTTATAAGCAACGTCTGCTACTCGAATGACCCTTACGAGCTGTTCGGCGATTTATTAACACCGTATTGTTAAACTTGTTGAAGCGTTCACAGGCGGAATAGAAAGCGACGCCGTACCGAGTGTTGTTCGAGCGAAACGATCAAAAACCTTCGGGTTCTCTTGTTCGAGGCGAAACCCTTGAAAGACGAATGCTTAATCGACAGGCTAACAGGAAAATTATGGAATTCAAAGCATTCGGATGGATACTGGTCGTTAAATTGGTCGATAATTGTACGGTGACCCCGCTGCGTCGAGCTTGATATCTTATGACACCAGCCGGCTATCCGGTATGACGTCTTATGACTACGTTCGGGATGAAAGGTGTTTAACCCTTGCAGAGCGGAGCAGAAACTTTCCTAAATTTATATTTAAATTAATGTTGAACTACATAAAATATCTGGCACGGAATCATCTGTATTCACGGAAAAGACCTGGTGTCGTTAATGAATTAACACGCGATCCGATTAATGGAAAAATAAAAAAGAAGGAGAAGAGGAGAAGAAGAAAGCGGGTATAGGGTATTAAAATGAAAGAAGACAGCGTCGTGAAAGGTGACCTTAAAAAAGAATCTGCATGGAAAATGAAAAATGCATTGAAACTCTTTCGTCCTCATTTACTCTGTGCTCCATTACCAGAGCATTTTCTCGTTCGGCAACATGGGGGACAAGAAGTGTGCATTTAAAGCGTCGAAACATCTTTTTTTTTTCCTCCCTTCTTTTTTACCTCAATCCCGCGAAAACTCCGGCTGTGCGGTAAAAACGAAACCGCGGTTATAATAAGGAAACATCGAAAAGCAAGGGAAAAGCTTTGAACGTGCGTTTCAATCATGCGACACACGTTTGCCTTTTTAATTGAATCTAGGTGAAGATCGTAATTACGCTGAGAGAAATATAAACGTTCAAATTGAAATGATTCGAGGAACTTTAATCATTTTCTTCCTGATAATTTAAATAATTTCAATTTAAATATCGAACAAATCGATTCAGTTAAAAATTTAATAATAAAATGCTTCGATTGTAATAATACTATTTTAAATTTGGCGCGCTAAGTGTTTTAGGGCGGGACACTTTTCGGGAACAGACTTTCCCCTCTATTACAAGCGATCCTATTTCATGAGGATAGCTCGCAACGAGCCACGTGAATTGAACTGTCTCGTGGAATTAACGTTAACAAGAAAATCGCTAGCAAATCCGTTTTACGACTTTAGGTATGTATTTGCAATCTCTAGTTGGTCTGTGCCTCTTATGGGAGTTTCGCTTATGTTCGTTCGTGCGTGATAAATTGCGCATACACAACGTTACTTCCCTCTGGGATGGGTGCGCTTTGAAACATTTTAAAAAGCGTCCGTGCTTATTTTTTACGACCAAACGAGAAGATGCACGCTAATTCAGTAAGATTGTTAACAATTTCAATTTATGGAGTTAGGTTAGATCTATCTACTTGATTAAATGACAATCGTGTATGATGCACGTGAAATTCACTTAAACGGTGTTCCGACAACAAGTAGTCAATTTGAATTTGCCGCCATATTCTTTATGGCGGTTTTCAAAAGGTGACACTTCGCAACTGATAAGTAGACAGTTTATTGTTTCCAATAAAGATACCAATGATATTTAAAAACCCTAAAAGTGACGTTCGATCGTAAACGCGTAATTACACCGTATCTCTTTTCGTTGCAACGAAAGCCATTAATTAGTGTCAACTGCTAGAGCGTTCAATCAACCGGTTTATGACAGCTTATAATTCCCTTTGCAATGTTTCTAATCGTTAGGAAAAACTACGTTTCTGATTTAAAATCTGAAACGGTTGCTCGATAAAAACGACTAATTAACATTGCCGTGTTACGATACATGACATTAACGATGAAAATAGCCGGCAAAGTAGCGAGGACGGATATTGTACACGATGTACAGTCAGAGGGAAAATTAAACGGACGAGTTGCGGGCACGAGTGTCTTTCATGGTTGATCAGAAAAATGTCTATTATAAATCTAAATTTAATTACTATACAACAAATATTTCAAAGTAGATTGAATTCATTTTTAACCCTCTTAAAATGGATGCTCCGGAAGTGACACGCCATGACAAATCAAAGGACTTGTTATATCAGATATGTATGGTATATCGATTGGAAGCTGAAAGCTTGTAAAGAAAAATGATTGACAGGTTCCCATTTTATAAAATTGTCTCGTCTTTTAAATTCAATTACTCATTACATATCTTACAACTAAAATTCCTGTTTACATTGATTAGGGTATCTAATTTTTATTTAGTTTGAAAAATATCGATTATCACCACTTGTACGCTTAATTTTATCCCTGACTGTATAACGTCAGATTCGATTAATGCCGCTCGGTCGCATGGAAAGAGCGTTGGAGTACGGTAGGCGTTTGATCGCGTAGTCTTCACCGTAGGCAAACATTCGTCGAGAATCTACGAAGCTGTCGATCGTTACAAGGTACACGGTTTAGTAATGCACTCAAAATGAACGTATCGAGTATCGCGAGGCATCGATTGACAGGTAGCAGGGTTTAATCGGCGAGCATTTCAAAGGAACCATTCACGGGACAAGTGCAGCGTAGCCACTACATCGATCGTGATGCGCGTTGCGCGTGACATTTGTCGCTTGTTCGTCGACAAGGTAAAAGAAGAAAGGAAAGAAAAAAAAAATTGAGAAACTGACAAGGAGAAAAATATTATTCGAGACGATGATCGATTCTCGTTCGTTTCACACCTTTCGTTACCTTCGTGTTTTCACGATCGTACGTGTAAATGATACTGTTACTCACCTGGACCCGGCAGACCATCAAGACGCCCAGCAGTGCGGGCACCAGCATCCCCTTCATCTTTCCTTCCTTGGCTGACCTTTTTTAAACTCCCTCGATAAGATGTTCGTCGAGATCCCTTGCTTGACGATACCGCTTCACCGCGATCTTTTACGCAGGATCCGACGATGCACCGATTAACAAACGTCAGAAACGTCGCTGAACAAATTTACTTGTACCCGGGACACCATTCACCCGCTGTATACGAGAGCACAGCGTACTACTGTGACACTGCTGCTGGGTGGGTCGCTTGACAAGAAATCAAGATGGCGGCGGAGCGCGGCGCCGATGCCGCTGAAACGATTCGACCAATCAGAAACCGTCTTAGTTGGATGACCGCGTTGAAGGGTGCATTCACATGCGCGCAGTGGTCAGTCAATAATGTGGCGGGAATATCGTGATTTCAAACGATGCACTTTGACTCGTGCACGTAACTGTTAGATTTTATATAAGATTCTTCCGAGTAATTATTCTTAACAAGAGTTTTAACACTGAATCGTGAATTACCGTTATTGAAACAGTTAGTAGAATGAATAATATTCAATGAAGAGTAAGATAAAATATTAATAACAAAAGGATGTTTTCAAATAAATTTTAAGAAATAAGATCCGCAGACAACGCATAAATATTCGATCAAACTTCAAATTTAATCCATTTACATTGCGACAATGGAAATGAAACCTTAGCTAATGCTAATCGATGGCAAATTTACTTAGAACGCTTCGATTCTCAGAAAAAAACAATATACAATTGATTGTATGCATCACCAAGAAAAATCACTGTCAACGATTTTTTTAAGTCTCCAACTAACAATGTATGCATAAGATACATCTGTTACAGTATCATGATTACGCACCGGTAACGGTGCTATTAATACACAACAAATAATGAATAATGATGCGACATCATTTATATTCGTCTCCGATACCATAATAGAAGCGAGGACGAGGAGGAGGAAGTCAAAGACGAAATTAATACTTTTACCAACCGGAAGTCTATTGATAAGCTATTCGATACTAATAATTATCGATTGGAAACCACTTTGGCTGCTTTAATAATTACTGATTCATTTATTGATCAACACCACAAGCTTTCCTGAACAAAATTTCTTTTGTCCGACGCACTTGTAACGCCTGTATGCCTTAGTAAGTACATCTACCCCTTACGGTGAAGACGTCCGCATATCTCTAAGTAAACAGAGTGAACGAAAATTATCAGGATCAATTAATCAAGTGATTGAAGTTAATTGCAGTGAAAATTTCAAGTCGCTCCCTTCGATATCATAATACGCTGATTTTACGAAGCATGTGAAAATGCAAAGCAATAATAGAGATGGAGGCTGGTGTAATCGGGTAGTTTAAACGGGTTGTCTTGTCGAAACTCGGGACGAAGAGACCCCCATGGTGTGCCGCTGGTTTCTACTGCATAGCTGAGGGTTGAAATCGATACCGTTTCCAGGGTAACCAGTGGGTACGGTGGCCGACACACAGGCAAAGGTATGGGCCAAGGCTATCTACTCGTATGTTTTCATGTTCTTCCAAACGAGAAAGAGAGAGAGAGGAGAAAGAAAAAAGGAAAAATAGTTAGAAAGTCACTGGGAATGTGTAATTTTACCAGGTCTCTATAGTGGCTTAGAGGAAAAGCAGGAAAATCAAAAGGGTTCGTTGTTAACGGAACGAAATGTCAAGAGATGCTTGATAAAGACCGTATTACACTATGTTCGGTTTAAGTGTACACACGCCACTATTTTTCTAATTAATAATTTGCTATGCATTTCGAGATGAGTTCTCTATAGACGCCAAAGGACCCGTCCGGAGAGTCGGCGACGCACGGTACTTAGCCCGCAGGATGATATAATGAATGAGTATCCACCGAGAGCCACGGAACAGTTTGTTAATTTTATTCGCTACATAATTAGCATCTTTCGTAATGCACGTAAAACGGCAAAATTAAATTTATCTACACTCGATCGATGATCATAAAAATATCGCTGAGAAGGACTTCATTTTTTCTCATGGTTTCTCTTCCTGGTTCAACTCGTACAGCCCGCAAACTTTATTGGCTGGCACAGCTTTATCTGAAAAAAGTAAACAAATTTTCAGCCATAATGAACGCTTGAAAATTTAATCAGCGAAATGGCAAGGTTCATTATAACGTGGAAAAATATTGCTTCATAAATATTGTCGGAGGCTTCAAGAAGATTTTACGCTAGAATAAATTAGTGTACCGATCATTTTTGGATACGGCAGATTAAGGTTGTTCATTATGTCGACAAATTCATTTAGGGACTTGGATAATCTGGGATTAAAAGCCTTTTCCTCGGCCACCGTAGTCACTGTTCTACCGGAGTAATCGTGGGCCGGATAGAGCCTGTAATTCGGCGATAATGTGAAAATTTTCGTATGGACAGATTTGTACAAAACTTCCGCTGAACCACCCTGTAACAAATAAGTTCCTGAATTGTGATTCGGGTAGAATGTTTTTCGTATAATCCTCTTTTAATTTTTTTATACAAACCTGGAAATCAGTTCTACCGCATCCGCGTATTAAAAGAGCGTCCCCTGTGAAAGCAATCCCTTGTTCGTGACAGACATAAGTCACGCAACCTAATTAAAACACACAAAGATGATATTATTTTTGATTAAAAACTTTTTCAGTTTCTGGGTTTACAGGACACTCGCTCCGGGCATCTGAGAACAGCACCGCACTCAGGAAATTTATTTCAGTGTACTCGATAAATAAGTATAAAGTTCTGAAGTAATTTTTCCTCGGCATCTTCATCTTATCCCCCCTTCGTCCCTATTCTTGAGCACAAGTGCTCTCGGTATTACAAAAGAAAGAAAATTGTTTGACCTTCGGTATGACCGGGTGTAGGAAGCACCCGCAAATTATGCCTTCCAAAGCTTATTTGCTCGTCCGGATTCAAGAGTATATCGGCCTTAGCTCCGCTCTTACGTGATATCATTGACTGGCATCCAGGTAACAAAGACTTCAACCTCCCTGTCCCGGTGATATGATCAGCGTGCATATGTGTGTTTACTGTAAAAATCGTTTACTCAAACAGACTGGTTTGCTACCCTAGAAATTCATTTTAATATTAAAACATTTGAGGAGACACGATGCTTTCAGACATTTTCATTAATTTCGGTAAAAGTAAATGATAAAAAGGAACAGCGCTATTTTATTTTATACTAGTTTTGCAATTATACTCATAAATTTAGAGAAAAGAAGAATTAATATGTGTTCTCTTTCTTTACGAATGATTCCGTACGAATTGCGTAATTAAATGTTTTTTAAGAGACCCTTTTCTCTCTCCTTTTTTTCAATGAACTTTGAGTACCAATTTAAATAATTAATTGCTCAGTTTCCTTAATAATACTTGGCACTCTGTTAACTTATTGAATTGGCGTTATTCGAGCTCAATAGAGCCTGGTTGAAAAGTTTGAACCGACGAGAACCGTTTTGACCTATTGTACGAGAGGTATATATCAATGTGGGGTATTAAATCGTTGAAATCTCAATTTCTTACGATCTTTAACCCACGCATGATGAGATAATATAATTATTTATTGTGATCGAAACAGATCAATCGTCGACAATATTTAAGTAAAGTTTGTTTAAAATAAATAGGAAAATGATTTTCAACTTACTAGCATACTTCAAATCTAATCCCAACTCCTCGATAAGTTTTTTATCGCGTTCTACCCATTCAATGACTGGATCAATTAAAATTGCAGTTCTACTGTTGATGTCAGCCAGAAGGTAAGTATATGTGCTGGATACTGGATCAAAGAGCTGAGAATATAAAAAAAAATCTCCATGTCTTTAAGATTCAGTACAAATTAATATCAAATTTTAATGAATCATAGTAAGATAGAAATCTATATACAAATATATATATTTTATAGAAATCGATTGTTTGAATCCATAAATGCATTTTTAATCGCTAGATGTCGCTGTAAGTGCGATAACGAGACACGTTCAAATAAACTTCCTATACCTATTTGTAAAATAACTTGCGCAGTTATCAACTTACCTGGCGAAAAAGAAAGTCCTTTGAAAAAGGAATCGGTTCCGTCAACGCGGTACTTTTAGTATGATTCATTCTATTAATGAAAATAAATTTAGAAAACGAATTTTTTACGTATCGATTAGATAAATTTTTGAACAAAATTCTAATCATAATCACAATCCACTCTTGCCTCTTGAAGATACGTCTTCTCACTGGCAATCATGATCCATTCATCAGGAACGATAAGGTCAAAATGACGAATATATAGATAAAATTTATCATCATATCTGGGAAATATTAAATACTTTATTTAGTAATATGTAATTCATATAACTTGCATGTAATGAAATATATGTAGATATAAGTAAAAAGTTGAATTATCATTTTTGTATACATGGACAGAAATGATGAAATAATGTTTCACAAACGTGAAAATAAGATATATAAGTGTAACTGTAATTGTATTTAATAGATCAATTAAAATAGAATTGAATCCATTGAACTACCTTTCTATATATTAAAATTCCTTGATTATTTCCAGTTAGAAAAGCCATCTTGCAAGTTTCATACTTTTTGACAGTGCGTTCTTTATTGGTTAGGTTCTAAACTAAAGGTACGAACTTTTGGCAGTTCTGTATAAAGTGTATTATATCTTTAAAATAAAATAACACAGTTAGTAAAATAAGACAGTAAACGTTTTTAGCACGTTCCATATTTTATTACTGTATTATTTTTATTATTAATTACATATGACATGATAAAATGTTTCTGACATTTCTATGTATTCATTTCAGATGCCTTCCGTGACATTAAAAGACGTCGATCAACACAGATTCGTCAAGGCTTTTGCCGCGTTTCTGAAGAAGTGAGTACTTTTACATAAGGATCTAATATTAAAAAGAATTTTCTATTGGTGTATGATGAAAACTTTATTGGTTAACTTGTTACGAATTTTAGGACCGGTAAAATGCGAGTTCCAGAATGGGTTGACATCGTGAAGTCCGCACGTTTCAAGGAACTTGCACCCTATGATCCTGATTGGTACTATATAAGATGTGCTGCTTTAGTACGTCACATTTATATTCGTAGTCCAATTGGTGTAGGAGCAGTGACAAAAATCTTTGGAGGACGCAAACGTAATGGCACCCACCCCAGTCATTTCTGTCGTTCTGCTGGCGGTGTAGCTCGCAAAGCTCTCCAAAGCTTAGAGCAACTGAAATTGATTGAAAAGGCTCCACTTGGTGGACGCAAGCTAACTAGCCAGGGTCGTAGGGACTTGGATCGCATTGCAGCACAAGTGAAAGCGAAAAGTAAAAAACAACTTAAAATGCAAGAGACCCTCGTCCTTTAATATGTTTGTTTCTGTAATAAAAATAAAAAATCCATACATTGGTAGCTTTGTTTGCTTTAAAACCTCGGTGTACATGTTTGAATTTAGAATAAGATTTCGTCACCAGACGGCGACGCCATCGTCCATAAAATATGGAAGCCATCTTTGAATTACAAGCTCAATGGTGAAGGTACGGGCGTACGCAGCGCCGCCTCAGTGAAACTTTGACCGTAGAGGATAACGTTTCGGGGCGATCAGGTTGATTTTAGATCGAGTAGCAAGTAGGTGCAAAGGAAGTTTTCTCTGGGACGCAGTCGCGTACGCGCGTGAAAGTGTGTATGCATCGTGAGCCGCGCGAACAAGCGAAAGAAACGGAATATGTTTCCTCGCGGTCATTGCGGGAAACTTCAAGCGATCAAAATGTTAAGGAAATAATCGTGTCGCGCAAGTGTCTCTCGCTGGTAGAGAAGACAGACCGTGTGCTCAAAGTTTCATTCTCTCTCTCTTCCTCTCACCAAACCCCCGCCCCCCTCCTTCCCTCCTCTTCTTCCTGGTTGCGGCCTTCTCTTCTCCCGCCGCTCTTCTCTGGGTCCGTTCGTCGCACCGGGACGACGTTTACCGTGCGTCACGGGAAACGGCATTGGGAGGAGACAGAAGGTGACAGTCCTCCCGCGGAATTTATGGTGCGCACGAGAGAAACGGTGAAGTGAGTAGTGTCAAAGTGGAGTGAGTGGAACGGCACCAGGTGCCAATTTTCGGGGCGAAAAAGAAAAAAATAGAAAGAAGAGCTAGAGGGTTCGCTATCATTCCGGGCAATATAGGTGGAAAGAGAGAAAAAATGCCGGGCCTAATCGCCGTGAGCGAGTTCGTCGAGGAGACGAGAGAGGATTACAATTCGCCTACAACGTCTACTTTCGTCTCGCGGATGCCACAATGCAGGCAAACGATCACATCCCTCGAAGAAGTAAGTAGAAAGAAAATAAATCCTCTTTGCGCGTTTCCATGTATAACCTTACCGAAGATTTTGATCGGTGGTCGAACGCGTGCTCTACGTGCGTGGGCGTTTCACGATCGCCTCGATGGATACGTCTTACCATTATATCTAATAGGTGTAACGATTTTTATTTGATACAAGATGCCCAGTGCATCGGTTTTTCCCCCGTGGATGTCTTTAAAAGTCCACGCCACTTTTGCCGTGGCTCTGGCCTGCATCCACATTCAATTTCCACGTATCGATGTCGTAAATATGCGCACGGTCGATTTACGACTTCCAGTTCGGGCAATGTATGCTGACACGCTTTGCTGCTGCATTTTGTCCCCGTAAGGCTAGGGGAAAATACTGGTCCGAAGCGAATTCTCAATCGCGTATCGTTCGATCATTCATACTTGTTTATATACTCTACCGTCATCAAAATACGTATTATGAGCACGTTTTTATAATAATACGGTTACGTGTGTGACTTTTCTGCGCGTCACACGTTACAGGGATTTTCAATCCGATTAATTAACAAGATAATAAAGACAGTCAGCGTTGTAATCCTACCAAAACGTTTCGTTTGAACGAAAAGGATTCTTCTATGCAGCTGTAAATAATGGTTCTTTTTATGCGAACGCAATTATAGGCAAAGAATGTTACTGCTCGAGTCTTTCACAATTTAACGACCATCGTTACCTTTGCTGATTGCACCGGCAAAAATATGTCGGTTTAGGGTCTATTTTCATGGTGGCGGAAGTTACGCGAATTTTTGTTATCGAACACGCGTATAGTTCGGGTAATCCCTATATAGGGGGGATTAAGTTCCTAACTCCCTTGATGAACAAAATCACAGATATTATAAAAAATATAAATATTAATATTAAATATATCCTAATATTTGTCTTTTTGTTACCGTTAAGCGTTATTAACCCTAGGAAGAAGATTGGTTCGAAGAGGAGAGAGATGGATCCTTAGTAATTATCTTATGACATTCAACAATTGTTATCGCAATTTATTTGATCAATTGTTTCGAAATTTCTCATTGTTATTTGCCAATTTGTTAATAATACAAAGGTAAAATTAATTTATGAACCTTTACAATTCTCTATAAGATAATTTCTTACTTAACCCTCGGACGACGGACCATGGAGAGAGCCACAATTTTAATTTCATTTTTTATTTCGCTGATTTTATAATCTATACAAGGTTTAAATATTATTAACCTTTTAATTTAATTTTCAACATTTTTTTTTATCATTTTAGTGTTTGTCAATGATTTCACGAGCCGAGAATAATTAGTTAATCGAATTTTGTGTAATGAGGTAAATTGGGACACTGAACGCACACGTGATTATAGTGCCGGTGTTTAGAGTAAATTACAATCAATAAACATTGATAAGGTTGAACATTGTCGTTTCAGCGTTAACGTTTTGCATATTATCGAATCGTGGGCGTATTTTGTAACACGTTCAGATAGAGGGAACTTAGCGCGGAAAGTGTGTCACGCGCTCGGAAGTGGAGTTTGTGCAGGGAATTTACTAAAAGTATCGTTTTGCTAAGAAAAAATCGTTAGTAATGAAAAAATGCAAAATGTTTTTCTCACGGGACCAACCGGGAGACATACTCTACAAGATGTAAAAGGTTTCGTTCCGATTGGTCCATCCATTTTGGCGTAATCGACGAACATACATTTAAAAAGAAAAAAAAAAATACTGATCGAATTGAGTAACCTGCTTTTTCGAAGTAGGTTAAAAATCGACGGTGTTCGCTTTGATTTTAAGCCCGTTTACACAGACGAGTCCTTTCCTTAAATTACACGAAACGTTTTCACGAAACATGAAAAGTCTGATAAGATTTGATGACATAAAATTATGTTAAAATAACACTTGTGATATATTAGTTTGAAGCTCCAGGTTCCCCAAAAATGACTACATAAACGTTTCATAAATATTCTGAATACAAAAGGACTGATTAAAGATTATAGCAAACAACGATCGACTTCGAAGCGTACAAATTCAAGGAAGATTTCATGACATAAAAGTATCATGAAATGATACTTATGGTACATCAATTCCAAGTTAAAAGTATCCCAAAAATGAGTGTATAAACGTTTTACCGATATCTTTCCCCTATGTCATCTTTTTCCCTAGGTCGAACCCGATGCTCGCCGGTGTACAATATGGAGCATGATTTCATTATTCGACCGGGAATGAAAATTTTACTCCGGAGACTGTTGATGCCGCTCGATAGAGTACGATCAGGAGTCGAGGCAAATGGAAACGGACCTCTGACGAATGTTAATTACACGCACGGAATTCGCCTAACCCAGTATCGTGTTCGTTTACTCTTGACCCTGAGCGGGGCTGCTAAGTCACCCACTTTCTCGCTTTAGCAGCCTCACTTACGACACTAGGCACGACGAAAATTCACGTACCGGGTTATTTTCGTACCGTCGGGACCATGGTCTATTCTCGTATGCCGCGTCGAACCAACGGAAGAACAGTCGCCTCTTCCGTCTCCGTTTCTCTTGGATACCTTTTTCCCAGTTTTCATAACGCGCGAATTAACCGGCAGAAGCGCGGTAACAGGTTGCGATTCGACTGAACTAGGGTGAAGAGCGGTGTTAACCCGAGTAGATCTGAAAATTTCCCTAGGGAAAATATAGCCTTTTACCGACTTCCTAATACTTAGGGTCGTTCCCTGAAGAATACATTAAGGAAACGCATTGCGTGCGCTCACCCTGGAAGACGGCGGAGGAATAAGCTAATTTCCATCGACATAATTATTGGATTTTGCGTAACCGGTCATTTACATGTTACCGATACATTAAATACGCTCCAGATCATTTTTTGATAATTGTTCAACCAGCTTGAAACGTTCTTCCTCCCTTCTATATTTACATTAATTCTATATATATACGACGTTCGCTTCGTGTAAATGTTTTATTATACTCTTTATTAGATTTCTTTAATTAGATAGATTTTTTCTTTTTAATAGAGACGTAGGTTTTATGAATGAAAGGGTGGTGAATCTGGAAAAGGGTTAAAGACACTTTATATCGATGATACGTAAGAAGCATTCGATTGCATTAACAGTAGCGTGTTTAATAAATATAATTGAACGTAGGTAGTATTAATAGTTAGATTGCGAAAACATGAGATCATACTTTGCTAGGGTAATGTGATTCAACAAAACATTGAATATTTATTCAGCTTTGGCTGACGATAAAAAAGAAATTAGTGTAATTCAACTCATTAATTTATGGATTGTTTCATTTTTATTTACAGTCTTTTAATTACACACTCTCTCGAGCGTTTCCTTGTAAATTCACCTCTGCAGCTCGTCAATGAAATTTTAATATTGAATTTTAATTAGCGCTGATCGTGCGAGAGATTAAACCGTAGGGAGATTGCCTCGTATTTTTCCAGAACGTTAACTTTCAATCGCAAGGAATATTTGAGAAACTATACGGAGAGGCTGGTTACGATTTCAAAAATTCGTTGAAACGCAAAGAATATCAATTTACTGCAAGGAAAGAGAAACAATTTCAGCGTTTTAATCGGATCGATCGAACGGAAATTCTGCACCCTGCATTATCAGCGTTTATTGCTCGAGGATGTTTCGTATTATCTGATATTTCGCCGCGTTAACGTTTAACTCCCGATAAATGACAATTTCCAAACAAGTTCCCAACGAAATAGAGGCTCGTAATATAATTTCGTAACGAATCGGAAGAAGATAAGGCTCGACGATTTTTGGTATCGGCGCAGGGTGTGAAGGGTTAACGAAGCGACGTACCGGAACGAAACACCAATGATGCTGATAACAGACAACACAGTTCGATCGGCAATAATGAAATTTGTTCAGCCGAGACTGATCGAGGTTGTCGATACACAGAAAGTTAAATCAACAGACTTTCCCTAGCCAGTCTGGTATCTTGCTGTTTGCCAAACGGACACGTCACGCAGGGTGTACATATATCCATGGAAAGTTAGAATAGAAGTGTTCCGATCGATGAACGTCTCTATTGTGTACGATGGAACCGGTTGAATAAAACGGGAGAACAAAATGACAGAAAGTCAATGACTCCACGGGACGACGGTACGATTCGTTTGAGAAGAACCAGAAGTGTTTCTTAAAATTTTTAATCATTTCAAAAAATAGTAATTTCAAAATGATCAGGTCTGAGCCCTTAAAGATGGATTTAACGCCGAGCCTCGAATGACCCTGTTACCAGCGTCGAAAGGGTTAAGTCGACACACTTACGTCGAGTGTGCAACAAACACTGGCACGAAAAAAGGAGATGAATCACCGAAGAATCGCCGAGGGACCAGAGCGCACACCTTAGCCCCGCTAAACCAGCTCCCTCTGTTTCTCTCTATCTCACCTGACGACCAGGTGAGACTACTAAGAACGAAAGGAATTCCTCTTGCCCGTACGACCTTGGTAGGTCGTTCGTATCCGAGTCGTTTACCTGGACCGATTTGCAAACGTTCAGCTGAGCATCTCTGCACAGAGTGCAGCCATAAGCTCTACTCCATTTCAAGAAAAACACAATTGTACGCTATTTAATCGAGAAGTAATGGGATTTTTTTACATTTTAACTCAACGGATTGGAAGTGTTTCCAGGGAAAAAATAAACTGCTACAATGATCGATAAGTTCAAGCCTGGACTGACATTCCCGGTGCAGAATTATACTGGGTGTCCCTGTATCGATGATTCTACATGAGAAAATATGGAAATAAAATTTTTCCATCAGAAATTTTATTTTTGAAAAAATTAACTTTGAGTCTTCTCCAAGTACGCAAGCACTTGATTATATTGTAATGGAACGAATTTCGATACAAGTCATATGTCCTAGGTTTATAATTAATGATAAATTAATATTTACTTTATTAATGCAGAAAATTTCATTTTCAAATGGAAAAAAATAAAGTACTACAATGATCGATGATTCTACATGAGAAAATATGGAAATAAAATTTTTCCATCAGAAACTTTATTTTTGAAAAAATTAACTTTGAGTCTTCTCCAAGTACGCAAGCACTTGATTATATTGTAATGGAACGAATTTCGATACAAATCATATGTCCTAGGTTTATAATTAATGATAAATTAATATTGACTTTATTAATGCAGAAAATTGCACTTTCAAATCTTATTTTCACCCCCATCACAGTATCATCGATACTGGAACACCCTATGTATCGATACGAGTAAATGTACGCAGGTGGTCCAGAACGGATTAAATCATTCAGAACATCTATTAATAACTACCCCGGGCGTTAATGCATCTTCGCGATACGCGTATGCAAACTTTGAATATAAACATTTTCAGAAAGGGGTAGACCGGTAATTAAACGTTCCTCGCAGCCGGTAGTAAATGCTGAACGCCGACAGGAGATACATTGATAAGTATCAGACGGCTAGATAAAGGTAGCGGACAATGGGAAGGAAGTTTGGCGCGTGTATCGCGTAACCAAGTGGTTAGGAAGTGTTTTTTCTTTTCTCAAACCAGGTGATCGCGACAAGATACATCACGACGCGTCGTTAAGCACGTTACGCTGATGTAGCAATAATTGTTTGTCGGACAATCGTCCATTCCGGAAGTTTGCATTCGCGCGAACCCTCGTTTACCACGGTGGTTCCGTTTCCGTTCGTTCAATCGTGACCTAGACCTTTGAAAAATATTCATCGATCCCTGGTTGCGTTCATAATTGTTATAAGAAATATTTTGTATATTAAAAAATAAAATTCTTAATTTATTCTTAACGCAAAGCGTTGTAATATACGTGAATCGGAAACGACTATATTCGAGTATCACATAAGCGGAAGTATTCGTCAGCCTTTCACTTCTGTCCATACCGTTCCGTAACGTGTAACACATACAAATCTAATTAATGAACGATCAGGACGGAGGGGAAAATTCATTTCCACCTGTTTTGTTACAGACCTTGGACTTCGACAGGGACGGGCTTACGAAGCTGAAGAAAGCGATAAAAGCGATCCACAATTCTGGAAACGGTGAGGCATCGACAGATGATAGATATTATTTTCATCGACGATGAAACTTTCAGATTGTTTCCCTCTTACTTTCTTAAACTCCGTTAACGCCAGATGTAACGTATTCCACACGTGAATGTAACGGGAAAAGTTTTCTCCGCTTTCACAGTTCAGGTGAAAAACAGATAGCAAATTAGGCTGATTAGTTGTAAATAAAAAATATTGAAGATGTATCAGAGTAATTATATAATGAATTGATTAGTCGTGTGCCATGGTATTTAAACGTTACCTCTCCAGCCCGCGATATCGAGTGATCGGATATTTTAATTTGTCCAGTTAAATTAATTTATTTTATCCCAATAGCCCATGTGGATAATGAGGTATACCTTGGAAGGGCACTAGAGAGGCTCGGGGACGCTGCTTTGAAGGAACAGGAACCGGATATCGGTGCGGCGTTCTTGAAGTTTGCGGTCGTCACAAAGGAACTGAGCGCTCTGATGAAGACCTTGGTGTGTACGAATAATATAAATTATTGTCGGTCCTGTTATTAATATTTCTTATTAGTTTCGTTCATTAACGTTCTCTCTAATTAACACAATTTTCAAATAGATGCAGAACATCAACAACATCGTGATGTTCCCTTTGGACTCGGTGCTAAAGGGTGACCTGAGAGGTGTGAAAGGTGACTTGAAGAGGCCGTTTGAGAAGGCGTGGAAGGATTACGAGGCTAAATACGCGAAAATCGAGAAGGAGAAGAAACAACACGCGAAAGAGGCTGGCCTCATTCGGACGGAAGTTACGCCTGCTGAGATCGCCGACGAGATGGAGAAGGAGAGAAGATTGTTTCAATTGCAAATGTGCGAGGTGAGGCTCTGCGAAAAAGAGAAACACATCTGGATCTCGCAACACTTATCTTTCTACCATTTTTTTTTTTTTCTTCTTCTTTCCCCTCGATGTTCGTCATTTTATGATAAATGCAAATCAACTAAACGCGTTATTTATTTATATAAAATGTATTTTGTTTCTTTTTTACAGTATCTTATAAAAGTGAACGAAATCAAGACGAAGAAAGGAATCGAACTTCTTCAGCATCTAGTCGAATATTATCACGCGCAAACCAAGTAAGTTTATCGGTTAAATTGATGATAAATGGAAATTGAAATTCACATCGATTGTTCATAGTTATTTTCAAGACGGCCTAAAAACTATCGAACATTTTGGTTCGTACGTGGCTGACCTCAGCGTGAAGTTACAAAAGATTAGGCAAACGCAAGACGAAGAGAGAAGACGTTTAACAGAGCTAAGAAATCTCCTGAGAAGTTCAGGTTGCGACAAAGAGGTAATGAAAAGAAATCGACTCGTGGCTACCTTTATTAAAGGAGAAAAGAACGTTCATAGGAAAATTGAAAACTGTGTACCTTTTAGTTAAATGTAAACGCGAATGCAGGCTATTCGCTCCATCAGCTTCAAGGGGATAAACAGCACGGCGTGACTCGTTCGGGTCATCTGTTAAAAAAAAGCGAAGGAAAAATGAGGAGAGTCTGGCAGAAACGGAGGTGTGCAGTTCAAGCCGAAGGTTATCTAGACATCTGTCACGCGGATGAAAATAAACCGCCTACCAGGGTGAATCTGTTAACCTGTCAAATCAAGCTAGTCCCGGACGACAAACGGGGCTTTGATCTCATTAGCTGTAAGTGGTAATATAATTCATGGATAATAGATAATGAACGAGATGAATGAATTGAAATTTATTTCTTCGCAGACAATAGAACGTATCACTTTCAAGCAGAAGACGAAGCGGATCAACGAGCGTGGATGTCGGTTTTGGTTAATTGTAAGGAACGCGCGTTGCTTCGAGCATTCGACGCGAGCGGAAAGGCGGAGGCTGGAAGCGGAAATCCAAGTTTAGTCGAACTCCAACAGGCTGTAATCCGATGTGTCATGAGGTTACCTGGAAATGATCAGTGCTGTGATTGTTCCTCGCAAAACGGTAAATTTTATAGCTTCCTGGCTTCCTGGTAAAACAACTCTCGCTGGTATAAAGCTATAGCCCCCTTATCAAGATTTTCAATTTTAGATGCGGGTTAGTTAATAAAGGTATTTATTTTTATTTTACAGATGCCACGTGGCTTTCTACGAATTTCGGTATAATCGTGTGCATTGAATGCAGCGGGATCCATCGAGATTTGGGAGTACACATATCCCGAATACAATCTTTGACACTGGACAACGTGGGCACTGCCCAGCTACTTCTTGCAAGAAACATGACTAACCATGCGTTCAACGAAGTAATGGAAGCAACGTTGCATCACAATCACAAACCAACGCCGACATCAACGATGTAAGTGGAAATATTTATATTTTCATTTTCAACTTGTTACCATTATTTTCTATAAAATGCAGGGAAGAAAGATACGATTTTATAAGGGCGAAATACGTGGATAAAAGATACGTGATGAACACTTGCGCGGATGAAAGGGATCTCCTCTCTGATTTAGAGCATGCTGTTAATAATCGTGATCTCCAACAACTTTTGCAAGTTTTTGCTGAAAATGTGGATCTGGCAGCACCTTTGCCAACATCGGTAAAATTTTTTATTTATAATCGATACGAGTTTTGTCTAAAATTAATATTATAATGAAGATTATATCGCTTCTTTGCAGGACGTGGGCGAAACGGCATTACATTTAGCCATTCTGCGAGAAATGGGAAATAGTTTACACATAATCGATTTTCTGGTGCAAAATATGTCAACAGGTGGTATAGATAGAACTACCATCGACGGTGAAACAGCATTGCATCTTTGTGCGAGGCACGACAGGGCTGAAGCGATGAAATTGTTACTGCGAGCCGGTGCTGATCCGACACATAGGAATAAACAAGATAAAACACCATTGGACATTGCACAGGAAATGGGTCATCATACCTGCAAAGAATTGGTAAAGTATCATTATTAACTTTAATATTTTGTATAAATAAATTATAATACCATTCGTAACCTGTAATTCATATATTCTTAGTTAAGTCACGCTTTACAAAGACAAAAGACATTGTTCGACAATGTTAACATCGATTGGAATCTTTCGCACGATGAAGGTTCGACCGACTTCTCCGACGATGAAACGATAATCGAGGACCGGGTATGTTGAATCAACAACAATATTAAGGATATTATTTTATCGAAATCAAAGTTTACACTTTGTTCTGATATTCTAGAATGGTTGCTTAACACCGGAGAAAAAATCTCGTAGTAGACCACCATCATACGTGGGTGGCGGTGGTGGTCCTGGGTCAGGGGATTCACCAGTGACGTTACGAAGTCGAAGTAGCACTTGCGACAGCTTGCAAAGTGGTTCTTCGCCAAGTTCCTCGACGAATAGACAGCAAATGCCTCCACCGCCACCTCCGCAATCAAGGAAACCTGTTGCTGGTGAGATATTAATAGTAAATATTTCAGATACAACGCGGGAGAGGACAAGGTGTGATGTTAAAAAGAATTTCCTGTTCCAGTACCTGCACCCATGGCGCCAGATATATCAGTCAATATTCACGGATCATTGAAGAAACGTGTAGCACCTCCACCACCACCGGCCGGAAGTACAGGTGGTATATCCTCCTCTCATTACGGTACACTACCTTCGTCCGCGTCCTTAGCAGCGTCAACGCATAGCCGTACAACGAGTGAACCGATCTTAGCTGGGCATTCTTTACACACTCTACCACATGCGTTAAATACATTAAACAGTCAACATCATAAAAGATCGCCCAGTGGAGATTCTTCAACGGGACACGGTGCGTTTGAAAATTCACACAAACTTCTTCTTCTTCTTCTTCTCTACGAACTTGCCAGCCGGTTCTTTCAACGTTTCCGATAATAATTTTTATTTAAGATCATTTATCTAATTTTCTCTGTTCGTTAGGCACGGACAAGGTGAACAGTTCAACCCTACAGAGACCAAGGAACCCACCACCACCTGCCCCGTCGGGTATTAATTCGTCCAGACTGAGTAACGGGCGTAGCAGCGAATCTTTAAGTTCCATGTGCTCGGATCACGGTTTGGGTAATCCCATTCCACCCCCACGCAAGGTAAGTTGGAATAATTTGGTGGATATTTATAGACAGATGAAGTAATTATAAAATTGTTTTGGCCATCGGTGACGGGCACAATAAATTTAATAAAGAGACAAAAGAAAATGATTTTATATTTTTTTTTGATTTTGATATTTGGAACTTTCTTTGCCACGTATCAATCATCGATGCTGTAGATTTTCTAACAACACCATAAACGCCACGTACGTGTATGTATATACATTCATTTCGAGTAACAATCGTTCATTTAACATGAATACTAATTATCAGAAAATGTTTACTAACACGATTTTAATCCTATCACTGTATCCCACGTAGTAATTAACAAATAGTTTCTCGTCGATTCGTGTTTACCTATTTCTCGTTTAGATTTTGGTATTTTGTATATATCATGTTAATCACAACGTGTTACTTGTGATTTATTGTTAGTATTTTTTATGTGTTTATCAAATCACGAATCATCATACTTTCATCGTTACAACCTTTGTAACGATATATTGCACATTCATATTCCCATGTTGCATAAATCATTCGTTCATGTCGTTTCAGAAACTAACCGGGTCGAAATTGGAATCGTAGCACATTAATATTACAAAGTTGATCAGTGTAATTAATTTAAAGAACAGTGTCTACATTTTATATTAAATTGTATAGGAATTTTATTGATTGGATCATATTTTCGACAGAAAAAAAATTAGAGAAACTCAAAACACTTAGACATTGCATGCATTTCAAAAACAGTGCTTTATGGTTTTGTCATTAACCATTGTTGGTACAGCGAAGGGACCGGTCCAGGCTAGAGAGCTACGCCGAGGAGCCTTCATCTTTGCTCCCAAATCTGAATCTGGTAAACATCAGCCATCCCACATTACGACTTACTACACTTGAAATGTTTTTCTTTACAATGTAACACCTCGAACCATTTTTATTTACAATGATTTTTCATTAAAATATACGCAGTGTTCTAGGGGTGGATCCGGAAACCTTGGGTTGGCGAAATACATAATAGCATTTTTGAATTTTTTTTTTTTTATTTTAATAATATAGACGAGTATTTTTGTACATGAAAATGGGAAAAAATTTAATAGATGTTTCCATGGCATTTTATTGGTTTCGATCCTTAAGATTCTTTTCAAGTGTAGTAAATCTTTGCATGATCAGTCGTGCTGTCCGCAACCATCGTTCTTCCATGTCAATGCTTTGGGTATATAATTTCTAACGAACATTAATACGTTTTCTTTCTTATTGTTTAATTAATCACCAACATTTTCGTCTTCGTTGTAACATTTCTATTTTTGTTTGGTTTCGTTCGAAACTAATTCGCTTTCTGGATTTCTATAACACGTCAGGATAATTAATTATAATTCGTGTTTTTTCTTTTTGTATAATAGTTTTGTTGTTATTAACCCTTTGAACAACTACACCTAGGTCATTTGTGATTCCAGCTGTCTGCCTTAGAAATACAAAATTTCTTTCAAAAGTTTTCCAAAAATTCGTATTAGTGGTCCTTCACGTGCTTTTTAAGCGTTTAATAAACAATATGTCTTGATTTTTATATCAATAATTAGCTGTCTTCTATTTTCTATGTTTAATCCTTAAAATTGGATATTGCAGGCATGAAATTAATGTGTATCATTGGAAATTCTAGTTTTAACTTTATGTATAATAGATACCAAAGTGAACTAAACATGTTATTTTATTTTCTTAGAATAACCCATTGACACAAAGTTATTTTTATTGTTGAAACCTCATTCAATGTTTAAAAAAAGATTTAAAAAACAGCCATAAATAAGTGGCGCCATCTACCGACAGGTGCTCAAAATGAGTTTTTTCAATGTCTCCGATACGGAGCGCAAGAAATATATGAGCTTGTAGTCAAAATCAGATGGCGCCACTGTGCAAAATAAATACGCGCCTAATACAAAAAAATATGGCTCTATAAACACCCTGTATATATGTACCATAGACGAGTATATTTATAGTTATTTCTCATTTCCAAATAGCAATAATGTTCTCCCTTTAAAATCGCTAGAAACAGTAATTCTTGAAACTCCATTTGCCTCATGCATGACACACTAATTACAGTAAAACAAAACCAAAAAGAAAATGAATCTACTCAGTTAATCGTGCACGGTCTGCATACATACGGTCTTCGAGAAAAGACTCTACTTTCTTTTTCTATATTTCTCTCTAGAATTTCCAATATCGAGCTGACCTCGATGAAGGAGGCATTCTTCAGCTCGCGATTAAATGTTCTTATGATATAATTAGTAAAAAAGAGTGCTTGCTTCGACCATGGAGGACAAAGGATGGACGTTGTTCACTTTGCTCCTAGTTTCTAACCTTGGTTCCCCCCGATTGCTTATCTTTTTTTAGCCAACCTCTTCAACGTTAACCGGTCTACGACGTTGTAGAGCGTTGTACGATTGCGAGGCAGACAACGAGGATGAATTGTCCTTTCGCGAAGGCGAGGTAATCATCGTTACGAACGAGCAAACCGACGATGACAATTGGATGGAGGGTGCCCTTGAAAGGGCACCGGAGCGAAGAGGAATGTTCCCGATCAGTTTCGTTCACATGTTACAAGATTAACATTCGGTAAGTTTGAACTCATTGGCAAGTGTCTTCAGTACTGCCAGCACCGCGAGTGTCGCTAGCCTTGGTAGGAAGTCTTGGATAAGAAAAACAAAGGATTAAGAAAGAAATTTCGAGGAAATAATTGGGGTCCATTCATGTTTAACCTCAACGTTTACATTGGGCAAACGTTGATGTTAATCATAAATGTATCTTCATCCTTTTGGCACGCGTTCATAGGTTATGAATTTTTCTACCTATCATTTTTTTGCTCTAAAATGAAAGCAAATCAATTTTTTGGATCGTCCAAACAAAATTTTAAGCAGATTATTAGAAGCTTACAAATTGCCTTTTGTATTTGGAAAATCTGAAAATTCTTTGAATACGTTGTTCAGAGTGCTAGAGGAAAGAGAAGTTAATGATTTCATGTAAATTGATCCAGACAAGAGGAAATCGAAGACTCGGGGCGAGTCTCGGTTTCAAGGCCGATGCTAAACAATAAATGTGATATAAGATATATTTCAATATAAATTAAATTAGCATTACGGATCAGATTTAAACTAACTAATTTCTCTACGCTAAAAGCTATGAATACTGTTGGTCAAACACGTGCTTTCTCGTAGTCAAACAGGTGATTAACACTTTGACAATTGCTGTCACGTATGACGACTGGGTCGATCGTAACCTATACGAATCGACAAACATTGAGCACTTCAGTTTCTGGAAGGAAAACGTTTATTATATTAGAGAAATAATATCCAAAGAAATCTTGTCGAGTCTGAAAAAATAAACGGCTTTGATATAATTCTATTTAACACGTTGACAACCATGATCAAAGTGTTAATTATTAAAGTATATTGTCCATCGTGAATATCACGGTAATTCGTTTGTAACGAGTTACAGCGGATACTGGTTTATCTTGCTGCTAGAGTGTATCAATTCTACTACGTAGAATAAGTTAATCGAATTATATATGCACAATTTCGAGGATACAGGAAAAAAGATAAAATCACAAAAGTATGAATGATTGTGTGTTATATATACAATATATATGTTGTGTATATGCGTGAGAGCGCAAAGAAAGAAGAATAATAATTCAGTCTCTAATTCGTCGCATGTCCTTAAAAGTAATCTGGCGCACATTTCTTTTCCGTACTGCCAACGCTGATTATACTCTATACATATTTCTCGCCAGTTTCAAGAGAAAGAAACGAAAAATCATAGGAACTCTTGTGATAAGATAAAGCAGGGGCGCACACGAAATTGCCCTAATGGGCGCACGGCGCCCATTTTACTACTTACCGTGTATGCCTGATCTAAAGGATGCTATTGGATTGTTGCATATTTCATCGTGAATTTTAATGTATAGAAAATCTGACATGATTTAAACTTGTCAGACTTTCTATATTTCGAAATCTATCATTTGATATACAATAATCTAATGAAAAATAAAAATGGTCCTTGTTAGGATATACGATTGAGACATTAAATATTGCATGACACCCATAGTATTATTAGCGTAATCGACTTCTAAGAATCACCGTCGTTACGAGCGTATGTACATTTTTGTAATGCCATATTATTTGTTAGTATGTATATAATAATTGTATACATATATATATATATGTACATGTATATACAAGTACATATATAGGTTGTCTCAAAGGTATACACTATGAAAACTGTCAACTCTTCAGGGACGAAGATCGAAGATATTAACAAATTGAAAATCTGCCATGGTTAAATTCTTTTATGATTGAATCATTAGGAATAATATTGATGAAATTTTCATAGTGCATATCTTTCACATGAGATATCTTTTATATATGTACATATAAATTCATGTATTATTCGTTCAATGAGAGATCATACTTGTCGACGAATTGTCATTCGGACCTGCGCACATTAATTCTAATGAACGCGCATGCGCATTCTGGCAGTGAGCAACCGCGCGCAGTAGTCTTATTCATCGTCAGTATATTCGTCGACCCTCGAAGCAATCACGTGTTTTCTGTATTTATTGAATATTATTCATACATCTTGGTCCATCGTGGACATGAGCACGAAGTGTCAAGAAGTTAGAAATAGAGAAAATCCCTGCAAAGTTCCACGAAGTTAGGAGTAGAAGACCTTTACGCGAAATGCTGCGAAGTTAGAAGTAAAGAACCTTCCCCCCTAGTGTGACGAAGTTAGGAATAGAGGGCCTCCCCGAGCTGTGCAAAACAGGTATTATCTCTTTGAACGAATAATATACGTATTGTGAAATAGAAATATAAAGTTAGAAATTTATTAGTCATTAAGTATATATATGTATACTTAACAAAGAAAAGAATATAAAAAGGACCGAGTATAGAGTACGTGTGTTGCTACTAAACGAGATTTATGTGCCGGAAGCGAATTGAAATTTATTTTATTATTTTTATTACTTGTATACACGAGACCAAAGAGGCGTTTTTACCAGCGAAAAGGACGAAGCTCAATTTACATTTTCAATTATAATTTGTCTAAGTGATTGTAAATTAACCGGTCATTTTGTTACACTTTTTCATACCGAATTGTGCTTAGGACGCCATCTATATTATTTGTCTCTTGTTAACGCGTTGAATGCTGTGATGGAGTTAAATTAGATAATAATTGCAAGAAAAATATTATTTGGAATGACAGTTGGTAAAGTGAAAGCTTGAAATCAGAAATTTCAAAAGTTAGCTGTTTAAAAATAAAGTGTCCATTTTCACTGCAGTCTTTAACGTGTTAAAAGTAGAAGGTGGTTCGGTAAAACTTTGTCGAATAATAGTCTCGTCGCTGTGTAATGCCAATCTGTAATATATATATATAAAAGAACAGCGGTGAAGAATAAGAGGGAAAAACAATCTAAATATTCTAATCCATCTAGCGTTAAGCTGCCTTTCACTCTTTGTTTTGGTTGATCCCCTGCGGTCTTCGGTACAACCGGTAATCCTGCGTTTGTGCCGAATGAAAACATAGGATCTCATCGTTGGTCAGTGTACATATGTGTATAGAGTAAATGAGCGTGACCGTGAGAGAGGAATCAATGTTTATACTGTTAAGCATACGATAACGTACAATCTTAAGTATGTGTATTATACGGATATATTTAAAAAAAAAAAAAAAAGGAAGAAATGATTGACATCGATTGCCGCGAGGTGACTCCTGTTCGTTCGCGTGGAATCATTTCACAAAGGGTATAGCAGGATAAGATGGTCAAAAGTGCCCTTGAGCCGATTTTATTCAGCAATGCACCATTTAATAGCTTATGAAAAAAAAAAAACGTTATACACCAAGTTTCAACCCTATATCTCAACCGGGAGGGTTGAAACTTGGTGTAAAATAAAATCGGCTCAAGGACACTTTTGACCATCTTATCCTGCTATACCCTTTAACCCTCTCGCTACGAATCGCGTATATATACGCTCTTAAATATTAATAATAAATTATTTATAAAATTTCAGAGTGACGATTTTCCGTCGAAACGCAACGAGGGGGTTAAAATTTATCAAGATATTTGTTCAAAAAATGGTAAAGATAAACTTCAGAAGTGTACATTAAAATTAAATGTACCTTTAAATGTAATTAATAACTGCTAATATTTCTTTGGATAAATGTATATATTTTACCAAGAAATATTTGGAGACTTTATAAATTTCCTATATTTAGGGATCATAGCTATCTGCCAAAAACGAGAAAACAAAAATCTTTCATTTTCCATTTGTGATATACAGTAGTATAAACGAGGGTAATAGATAAACGACAATAAAATTTTCAATGATCCTTATTCAGTTGTACTACTAGCAAAAAAATTACAGTGATATGATTATTGTATCTGTCTCTGATATTTGATGAATAATTGTGATAATTTTTTAATGGGGCTCGTATCGAGCTCAGAAATATTATTTTGATACCAAAAAAAAAAAGGAAGTGATATGAAAGCGAGTCTGCGAACTTAACCTCCTATTCAAGTTACGATTTTTTAATAAATTCTTTTCTTCACTTTTTCTGTGATAAAAATTATTATTCAAAGATTTTGAAAAAGAAATACTGTATAATCGCCGCAGAAGTATCACCGTTCTCCAAATTATACACGTGTTTTTTTCTAACGTCGAAACGCTATATTTCTGCCGCGACTATACTTTTAAGCATACGAAGATTCTTAGCGAAGAACAGGGGTCACAATTGCGCGTCCTGTCCTCTGAACTTACTATACATATACAGTATGCATTTAAAGAAAAAAAAAAAAAGCGTTAAGTAGATGATAAGTATTTATTACTATTCCGTAGTGACTTGTGCTAGGTGCAAAATAAAAAAAAAAAAATGGGAAACGCGCGTAGATATGTGAAGAAAGATTAAAATGTCTTTTTCTTTTTTCTTAGACTATGACAAAAGAAATTTCTTGTACCTCTGGCATTTTAACTAGCACATGATTATGTGAGAAAATGTTTAAATGCGATCGTTCGACGACATAGAAGCAGGTCTAAATATTGATATTATACGAACGGTAATGTACTAAACGTTTACTGTATCCTCAGCGACTGACTCGCTGCAGAATTGTCCTCTGGACGGTTCACAGACTCTAAAATGTATTGGAAATAAATATCATTTAGAGAACTATAAGAATACACGTCATTCATTATGACTTTCAGGTTCATCTTTTTTCTTTTTCTAGGCTGGAAGTCAACATAGATGTAAGGATTTTTTTGAAAATGAAGGATGGTGGATGAAAAGATATATTTTTCCAAATAATCACAGTACAATTTGTCATGTCAGCTATGTAATGTTCCTTGTTTTAACAACAGCATTGGGTCGAAGGTAGACAGGGCTGAAAAATAATAAATTTGTATAAACCTAATGAAAAGTAAATACTGATTTACAATTGTCTATGATTATGTTAATATATTTACAGATTTACCTTTGTTTCCATACAACAAGGTTCCAGTGTACCAGGTGGAATGTAACTGAAGAAAAGTTGGATTAGAATTTATATTAATAAAAATTCTTTGTTTTATACTGAAATAAACTGATGAAAATAGATTGAAACCTTGTATTATATGTAGTATGGCCATCAATTGGAAAATCAGGAGGATGGTAATCATTTTTGTCACGTATCCTCTGCACTGGACCTGTTTCTACTGGCTGGTAACTCAAGTGCATTACAGTTTCTCCATTCATTGGAATGTCTGATGGTTTATACACACGTATAGGTGCATAGGACTGAATAGGCCTCAGTGATTCACAATCACTTGGTAAATAGGACATTCTATGAGTAGTGCAACCTGTATAAATCAGTACAAGATCAATGTTAGATGATAGGAGCTTGAAATTGGTATGCCATTTTTCATGTTTCAACATTCCAATCTATATTATTAATTACTGTCATGATCAATATTATTCTACACAAAATTTATCAGTACATACACTCAATAGGTCCACATGGGGGAACTAAGTTATCCTTAGGACGAGAACCTGGTTCCATTTGGATCTGCTTCCACGTGAAATCGTGTTTTTGTGTAGTCACATCCTGTATTTGTCCTCTACCTAACATTTGTTTGCTACAAGGTGTGATTGGTTCCACTGGTTTTACATTCCAATTACCTACGAAGCTCATCTGAAATGTATATCATTTATTTATTTTATCCTCTATCCGATTTCATTTTTTTCTTTTTTTTTAAATATTATTTTTCTAACGCAGGATAAGTTTGGATCACAATTAACCCAGTATCTATTTTCTTACTCGATGAACGGTGTCATAAGCAGGCGGACAAGTAGAGAAGGTAATGTTGCCAGGCGGTATTATCGGGTCTCGTCTGCCATCTTCGCAACCAAAGTAGCTAAGACGATAGATTGTGTTCTTATCGTTACAACACTGTGCGTTTAAAATATTCTCGGTTAACCGAGGGAGAATTGGCGATGGCCTTTCCTGGCAGTTGGGGTAGTAACTTAATTTATAAGTCGTACAACCGTCGATTGGATAGGTAGGTGGTGTATATTCTTGTTTCTTTCTCCATGATTTTTCCTAAAGGTTCGATATTATTTTTTTGAAATTATGTCATAGTATTTTTCATTCACTTTAGCGTTATATGTACTTACTTTCATTGGATTCATATTTGGCCAGTAACTGAGCCTATAAGTAGTATTGTCCTCGAATGGAATGTCTGACTTGACGTATCTTCGTACAGGCGCAAAAGATTCAGGAGGTGAGTTGCAACAGGATTCGTAGTAGCTAAGTTTGTACGTTGTGTCATCTGAAAACAGAATTAGTATCCTTGTTATATTAAGACGTTATCACTTGGAATTTTCTCTTTATTTTTACCAAGTAATGGTGCCGGATTGCAGTATATATTGTTCCTTGCTTTATAGGCTGGCGTTGTTTCTATGCTCTTCCACGTGTAATCGTGTTTCTGAGTGGTAACATCTTGCATTGGACCTCTGCCGAGCAATTGTTTTTCACATGGTGTAATACTCGATACAGGTTTTACGCATAAATAATCCATATAACTGGTCTATATTATATAATAAAGAAATTAATGCAAACGTGGCGTCAGTGAGTCGAGGAATACAAGTTATATTAATAATTAAGAAATTCTATAGTTGCTTTACATTGTACGTTGTTTGGTCAGACATTTCGCTATTTCCGGTGACCAAACAATCTCTTGGAAGAATCGGTTCTACTTTTGAGCTCGGATTTTCCCAATAGGAAAGCTGGTAGGTAGTATTATCGTCCATCGGTATCGTTGATTTCCAATAACGCTAAAATAATTTTGATGAAGAATGCTGAAGCATAAATGAAGATTGTAATTTTAACTGTTTAAACTCACGCGTATTGGAGCGCAGGACTTTGGTACTTCCGGCTGTACATATTTCTGAAAGAAAATAAATAATCTAAAATATAGCAATCAAACTATCAAACAATTTTATATTTACGTAGCATATGGGTGAAGGGATACAACAGCAACAACTGCAATTTTCATCGTGACGTTTCTGGAAAACACATAATTAATATTTTTATTAGGATTAAAAATCTTATTTTAACTTACTTTAATTCTCCACCTTTCATCGAGAATTTTTGGTTGTTGGTTGCCTGATGACCTATATCGAACATTATTAACTTCCATCATTTGTAACAAATTAATTAGTATATGATACAGTTACTTACGGACGAGGTGAACAAATTTGCATGATGCCAATAAATAACGAAGACTTATTACAGGATCAAAGAAATAAAATTTTATTTAACCTCATTAATAAAAAAATAATAAATATACTGTCAAAGTAAAAACAAAGAAGGTAGTGTCGAATTGTCGATTTTTGAAAAATTGTAACTTGATATAGAATATTGGTACAGTTTTTTCATTAAAAAATTTATTTCATTGAGTCATTTTTTATATTGGATGTGCAAATAAATAAATATTTGTAAGAACGTTGAATTGTTCCATATATGTACATCAAATGCCGTATTTATAAGGAGCATTGTTATAAACTGGGCGATGTATCTTTCGAGATCCATCACTTCTTCAAGTGGGGATGAGGTGAGAGTATAAAAGGAGAATCCTTTACTTCCTTGAGGTCACAAACGATCGAATTCAATTGCCATCTTCATAACGATTTTAAAAGTGTTCCTAGAGAAATGAGAGCTATCGTGAGTAATTATTTATATAAAATCAAACATTTCTTAGCATAAACAATACTAATACACATTACTAAAGAAAAATTATTATTTTATCCTAGAAATATGGATTCTCCTATATAATCATTATTACTTTATTAATATTTCTATTAAACCAGAGTCACTTCGGTATTCATCTTGAATATATAAGTGATAATAAATTATTTTTAAATAGGGAGCTCAACTAATCAGTGTTCCTCTAATTTTTTTAAAGAAATATTATTAATTTTACTTTTATTCGTTGTAATAAATTCTTGAATAGAATCATCTGTAAAGTAGTAAACGCGTCTGCAGACTCTTCATAGGTCAAGAGTTAAATGACCCGCATTGGCATCTTACTTTCACTGATCTTCCTAACGTTAGGTCGGTAAATGCTGTGTATAATAAGACTCATCCCTATTTAAAATTCATTTTAACAAACCATCTGTATTTTATAATAGAATAGTATAAAAATAATAAAATTTTGTAATAGAATTATCTAATGATAGAAAGTGTGTAAAATTAATGAAATAAAATTTTATTGCATCAGGTATTGATCACACTGGTAGGACTAGCGATAGCACAGGATTCAAATTATCGCAGTGGTAACAATTACCACGATGAGAGACAAAATCCTCCAGTCGATGACAGGAAAGCATCATCTATCACCACACCTATTCCAATCCTACATTGGAACAAACAGCAAGAACACGACGGCACCTATAAAACAAGGTAACAATTATATTTCTGTATTCGAAAAATGTTGCAACCGATGCGTTGCATAATTCCATGGCTTTGATGCTTCATGAATGAATAGATTGTGCAACACCATAAGGCGTTTAGAAACGTTCGAGGAATAAAATTGAATTTAGGACAGTGGAAATATTTATTGCATCATTGTCAAATTTACATGAGTGGTATGCAGAATTTTTATTGTAAAGGAATTTGACAAATAACGTTGTTTCATAGTTATGAAACGGGAAACAATATAATCGCTGAGGAGAGCGGTTACATCAAGAAAGTAGGCGAAGGAGAGAATCAAGATGAAGCTCTAGTTCAACAAGGAAGCTTCTCTTACACGAGTCCTGAGGGTACACTGATCACCATTCATTATACGGCCGATGAAACTGGCTTTCACGCGACCGGTGATCACATTCCCACGCCACCGCCAGTCAGTGAAGAGATCCAGAAAGGCCTCGACCTCATCTATGCTGGCATTCGTCAGCAAGAGGTACAAACCATCTAACTCGTAAAACTTACTGCTACTAGCTTCAGTCCAAATCAACGCTATTAATTAACTATTTGAAATTTTTATTCTTGAAATTTTTTATAACTTTGATAATTCTATACATTCATTTGTACTAATTTTTTTAAATTAAAGTTTAGAATTTGTAATTGTAATATTAACACAGTTATGATTTTTTAAAGATAAAGTGTAGCCTATGGTGCCCTATGACTTCTGTACCAGAGTGTACATCCCACACTACTTTTTTTTTTTTAACTTTCTGATTCTTCCTTTCTCCTGTCACTTTTTCTCGCCTACGCAACTCTTTCTTTTCTTCGCGTTCGAGTGTTTAATTCCTACTTTTTAAATCTACGCCTACGTATACATTGATGTACGAAAGTATTCGAATATTCCTTTTTTTTTATTTTATTATTGTAAAATAAGAGGTGTTAATTGTGTAATAATTTGCCTGAGTTACTGAATATTTTTATTTTTATTATCTTAATCTCTAATAAATTTGTTATAATTTTTAATTGTCCTCGTGTTTCAGGAAGCGGATGCACGCGCAGCTGCTCAGAAACTACAACAACCCTTAAGCCAACAAATTGATCGACGAGATAATTACGATAAGAAATTTTAAATGCGAAGGAAATGAAAAACGATTACTCTGTTAATTATATATTCGATACGTAGGACGTTTGAGATCAAATAATTAAGTTGTTGAATTAAGATTATTTTACCATGTTGTATGCACAATTTGATTATGTACATATTTCTAATAAATGACATAGCGAATTCGCTTCTTTTTCCTGGTTAGGAATAACAATGTTTGGGTGACAGATTTTAGAATAGTCAACAATTTTAATTAACAGTCTAAGTGACCAGTGATCGATACTTTATTGATACTAATTGCTGTCTAAAAATCAAACGGGTGATTTCTCCCCCTACACTTGTTCTTAACCCTCAAACGGTGGACCTTGGGTCGATCGTGACCCAGGATAAAAGAATGAATTATTTAAAAAGTTACTTATATTGATATTACTCTACATGTACTTGTTAACTTTTTATTGCTTCTCAGCAGATTGGATTTCTAAATTATTAAAAACTTAAACGTTATGTATGTTTATTATAAATAATGTATAAACTGACTTAGCATGGCACCCAATATTTGTTGATGTTTCGAGAAATCATAGGATCTCTCTTCGTCAAGTGTCGTTCAAATAAAGCTTCAAAGCTTAAGCCTTAAATAAATATATCGTAGAAATATAAATCGATGCCTCGAAGCTGATATATTTGAAATACTTGTTATTCATTATGAATGTAATAGTACACTGGCGATCAAATCAGACTTATTTCTGACTATATTAACATAAAAGATAATTTCAAATAACAAATAATACAACTTTTAAATATTAAATATTATGTAATTTAGTATATAATTGTAAAGTACCAAAAAGAGGTAAATGTTAATTCAAATTTCCCCGCGTAGACGCTTGCGCGCAAGTGTTAGCGGTCCGCCACAGGCCTATATATAGGAGAGCCCCTTTCGCAGCAGCGTCATTCTTCCCGTGGACACGCATGGGGAAGGCTGAAAAGTTTGTGCTTCCCCATGTTTTCTAGGAACCCCAATTTGATCGCGAGTGTACATGAAATGAAATAATTTATTATTTAATTGTTTCTCAATTTCCGTCCGTATAAATTAGCTAAGGATGGATCGTATGGTGTTCCCGTCAAACCTACATACTTATTATTTTGTTCATAAAGAAAACCATTGTTTCGTGGATCTGTTTTGTAGTAGATAACTCTTCTAATACCAAAAGGATCAACGTATCCAAAGGAACCGATGTTGGTACCAGATGGATCTTGTTGTTCCTCGTGGTATTGTCTTTTTAAATAATACTGAAATCCATTAGCAACAGTATGGGTACCATCGTACGGCGGTACCCTACTGGATGGCTCGTTCGAACGTGGTAGAAAATTGTAACGACTATTTTGAACTTGATTATTTTTCAAATTTCGCGGACTAGATGGAAGACTCGTAGGATTCGAATTATAGTAATAATCGTCGTTCGATGCCGGAGAAAGGTCCACTTTTGGTTTTGCTGTTGAACTGATGTAATAATTCGAGTTAATATCGTTGCTCAGTAAAGGACGAACATAATTCGTATCCGATTGTCTAGAAAAAAAAGTAATGATTATTAATTTCAATTATTGAAATTAAACATAGGTTAATTTGAAAATTTCAAGCTTTCTATTTGCCAGCTTATATCGTTTCAAATTGATCGCTTTCTATGACAAGAAGTAACATTCGCTACAAATAGAAACCATTAAACGCTAATGCGTGCTTTCACAGTTTTGTCACGCCAGAGATCCGCATCTCCACCGATTGTTCACCGCCGACGAGTTATTATTGTCGGAAATGAATGCTTTCACACTATCTACTTTCAGTGACGTTTCTTTCCACGCTAACTTCATTTATTTTTTTTTTTTTCAGAATGAAGAGGACCACGAAACACCACTTGTAATATATCAATGTAAAGCCAAAGATTTTTTCAAAACGATTGCATAAATGTTTCGAGTACCTGAAAGGATTCGGTGGTCTCGTCGGTTCTACAAGGATTCCAGTCTGAGCAGGAACCGTTTTTGTTTCTTTCACAGCATTGTATATAGGTCTGTTCCTACCTACGTACACCATTTTGGACCTGATTAAAAGCAAAGAAATTTCATTGAAAATTTCACTAATTATCATTTTGTGTTTAGTAGTTTACCTTAATATCCGGTATCCATTGTGGTCAGCTATGTAATCCTTAAGACGTAAATAACCCAAAGGGTCCAACCATCCCTCCGTACCGATCACCGTACCATCGACCAATCTTTTCTCCTTTCTATACTGACCGTTTAAGGTTTGGAAACGTAAATACCTTTCTGGCCCCTCGTCCGTTTGAATATGGTACTGTGTGTTCGGATCGAAGCTCCAACCACTTTGCTCAGCTTCCGATAATCTCGTGCTTAGACACGAAACTGAAACCTGTAACAAAAGCATATGCATCATGTATACGACGCACCAGGTGCGTCACGTGTTTAAAAGGATGTGACGTATCTTATCTTCTTAGAACGCTAGTGGCGTACATTGTTAACAAGAAGAAGAAAGGCATTTGAAAGAATTGTGGGACCGAAAGAATATTGAGGACAACGGAAGTGAGGCAAAAGTGACGGTGAAAATACCATGACCGACAGCTACTATGCGAACAATACCTTGGTAATTGTAATTTCTCATCTGTAATGCTTGATTTAGGTATCACTCGAGGAAATCATTTGTCGACACAATGGCAGGGAATATTAAGTTTACCTTGATTTTTCCACTACTTCCAATCGTTTCAGTAATCATAAATATTCTTTCTTTTTTTTTTTTTTTTCAAATAAAATATTACAACCATTCTCAATATAGTGTCTAGGTATGCGAAATGCTCTCGAGGATTACTCGCACGAGTTTTATTTGAGAGGGGACGTGCACCCTAAGGAGAGCCTAACTCGACAAATTGATTTTCTATTAGAAAAATTTTAATTTTCTTCGCTATATTATAAGATTACTTTTAAATCGGTAGAATGTAAATAGGTGGTGCAGGGTCAACGATGACCCTCACGCTAATGGACGCGTTAATAGAATCGGTAACGCATTCCGGTACGCGCCATTCGTCATCAACGCTGTTTCTACTTAAACATTCGAATGTGTGTCACAGTAATGATCTTATTCATTAATGAAATACGTATTCACTAAGCGTTCCGTTTATTCTTCATATGAAATTACGTCCTTCGATGCTCTGAATTCGCATGCGCAACACGTCTCATTAATTGTTCGTATATTATGATCAACGAAGTTTCATTGTTTAGTGTGACAGTGTGTGGGTGTTGCAACGTTATCGTACCAGAGATACAAAAGACAATTTTCAGAAGAATTTTTAACGCTATTAAGATATTTATATAGAAACCTACCGTTAACAGGTTCAGACAACTCAACGTCCGCAGAAGCATAGTCGTTATAATAATCGTCGAAGTATAACATAAATCACCATCTTCGTTACTTTTTTACGTCCTTATAAAACTTCTAAAAAAATCACACGAATCCTTCAAATGAGATTAATTAATTAGAAGAACAAATTTTTAATTAATTAATAATTTTATATAACACAGCATCATTATAACTTTTTCATTTTCTTTAATAGAATTTTAATAGTAGATGCAATTAAATAATTAAAAATAGAACAAATACTAATTTTGTATTTAAAAAAAAAATTTGCTGAAGATGTAGAAGAAAATGAAGAAGAGATATTTATTTTAATATCGTGACAACCTCTAGGCTGGATTATTACCGATTAAGATTCTAATTAATTATCCTATCTTATTTTATTGATATCGTATGTATCACCTGCGCGAATATCAGCGAAGTGAGCACAAAGGACGCGATACGGGAACTGAAACAGAATAGATGCTTTATGTTTTCAGAGCTATCGTACCCCTTCTTCTTCACAACGCTTTTCCCAACGAGTAAAACCGCGCCCACGTACCGGTGCAGATAGTCGTTCTACAATTAAACGACACTTTTAACACTAGAGCAGCGATTCTCAAAGAATGTAACGCGAAAGGGGAAAAATAAACAAAATTATCTTTTCTTCAGATGGAAAGGCACAGTGAAAGTCATCAACCCTCGGATGACCGAGGCAATGATAATTGACATTGATTATTTTCCAAAAATTATTCATTTCTCTTAGGCTCTCCAAATTCTCTTCAAATTTTATGAATATGCAAATTAGGGAAATTAGCTATTTTTTGAGTGTCATATGAACCATGGTTCAACTTTGTTCACCGCTGTATTTGTACAAATCCTAATTACCTACACTTATATACATTATAGAACTTAATTAATTACACTTTCTTTAAAACGATGAAAAAGATGTTTAAAATACAGTTAAAACTTTTTCTTTCATTTCAGGTGATACCAAGCCCGACGAAAGCTGACGAACATGTTCAAAAAACGCGTATAAGAAAACCAAATTCATCTTATAGCGATCAATTGACCGAGTTTCACGATCATATTTTCTCCCTCGTTTGCACCGCTTTCACTTTTACGGCTCTGTGGTACATCGTCTGTATGCTGAATGAACGTGTTTGTGTACACGAAACCTTGTCTTTGACAGTGAAACTTTGATATATTTGGTATACCAGAGAAATGATACATTCCAAATAATTGAAATCTATGAGATGTAATATTTGGCATAATTCAATATTCAAATAGAAATCTGAATAGGATCTAAACTTCTAGATGATAAGATAAATTATTATTATTATTAATAATTTTTGTATTTTAAATGCAATGTAATTTGGGAGTACAATGTCTCTCCCTGTCTCTCCCTACTGTTTCTATGGGTTCTCCCAACACTGAAGCCAAGTGATGAGAATTTCTTCCCCTTACACTTACCTTCACCCAATAGAAGCCTATATTGTACCCTACTATACACTGTACCAGCAGAAAGCTGTCAAAGTTTGGTAAGTTGAAGCTATTGTTCTAGGAATGTATATCTTTTTTTTTTGTTGAAAATTTAATGAAATCATGTTTGATAACTTACCAGAAGGAATAATAAAAATTGTACTGATGGCATATTTTCAATGGTGTTACAGTGGACATCAGTGAACCACTTATTTCTGACTGAAAGGATCCAGAGGTAGAGAGACCAATCCTCTCACATGTAATCACATCCGACTACTGATCGAATGACGACCATGCCGAAGCCAAATCACAGTTAAAATCCCACATGAACAAGCCTACGTGCCCGTACTTGGATCCGTACTTGGGAGAGCAGACCGGAGCTACGCCTTCGCAATTTTCCTTTACAGATTTTATTATACAATCCGAGACATGGTACACAGCATCGCACAAACTGTAGATCGATAGACGTAATCAAACGAAAATATTATAAAACGTTCGAACTGAAGATCAGACGGTGGTAAACATTTTCTAGGAAAGATTGATCATTATTTTAATATTTAAAATTTTTGCTAACTCTTCTCGCTAAAATAGATGATGTAGTTCCCTGTGAAACGGAACCTGCTATTATTTTCAATACTAATTTCATAATGAATCATCGCTGCATAATTGTTTTCAGATGATACCTCATTATCTCTGAATTCAAATCAAAGTTAAAATTTGAATATAGCGTTGATGAATTTTTTTAATTTTTAGAAAATAGTTACTATGAAGAATAATTATGATAGTTCATCGGGAGAAGTGTAAATCTTCAAAAATTTAATTTATAATTCAGTTGATCGTTAGTAGAGTAACATAGAAATGAATGAAATTACGTCAGTGTTATTCTGAGCGAAATAGATTTCCTTGCCACTCTTGACTTTACCTTCACTTTGTCCTTGAACATGTTTCGCACTTGCCTAGACCTAACTATGTGGATCATGGAATCTGTAACGAGATCGTTAGTTGTATAATTATACATATTACCATAGATCTTCTTCATAGTCCATAAATTAACATAGTTAGTCCTTGACATTACTGAGTTTACTGAGCACGTTATATCGTGAACTAGATCAATATTTCTCCAAGAACAAACTATTTATAAAAAAAAAAAATTTAAACATTCTAAGAAACTTGATATTATTGTAATAATGTAAAATAATGAACGAGAAGCTTAAGTTTGAATTTCAGTTTATTTGAAAAGATTTTTAGTATAGCTTCTACATCCAAATTTTATTCAAGAATTTATCAGGGAAGGGAAACCTATAAACGAACGATTTTATCGCGAACGTATCGAATTTATGCAAAGGTACGCAGCACATTGGAATTCTATGTGCGACCTGGAAGAGGTACAAATCGAGCAGAAGAAGAAAGAGGAAAAGAAAGAGAAGAGAGGACTTTCTTGAACACGTTTCAGCTCTCAAAGTCTCAGATCTGACTACTCTGCTTCTGTATCGCTGTCAAACACTGTGTCTCTCTTTTTTTTTTTTTATTTAAAACCTGTTGAAGCATAATGTATAGACGACTGAAGAAATGTAGCAACGCTGTAATAAGAAAGAAGGTATACGTTCGATTTTATTCGGATAATCCAGGAAAGTGTGAAATTCAAGGGAAACCTTTCAAAGATATTCCTGGACCGAGATCATTGCCTATCATTGGAACGCTTTATAAATATCTACCGTTAATTGGTGAGAGAATTAATACAGTGGATTGAAAAATATTATCTCCCATAGCTATTGCTTCGTTTATAAAAATAAGATTTTCAGTGGAATTTCATTAAATTTATGTTAATTGAAATTGTATTATACAGGTGAATATAATTTTACAAAGTTGTACGAAAGTGGAAGAAAAAAATTGAATCGTTTCGGTCCTTTGGTACGCGAAGAAATAGTGCCGAATGTAAACGTTGTTTGGGTTTATCGGCCAGAGGACATAGCCGAGATCTTCAGGGCCGAATCTGGTTTACATCCGGAAAGAAGAAGTCATTTAGCTCTTTTGAAATACCGAAAAGATCGTAGCGATGTGTACAGCACTGGGGGCCTCTTACCCACGTAACTATATCTGGATTAAGATTGAAAAATTTATTTTCATTTGAATGGAATTCCTATTTTTATTTTATGAATTTTAGGAATGGACCAGAATGGTGGCGATTGCGAAAAGAATTTCAAAAAGTTACCAGCAAACCTCAAGATATAATTAATTATCTGGAAGAAACCAATTGTGTTGTTCAAGAGTTTGTTGAACTATGCAACAATGAAAAATTTGAGGATTTTCTACAAATTCTATCACGAGTATTTCTTGAATGTAATATTCTGTTAACAGTAGTCTCAACTTAATTATTATTAACATGTTACATATTTGTATATTTCTTCTTTTAGTAACATGTTTAATTGTGTTTGATCTAAGACTAAATAGTTTCTCAGAAAAAGAAAGGTCTAAGGATTCTGTAAGTTCAAAATTAATTGAAGCTGCTTACACAACAAATAGTGCAATCTTAAAATTAGACAATGGTTTGCAATTTTGGCGTTTTTTCGATACACCCCTGTACCAAAAATTACGTAAAGCACAAACATTCATGGAGACGTGAGTATTATTTAAATACTCTCATGATAAGACTGTATAATAGTTTTTATGTTTCATTGATACAATTAGGATTGCATTGGAACTGGTATCAAGTAAACAGAAGGATATGCAAGCAAGGTGTTGTAAGAAATCATTTCTAACTGCTTATTTGGAAAATCCTGCTCTAGATATTAAGGACATTGTAGGCATGGCTTGTGATATGCTGCTTGCTGGTATAGACACTGTAAATATCATTGCTTCATAATACATAAAGATGACAGGAAGAGTTCAAATTAAATAGCAAATTTGTAATCTTCTAGACTACCTATAGTACTGCTTTTGCTTTGTATCATCTTGCAAGAAATCCGAGTACTCAAGATAAATTGAGATCAGAAGCCATGCAATTATTACCTGAATGCAATCAACCTGTAACAGCAGATGTTTTAAGAAATGCAAGTTATACCAAAGCTGTTATTAAAGAGAGTTTGCGTCTAAATCCTATTTCTGTAGGAATAGGTCGTATCTTGCAGACTGATGTTATTCTTAATGGATACCAGGTGCCTAAAGGGGTAAGTTTACCGAAAAACCGAAATACAATAAAAGACTAGTTTGATTTCTTGGTCATTTGTGGTTACAGACCGTGGTTGTAACACAGAATCAAATCATTTGTCGACTTCCTGAATATTTTAACGAGCCAGATACATTTATACCAGAAAGATGGCTTCGCGAGAATGTAGATAGGAAAGGAAAATCTGTACATCCGTATATATTATTACCCTTTGGTCATGGTCCTCGTTCTTGTATTGCTAGACGTTTTGCAGAACAAAACATGCAAGTTATATTATTGCAGGTAAATTCTTTTGTATTTTCATTTTATAATACCACTTTAATATTTCTGAAAATTGTTTCATCTTCTGCAGATATGTAGGCGTTTGAGATTTTCTTGGCATGGAGATGAACTTGGTATGATATCTTTATTAATTAACAAACCGAATGGCCCAGTAAAGTTAAGTTTTGATAAAATTTAAAAACATTTATACAAAGAAATGCAGTATTAAGGAAAATGATGTTTCAATTTATTATTTTATCAACCAGCAATACAATGATATGGCATTTATATAAATATTTATTTCGGAACCAATTACTGAAGTTTATAACAAGCTTAGTTGTAAGTCATATATTTGGGAGTTGCAGAGAATTTAGCGTACGATTTAATTACTTTGTTCACTGCTTCTAGAAAATCTTTTTCCGTCGCTACTTTACGACGTGCACGAATCGCGAACATACCAGCTTCGGTGCAAACCGAACGAATTTCGGCACCTGTACTGTTAGGACACAGACGAGCAAGAAGTTCGAATCTAATATCTCTTTCGACGCTCATCGACCGTGCGTGAATTTTGAAAATATGTGTTCGTCCTTCCAAGTCCGGTAGACCGAATTCTACTTTCCTGTCCAAACGTCCTGGTCTCATTAACGCTGGATCCAGTGTATCCGGTCTATTCGTTGCCATCAAAACCTTGATATTACCCCTTGGATCGAAACTGCAAAGTTTGAGGTAATATATATTTAACGTTACTTGTATTATCAAAAATGTGAAGAAGAAAATATTATTTACCCGTCTAATTGATTTATAAGCTCCAACATGGTACGTTGTACTTCGTTATCACCACCGGCTCCATCGTCGAAACGAGCTCCTCCAATGGCGTCGATTTCATCGAAAAATATTAAACATGCCTTTTTGCTACGTGCCATTTCAAACAATTCTCTTACCATACGCGCACCCTATCATCAGACATTTATTTCATAAATCAGCATATAGTTAAGTATCTTCCACATTTTTATTATACATACCTCACCAACGTATTTTTGAACTAATTCGGAACCAATAACTCGGATGAAACAAGCATCCGTTCTATTTGCTACAGCTCTAGCACACAAGGTTTTACCTGTGCCTGGTGGACCAAACAACAGTACACCTTTAGGTGGCTCAATGCCCAAATTAACGAATTTTTCTGGCTGTAATAGAATGTTTGTGATTATTTCATTGTGTATACATAAATGAATTATTAATTACAGGGTACTAACATGAAGGAGAGGCGTTTCAACGACTTCTCTTAGCTTCTCAATTTGTTCCTTGCAACCACCGACGTCGCTATACGTAACATCAGGCTTCTCTTCTACTTGCATCATTGTTACAGTTGGATCAATTTTTGGAGGTAATGGGATATGAATCTGATATTTGTTACGATCCACCCCTACTCTCATACCCTCTTCAATATCAGTTGGAGCAACTGAATCTGCTAAATCTACTACGAACTTTGCAAATTGTTTTACATTTATAATATACTTTGGATCCTCAGAATCCGCATTAATTATTTTAGTACAACGAGCCACTTGTAAAGGCTGTTCATTTTGTAAGGTTTGTTTGTCTGCAGCTAAATCCCAAAGAGCTGGTGGTGCTAAACCAGTATCAGATTCTTTGATTCCTGTCAATTCATTAACACGTTTTATTATCGTTTGTATGTCCTCTTCGACGGTTTTAATACTTTTAGTATACTGTCCTTGCCCCTGTGTATAATTTATACATTAATTTCATTAATTTATGAACTTGAATTCATTATTACAAGTATTACAATATTTTTACACTTACATAAGTTTTAAGTAAAGCAATATCTCCTTCATCCAGTGCTAAAAATTGATTAAATACGATGAACAGTGAGAAATAAGCATGGGCAAGATCACTTAACTTTATAGCTTACATTTTATTTCTTTCTCTTCTTTATCTTCGTCGCTTTTCACTTTTCGCATATCTTCTCCTAAATGATCGGGCATTTTTGTATTTACTGATCTCCTTTGAGTATTTAACGAATAAGTTTAGTTTACGTTCTAAAGGTACTGACTAAAGTCAGAACTTAGGTTATATATTGCTTACATTACAAGCAAAATCGACAACTTTTATCACTGACCTCTGTATTTCATTTACGAACTATTTTCTTGGGGCAATCGTGTAGATAAATGCGATGGCGTTCTTAGCGGTTTATAGTAAAGTAAATTACTAATTTTTCGAAATCCCATATTTGAAATTGCTATTAATTTTGGGCAGAGCAGGCCCTGGACCTTGGGGAGTCCTAGACGGCCGCCTAGTCTGATTATAGGATAGCTTGGACGAGCCTGGGAGAGTTTGGGAGATTGAAGAAATTTAAATTTTTCAAAAGAATTTTTTATTGAAACTTTAAAAAATTAAAAATTTTGATTTTTGATTTAGAAATTGATTGAATTATCGAGAGTCTTGAAGAACTTGAGAAAGTCTGCGAGTGCTTGGCAGAGCTTCGGACAACCTAACCTGGAACTTCCTCCCTTCATAGATAAAGATAAAGTAAGTGTTGGGACATTCTTTCCTTCCCGCTTCCTTTAAATAAGAAAGATACCAAAGTTTATTGAAAAACAAATAGTTCAGGAGATAAACTGGGACGCTGTATACGAATTGCGTGAATGTAATTGATGGATACAATACGAATCGTGATATTACACCCACGATACAAATGTACCGGTACATTGTTACTTATACGTGTGAATGAACTTTTCAAAGGAAGTGCAGGAACCGCCCAAGTTGGATCGTTCGTGTTAGTCCTTGACCAGGGTAATCCGTAGAAAAATATAAGATATTGGAAGATCCAATGGAACACTTTCACCTGTATTCAACTGATTGCTGTTCCTTTATCGCAACTCTTACGTGTCAGTCAAAGGCGTGACGTAATTGAAGTTCAACCGTAGTTTCTTCTACTATTGATACACGAGTTCGTGACTTAAGATTCGTATCTATCATTCTGGGTTTCAATGAATAAGATTTCAGATTCTTCATCTATTATAAAGTACTATAAAAAAAATTATCACAATGTTAAGGTACAAAAAAGAAACTACGTATAGGTACATGCATAAAATAAATATCATTTATTTCTCTTTCGCATACATTTGTCACATTACACCGTTAAAACGCCGTCTCGGTACAACGATGGGAAATAATACAAAATAAGGTTAACAAAGTAGAAAAGTTTATTCGTGTGTTATTTAATGACTGCGATAGGTTGATATCAATTTTTTTTTTTTATTTTTTTTTTTTAAATCACATACGTATGTACAGATATCACGTCGGATAATTAGGCTGGAACTCGTTATTAATTTTTATTTAATATCTTGAGTAAATATTGTTATTATAGGGTTGTCTGTAGTCTGAATTATCGGGACCAGGTGGATTGGCGGCTAGAGCTCGTCTGATAGCTTCGGGAATCGGTGGCGGTGTTGGCAAATGTGCTCCTTGGGGATGGAAACCATTTTCATCGGCTGTGTATTCCAAGGTGACGGGGGTTCCATCGGGGGCGGTGTAGGAAAATCTACCTTGAACAACCTAAAAAAATCATACATAATTGGTAGAGGAAGGAATCTTTCATTAGTTAACTTTGGTCCGAGATAGAAACTAGGATTTTATCTACCAATCTATTACTTAAGAGCACCCTCTTTTCATTTTTCAATTGTTTAATTATCCAGAATGTAAATATAGAGCAATCTGTTCTATAACTCTTTCAAGGATATTATTTACACCTGGAGAATTTAAGGAAATAATTTCACTGTTTCAGATAACAGCATTACCTCGGCTTGTCCTGGCGGAGCACCTTGTGGACGTCCACTTTCGGCAACGGATATCCCGTTCTCGGTGTCGTAGCTGAACGTGTAAGTACCGTCTGGATACGAATCCTTCGATTGACTGCGGATAGCTATAAATCTTCCAGGACTACTGTAAGAAGCAGCAAACGTTCCATTAGTTAATTATTAATAATTGAAGATATAGAAAAGACATGAAAGTTTTTGATTAGAGCATTCTAATTTAGTGGAAGAAAATGGTAATAACAGGACCATAAATTTTCATTTTTGAATGATTGCTTCTACTTACTTGTTGATTAGAGCATTCTAATTTAGTGGAAGAAAATGGTAATAACAGGACCATAAATTTTCATTTTTGAATGATTGCTTCTACTTACTTGTACTGAGGCGTCGGTTGCTGGAAATTTGGTCGAGGTGTCGGTCGGTAGGCATTTTGATTCGGGAAACCACGAAAACCACCGTACTGACCTAGCGCGCAGCCAAATAAACCAAAGACCAATAACTGTAATCATATGATTTGAAAAAAAAAAAAAAAGATTATAATTAACACTTTTCTAGTGAAAAAATTTCTTGAAAATAATGCAAAGACAAGAAATACGACACAGTAAATATGGAACGTTACGTTAACGAAGGGTTAAGATCTGATACACTTTGATTCTTCTTCGATTAATTTGTATAACAATCACTCACTAAGTGCTGCATGACGACGGTTTGTTGTCGATTTGAACAAGATCGAATCTGCAGTATGGTGGAGAAGTAGAGCCGACATTTATATGAAGCCGTTGAAGAAGATTTTCCCTTCCCCTATAACGTTTAACCATTCTCTCTTCATAGTTTCCACACTCGCCCTCACAATTTTGCCCCACCTTAACTCTGTTCCTGATCATCTTGCATATTAGAATTAATGTTAACCATGTATGAATGGTATGCCTATCGTTGTGAGTCAATTAGTAAGCAATTTGTCACTTTGAATTTATTTAACCCTTTGAATTTAACCCCTATATTGACCTTTGAGGTGCAAATTTCGGGCTCCATTAATAAATTTCTTATAATTGCAATCTTTTTTTTTTTTTTTTAAATTGCAAAAATTTAATTTTTATTAAGGATGGGGTGAAATAAAATTTTTTACAAATCAAATTTCATATCATTAAATAAATTTCTAAAATGTCATGTAATTAAGGGTTGGAGCATTTAGTATAGTACAAAGGTGGTAATAAAGTTAAATGTTTGCATTGACATAATTTTGTAAGTAGATTGTTGATCTGACAGGACTCCAACGGTATGCGCTTCCATTCGTATCTTTATGAGCCTTTGAGATGATGGGGCCATACCTGAGCTGACATGGTTAATAAAATTAGAAAGGTCAAACTGGATTCGAGCGACCCCTTGATATTTGACCGTGATATCACGCCGAAATATTTCGGATCACCTTGATTAAAATTTGGAAAATTATTAATTTGCAATTAATTAAAAAATTGAAAATCATTTTTCTGATTATAATTAGGGCAGTCAGGAACTAACCACCACTTGTACCACTCCTTTTTCCCTTTAGAGGGAAGGGTCAAGGTTCGATGAATGAAAATTCATGGTGAAAGAAAATCATCATGGGAATCAGGATAACTATCGATGACGTATGAATAACTTGCGCGAATGCTTTAATTTCTACGAATGCCTCCCATATACAAATTATGAAATCAAACTGGTATTCAGACGACTCGTTCGTTTCTACTCTACCCTTCTTCTCTCTTTTTTTTTTTGTTATTACGTGACGAAAGATGAAAGGAATTCATCCTGTCATATTCACGCCCAGTGAACTATCAACCTGTAGCATCATTCTTGACTGAATTGCATTGTTGGCGAAGCATTTGGCGTATTCAGATTTGGTCTTCAATGAAATATTAATTAAAAAAAATATATTTTTCTTCTCTTCTTTTATGCAAATTCGTATTTTTATACATATGGGACTTTGAAAGTTTGTATTTTTTAAAAATTTTCATTTGAAACGTTTAGTATTAATAATTGATGAAATATTACACTAAAATATTTAATTTTTTTTTTTCTTATTTAACAAACTATGTTAGTTTCGTGGTTTTAGATTGTTAGAAACAGGAACTTGTGGAATGAAAGAGTAGGTATAAATACAAATGGGAAGAGATTGAAATTTGTAATTTTGAAAATATGAAATTTGATTTATGGATCGAAAGGATGCGTCAAATCCTTTTGCTATAACATTCGATTGGTCGGTGGTTGGTCGATGGTCGGTCGATCGTTGTGTAATGGACAAGAGACCGATGATTTGCTTTCACTGACTCACCTTTAGCGTGATATTACGATTACCATTAACATTAGTCTAACTGGCATTTCGGCTCTTCCTAAAATCTTCTGCTTATTAAAACATCGTAATTAACAGCTTCAAATTTTTTCTTTAGTATTCGAAAAATATTTCAATCATCCAAAATTCTTTCCCTGATTCACTCTGTTGCATCGATTGAATTATAATCGTACAGGGTTTAGGAATTTTCAGAAACAAAGAAAAATAAATTTATATTCTTGTTTAAATAGTTTATTGTATAATATTTAAATTAATTTAAGGAAATAGATACATGATGTAGATACCAAGGGTCCGCCGGAGAGTCGGCGACGCACGGTACTTAGATACTATATAAAAGCGTAATAATATTTATAAGCATTTTAATAACATCATTTCAGATGGAATAGATAGACTTTCGGTATATTTATAAAATATACCTGTTTCATACTGTAAGTACATAAAGAGTTATTTACATATCATTATACGTAAATGCTGTTAATATTTCTTTTCTCAAGGCTGTTTATTTATAAACAATGATAAACAACAAATAGGCAAGAAATGATACATAATAGCAATATTTGTTAACATTATACTGTTTTAACCCTTGTGTCAATAACTGAAGCATCGAAATTATTCTAAATTAATTTTAAAACTAATTTCACTGAAATTCCATCTCGAATACCATCTCGAATTTTCACATTTATCACATGTTCGTGTTATATAAAAACGGTTAATTAACACAAGGGTTAATCTGGTTTGTACGAGCCGTTTCCTATAACCGAGACACGTGACAGGATCTTCTAGTATCTTCTGTAAAGTTCATCCTCTTCAGGGTGGGCTGCATTATGAGCCAGTGCGCGTTGTATCGCGACTGGTATCGGTGGTGGTGTTGGTAGATGAGCACCGCTAGCTTGGAAACCATTTTCGTCCGCTGTATAAGTAACCAAAATTGGTGTACCATCCGGTGCAGTGTAGCTGAATTGACCTCGTACAGATTCGATTTGATTCGGTGGGGCGTATTTTGGAACTCCTTGTTCCGCTACTGATATGCCGTTCTCCGTGTCGTAACTGGAAGAAAAAAAATTAATTTAAGTAACAAAGTAAATACTTTAGAATTTTTCTACCGATACCAAGGATCCTCGACCTATGCTTCTCTGTAGGAGGATCCGTCCGGAGAGTCGGCGACGCACGGTACTTGGGACTTAAAATTCCCAACTCCTAATTCTCAAAATTAGATATATGAGGTCATAGAAATTCTTCTTTTCGTCAATTTATTCCTTATACTATGCTTCCCTATAGATACCAACTATCCGTCCGGAGAGTCGGCGACGGACGGTACTTAGGTACCTATGTCTTACAATCGAAATTCTTGAACCATGCGAGTGATAATATTTTGCAACGACTATAAGTAAAATAAAAAAGTATCTTCCATTGATAGGGTGGAATTTGAAACGTTGCATGACTCTACCGAGATGATTGATCTGACAAATGACTTGACGGAAGGCGTTGCACATAGCACGTAAGGTGAAGCTTTATCCGATTCGCCAAACAACAGATTGGATAGGTGGGGCCAAGTCCTAGACACGGACGTTTCAGTGAACTAACATAATGCTGACTACAAAGTAGGTAGCTAGGTCGATTGTAATTATTCCATTGTGCAATGTATTATTGCTAACTGCGCAGTCGACTAACACAAATGATTAACATCACAGTTAATTATATATCTTTCCACAGCTAACTATACTGTAGATCCTTCTCTCTCTATTTTTCATTTCATGCTTTCATATTCTACATTTTCCTTTTGTTTTTCCACATTCAATTTAATTAGAGAACCTTTTTATCCTACGTTATTACCGATACCAAACACTCGGGGACAATGGTGACCACGTATTATGGTACACACTGTAGAAGTGATATTCTGAATGAAACCTGACTCATCTGAGATAAGAATGAAAACAGCCAGAGGAAGTAGACGGTGAGAAAATGACGATTTACCTACCACGTGGAATTTTTACCGGAAAAATTGATAATGGCTACTGAGAAGATTGCATTCTCATTGAGATAATAGAGGTTCAATATTTTTCATCATCCTGAGTAGGTTGACCTTAAATGTCTTCGTCCTTGGCGCACCTGGTCAATTACCTGGTCGAAGGAAGTCGGACGTGTCGGAAAGCGAAGTTGCGGTAAAGAGTTGTAATTTATCCAAATTCATGGTGCTGGTCACCCAAGGCTCCCATAATATTCAACGTGTTAACTTTTCGATTTAGAATTTAATTTTCTAATTTTTCTTTTTTTACCTTGGAACGGTAAATTTGTATGCAGCGTTAAGGTGAACACCTTGTATAAGGAGTAGGTGTTTTTCAAATTGAGAACAAATGAGATTCTCCGAGCGTGTCGAGATCGCTTTGGAGGAAACGTACCTCGACGTCGCTTATCGTGTCCGTCGACGTTCACGACGATGTGGAAGGACGATCTCACCTGTAGGAATACGATCCATCCGGAGAGGAGTCTTGTGATTGTCGCAATATGGCGAAACGTCGGCCATAATAATCGGGATTGTACGGATATCTATTGAGTTGCGCATAACCCATTGTTAGAAAACCCACCAGAACGATCTGAAACATAGAAAATATAATTAAAATGATAGTATCATCAGGAGCAATCACAATTCATTTAAATAGCAGTAGTCACTTTGTGATAGAATAAATTTATATTTCACAGTGATTAAGAAGTTTAAAATTATGATAAATTAAATTTACATAAGTTAAATTTTGAATAATAAGAAAATAGAAAATGAAATACGAGATTAAATTAAAATTGGGTCTCTCTCCATGGTCCGCCACCCGTGGTAGGATTTATCTAAGGGGTAGTATCTTTAATTAAAAATGAAAAAAATTAATTTAAAAATATTTTACTAACTCTTATGCACCGATTAAATTTTTATAACACTCCTATACTTTGATTCACATAACCACAGAAAAAGAAATTAATTTTTGACTGGGTAAAAACAGAATAATATGAACACTTACAAAACTTTTCATGATGATCGCACAATGATTAAAATTGAAATTCCTGGATCTATCACGTAACGACACGAAAAATTTCGAACGATTGACGAAATTTGATTCGATTCAATTGTAATTGTTTGTAAAGAGACTTAACAAGAGCTCGTTCTCTGTGGCAATGTCCAGAAGTACGCGAGTAGACGTGTCACGATGAGGCTTTATAAGCGGCAACAGTACTTTGCTTCTGTATCCTTTCCGCCCCGCCACTGTTTCGAAGAAATTGTAGGGGAGAATATGTTTTAAATATTCGTCTATTCATAAGACAGAAGATGATTGTATCTATGATCATCTTCGTGAACTTCATAACTGGAGGGGGCAGATATGAACGCTTAGGTACATCTTTGCGAATCTCTTAATCCTTGATGAACTTTTTTAAATGCTAATGCCAATTGAAATGTTATTCATTTTGCAATCTATCTAAAGTGAATCTTTAGACCAAAAATGTGGATTGGACACCTTAAAATTCTAAGATTTCAAGGTTTCACGTTCCAAAATCCTAATATTCTAATGCAAGATATTGAACCCTAATGATGTCAATAAAGCTAAGGGATCTAGCCCAGTTCAAAAGAAAGATCCTACTTATTAGCCAACCCTAAGATTGAAAATCTTGAGAAGGGGGTTAAAGCATTTAGACTTTCTGTCACTTTTGTAGAGGCCAAACGGTAAGAGCTATCGAAAATGCACCATTGTGTTTAGTGGGTGTTCTCTTTTTTTTTTTTTTTTTTTTGCTACTTCCGGTTTGACCGGGGTTGACTTTAGAGCGAATCTCGCTCTACTTTTACCTAGTTTAACTTGAAATTTAGGACCTTGGTAAATAGTGCAAACTTTTTGCTAATTTATATTCAAGTGCAAGCTTTTCAGATGAATTCCTTACATTTTCTTCTAATTAAGGGAAGCCTAAGAATTTTATTTTAAAAAAAGTTAGCGTTTTCTTAAGTCTATCAGATAGGTAACTAAAGACATTTTCAATCCCCAAATTCCTCAGTGTGTTCTTCAAGGTTCGTACATTCTTCGTTTGTTCGAAGCCTAATTACCCGAATCTGCCAAATGGCTGTTATTAGATCAGCCAGTTTGCAATGTCTCGTAAAAACACGGGTCACTACGACCTCGGCACAAGATTCAGATCGTCAGATTTGCCACGGATCATCACAGGGCGTATTCCTTTCACTAGACGTCTGTTACGAGCAGGATGCACGATCCAACGAATCGTTGCACCGCATCGACGATTCTTACGACACTCCCTGTTTTGAACACAAACACATTCTGACCCTTTCGTATTTTTCGTTTCTCTTCATATTTTTACGAACCAAATGCTTTCCTTTTATTCCAAATAGTGCGACACGGATGTCGTCATAAGATGGCAAATGCGATGGACGGGTGTCGTCATAAGACGTCAAGTATGGAGTTTTAGATTAGGTACAATGGAGATCAGATTCTATAGCTAATCGATACTCCGTAATCGCAATAATAAATGAGGAAATTATAATTGATATTTATAAGCCTCGTCGTGACATTATTATACTCAACGATATTTCCATTTCAATAGGCCTGAATTTCTTCCACTTTATTAGTTATATCCAACCTATAATACACAATTGATGGGCTGGCATTAAAGGGAGGGCATACGTAAAACTGGTCATGAACGATCAATTTCTAAATCGTGACACTTGAGCCTACACGCGTATAAATTAAATTATTCTCTCAGACAATTTGTCTCATTGTTTTCTATTCATTTGTCTCGTTGTTTTGTAAGAAATGTGTTATTGTCTGATAGGTTAAATCATAGAAATTCTGACACAAAATTATTGCAAAATCCCACATATGTGGCATATCAATTTAAATCTTAACATATTTTTAAAATACACAAGGTGTCTATTTTTTTACAAATTTAACTTCTATTCAATTTTTCATTTAATGGAACACCTTGTATATGATTCTATGGAAGTATCGCGCGTATAAAGGTTGAATCAAAGCATCGCGAGGTTTTACGGAGTACCGCCCTCGGATCTATACTCGCCTTACCTAATTGTATGAAAACGCAATTATGATCATCCTTCATCTCTGTTACCTAAGACAATCGCATATTATTCGCCGATATTTATGCATATCTCTGTACATTCTTATGCGCACATTCCAACGTACAGTCGCTATAAATTTCATTACATTTGTTTAACCCTTGAACAGTAGAGGCTGAGTCAATCGCGACCAAGATTCCCAAAATATATCCAAGGGTATCGAGGCTCTCTCCATGGTCCGCCGTCCGAGAGTCAGGAACCGTTCGAATAGAAATGATGATTTAATTAGACTTTAATTAGACATTGTTGTATGTTAAATTTAAAAAATCTAATTTATGCCAGAGCCATTTATTTCTAAAGGAACAATGACCGGAGATGCTGAGGATTTAAAAGGGTGAATAAATTCAAGGATCATCGATAATCTATATCGAATGAAGATGGGTGGGTCGGGAAAATACAAATCTCGTGCTTAGGCGTGATACGACCTCTCAGTTATGCAGTACAGGATTGGCCAATGTAAGAAGAGCATCTAACATAATTCGCCCTCGGATTCATCCTTTCTTATTTTCACGTATTACCAGATCCATTAGAGAACGTATCTTATTGTACCAGGAAACATTTATAATTCAACGTTTTTCGAATTTAAGAATCGTTCTTCTAAATCTGTAAATACGTAACGTTACGCTCTAATGAACGACATCCACACTCGTGTTTCACGTAAACAAAAGGATGAAGATAAAAATCGCAACAGTCCCCGGGTTCCTCCCTTTCTAAGGAGACCGGACTATCGTTTCTCATCATCTACCAGTTTCCTTTGCAATTGCTTAGTCGGTTCTTGAATCGCGCACACACCGAGGCGCGAAAACTTCCAACGTTCAAAGTAATCGATGGACAGAAGAATGCGATTACGAGATTCTACTGACAGAATTTACCACATTAATTTTCATTGTTTCCGCAGGTTTTTCCAGTCTACACATCATCGGGCCGACAAATTCGATTATTATCACGTTAGCTGGCGCGTCTGGTAAGATATACCGTAATTACGATTAATTGGTAATATAATCATTTCAATTTTTTTTTTTTTTTTTTTTTAATTCAAATCTACTTTGTATAGTAATGCTGTGAGAATCACTGAATGGACGTCCCTATGAATTTCATCCTCTGGCAATCGATGGTAATTAAAAATATATAGAAATGTTATGGAAGAAGGGATAAATATCAGACAAAAATAATAACTTCTTTTTTCTTTTCAGAAATATTTATACTAACCAATGTTTTATAAAAGAAACACAATTTGATGAGGATAGTGAGATATCAAGATTGAGTTTATAGCTTAGGACGTTCGGTTTGTTGCGGATGCGCTCTGATGTACTCGATAGCCTTCTGGATCAGAGGAGATATTTGCGGTATGTGGTCACCTTGAGGTTGGAAACCGTTCTGGTCAGCAACGTATGTTACTGCGATCGGTGTGCCATCAGGTGCTGTGTATTGATATTGTCCTTGAGTCGCGATGACAGGGGTTGCGTCCTTACTATTCGATGCTACCAATGTTCCAGTTTCTCCTTGATAAATTCCGTTATCGCTCTCGTAGGAGAAAGAATAGGAACCGTCTGGTGATACTTCGTTGGTCTGCTTAAGAATAGCTGCGGGTGGTTGACGAGCCACGTCGGCTGAGGCAGCGACCAGAAGGGCGAAGGAAACAACCTGATACAGAGATTTTAGTTTTCTTCAATGTACACTTAGAAACAGGGTTTGAGAACAAATAGTAACAGTAAGTAAAAATAGTACAATGATATTATTTCTATATTTTAAAGAAGCGCAAATTGTTAACGAATAAAGCTATAAAAATGTAAACTACACTCACGAAGAACTTCATTTTGAAAAATGAGAGGTATCACACAATCTACTGAAGAGAGCTGCGATTTCAAATCTGTCCCCCGAATGATACGAGTATGCTTTTATACGAAACTCTAAGCTTCACTTTCCCCAAATATGCTGCTATTCAAAATAATACATTCGACTTCCTACCGAAGGATAGAAAAGGAAAGAGATAATCCTCGAACCACCACCACCATAGAGAAAGAGGATCCTCGATAAAATTTATTCATCGCTCTGACATTTCTACGTTGCCTAAATTTATTGCTTGTATAATCGCGAGTAACACTTTAAAACTGAAGAAGATGGTCATAATAAAATGTACGAGGTGTCTTTTATAAGGGTGGTATTTGAACACTTAGTACAATAATTTTCAACTTAGAGTAAATTTATTTTCTTTTTTTTTTTTAAAACTATGATTCTGTTGAAAAAAATGTTTTTCTTTATATTTTAAAAAATAGATGTTGAATCATTAGGAATGAAAATATTTAATTTTCAAATATAGTTTTAGTATAATAGGAATGCTATTAGGTAATAATTTTTCTTTTCTTTTGTGTATAATAACCTTTAATATTTGTACAAGGTTACACAACATGAATATTGAAATGGTATTGCACCCGCGCTAAACGGGGAACCTTGGTATTTATTTTATTTCGATTATGCAAGCGTAAAAATATCAAGAGTCATATACAGAAATCTTATATAATAACCTTCTATTTTTTTCCATCGGTGGTTCCTTTACACGATAACCGTGAACCTCTTCCTAATTTGAATAAACAGAACCGCTTCTTCAGTTTCATTTTTTAAAGAGAAGAAACTAAATAATTAAAATAAGAAATTATAAATTATTCAAGTCATTTCTGGTTTCTTACGAAATAACTTAAAATACGCATGGTATATTCATTGACCTCGTGTAGAGTAGTTTCTGGGTCTTTGTAATCATTAATTTATTAATTTACTAAATCCATATTACAATATCATAACAACCCCGTTGTCATCATAAGATGGCGCGCTTAATAAAGGGTGAACCAATTCCTTAGGTTTCTTAAAAATGTCAAATATTTAGTGTTATCCCATTGAAATATTAACCCTTGTAAAACACCTCTAGGTTTCACTGTTTTACACCATCTAAATGTGGTCTCTCATAGATTTGTTGCGAATACTGGTTTTCATACTAGTTTACCGTTCTACCTTTGAATCAACACGTTACAACTGTTACTTTTCACACGCTGAGGGCATTCTATGACATTTCGTGAATGTGCAAGGTACCTATAGAACTTTATGGTGTGAATGTTGAATTTGAAATCGTAAGATAATTGTTACCTACTGTCCCGCTGATGAAATTGATAAGTGATAGTTGTTTATACATATTTCAATAATGCTTAAAAATTGTCACGGAATTCATATTATCAGTAACCATATCAATTTTTACGGTACTAATAAAAAACATTATATTGTTTAAAAGTTATTAATCTGATGTGTAGAAAATATTATATAATCCTCATTTTTATGTTAATTTATTCATTTACTTTTTTTATGTTTTAAAAATATATCGCAAGCGATATCTAGCAATAAATAGCGGAACTAACTAAAGAAAGGCAGTGACTGTAGGTAACAGTACGTTTTTATCTTCAACAGCACGCGCCATCTAGTGTATTTTAAAATTGATATAAATTATAAACGTATTTCAGTCGTTTGTCGTTAGCTGGCGCATGCTGCTGCTGTTTCTTGGCGCTTTTTCTAAAAAAAGATCACACGTGATCTTTCTATTTCGCGCAAGAAAATCTTAATGAACAAATGAAACAGAAAATAATTAATGCAAGGGTTAAATGTAACATTCGTTTAAATTTAAACGCTAGGGATATCAGGTAACGAAGCGTTGTATCTGCCGAGTTGGCGAGCGGTGGGGGGAGATTAATTTATGACTAGGGGAGCCGAGCGTGCGCATCGCTCAGTGTACGTCGAGACGTCACCGCGGCAGGGTGGTCAAGTGCATGGATCGAAGAAATTGCCGCGCGTGTGTGAAAACAATCAAAAGAGAGGGAAGCAGGAACAAAGAAAGAGAGTTGTCTTCCTCCGGCAGGTACTGTGTTGTGCACCGAACACGTGTGAGTGTGCGTCTTGTCTTTGGTGATCTAGAAAACGTGCCGAACGTTCGGGTGATTCCTGCAATGTCACGAAATTAAATCTGACAGGAAGAAAACCAAGTTTCTTTCAAGCATTCAACTTCATCTCTGAACTTGCAACTTTGAAAATATATTTATGCACCACGTGCTGTTTTCTGCATCTAAAAATTCATAAGTATGCTATACATATTGTTTACATTCATTTGTCACAGTTTGCTGATTTAATCGTTTGTTTTAATAAGTATTACATATCTGTGTTTGTTGAGTTTATTTACGTTTCTCCAGTTATCAGGGATATACTTTTTGAAGATCGATATACGTTTTGTTCGAGATAGCCGGTTTTTAACGAAAGAGTAACACGTGATTGCAATTTGTCAGTGTAAACAGATTATCTTTGGGCATTTAAAAGGCTACCACGTTTTGTTACATAATTATTTAAATGTCCGTTGACAGTCAACTTAAGGTTAATCTTATTATTAAAGCTCGGTGCCCCTAAGAGCGTATTATTTATTTTATCGTAGAGAGCAGTAGCCACATATTAACCGAGAGTTTTGAACTCTGGTACTGCAATTATTTAATTTCCTACATTGTCTTTTCGCGTTAGTGTCCGCGGGTACGCGAGTTGCCCAGGCCTCCATCATTCGGGCTACAGTGAAATTGCTTCTCAACGGTTAAATTTGAAAGGGATGGAATGTGCGTTGGCATGTTTTCACGTTGAAGAATTTTTTTTTCTTTTCTTAACGAGCGTTTACTCATGCGACACGGTACTTTCGAAACGTGCGCTTCAATCAAACACGTTTACCCATGTGTAAAAGAAGCCACGTACGGATTTTTTGAAAACACACAACCCAACATTTCAGCAATCCTTTTAGTTTTCAACACGCGTAACGAAAGAGGTATACGGTCCAATAGTGTTTCGTAATGTTTTTACGTTTAGCAAATTAACCGTATTATTGCGCCAATGGAGCATTAAGCTGATTGTGTAAGGTGTTACATCTTTGGGATATTTGAATATTCGTGAGCCCATTGAAATTTGAAAATTCGCTTTTTATTTGAAATTTAAATAAGTATTCAAGTATAATTTATAAGGGTATTACTATCTTCCACTGGAAAGAAGCCCCCGGAGAGAAACGCGATCTGATTGGTCGCGCCTCACCCCAGCTCGCGTACGATTGGTCGAAGCGGTCACGTGTACTAATCAGGCTCCTATATAAGTAGGAAGTCAGTGGATGTTCGCGTAGTGCCCCTTTTGCCCTTGTTCCGTCCTACGCGATTTCTTGTGATCGGAGGACGGTGTAATATCCTATTTGTAACGTTGGCAACACTCCAACATGTCATGACGATCACACGCGATGCATATCTACAAACACGCGATTACTTCATTTGATTTTATAAAAGCGATGTTGCATCCATATTGTTAGGAATTCTTTTAGAGTTATACCTGATACGAATTCATAGCTGGGAATAGAAACAAACTTCTATGCAATAATGAAATTACTTTCTCTTTGAATTACTATAATCAGCTTAACAGTCTACTAACGATACAAAAGTCGAGTGCACAGTACTCGGTATTGTTCAAATGATTCTAGCTGATTAAAAAATTCCAAATTAGGGTATTGGAATTTGTAGAATGAGACAAAGCTGTGCAGTTGACTAAACATGGTATAGAATTGATTAGTCATCTTTATTGACATTGGAAATTGTCGATAATCAATTTTGTGATAATATAATTATCAGAGTAGATAACATCAAATACAGTTGACTCTCGTTATATTGCCGTGAATGGGGCGATTCAAATTTTCAATCGGAGAAGAAAATTAAAATAAAATTGTATCATTTTCGCAGGCTATGATGGTAGAAGAGTAGCACTAACAGGCTTGAAAGTCAAATCGTTCAGATGGCAATATAACGAGAGTTCACTGTATTCAATGTAGTCCGTCATCGTCCGCTTTGAATATTTCTTGCAATTCAGTAAAAAGTTACTCAAGTGACCTGAATTAAAATGCATTATCGTAATTGGAATATTTATTAATTCCAATCAAGAGAATTAAAATTACTAATGACTTAGTTTCTTCTGCAAGAAATATGATAATGAGCAAATTTTGTGTTAAGTATATCAGTTAGGTAACTCTTGTCTGTCATAAATACCACATCTTGGAGCAAGTTTTGAACAGGTATCCAAAGTCTTCCTCTTCAGGGTCTTGATAAAGATACTCACGATAGTAGTGACTGACGTCACGGAGAGAGAGAGCGAGGATTAAGTAGGTTAGATACTTCGGACACTGGACGATTGGTTGATGGTCACAAGAACGATTCGTTGAATGAATAGTATAAAACTACTTTTATTTAAAAAAAAAAATAAAATTTTTTAATTGCATACTGTAATGTTGAAAAAATGTTAGAATAAAAGCCCATTGCCTAATTCCTCCCTCTTTTTATTGTAGTAATTAAGGTTATCTTTCAGTTAAGCTGATTAACTTAATCAACTAATTATCTCAATTACCCTGTATAAAGGTTACATGGTCAGTTATTGAACTTTAATTATCATAAGAGTACTTATTACTCTTATTCATTGATATGGATACATAATTGTACTGAGAGTCAAGGAAAGAAATCCTGATTTCAGGAAGAAACGATCAATGTCACGTCTGCTTTTGTGTAATTCCAGTAATAGGGTGATGTAAAGGAACGAACCAGACACGTGTGTACTGACCTCGAGCTATGAAATTTACCGCTTCCTGTTTAAATGTCATTCAGCTGCATTATTCAATGACTCTTTAATTGAGCTGAAAAGAAAATCTCTCTTTGTCCGAATACAATCAATCCTTTATTTCAATTAAATATACAGACGTCGATGCATTGGTGTGATTAGAGACCACGGTTGGCCTGGTCTGAAATTTTAAAATTTCAGAAGTGTAAAACCTGAAATTTGCAAAATTAACGAGGTCCAAAATTTTAGATTTGGTAAATTCCAGAATTCCAAAAGTCCAAGGCCTGAAATTTGCAAAATTCCAAGAGTCGAAAACCTCAAATTTACAAAATTTCAGAAGTCCAAAATCTCAGATTCGAAAAATTTCAAAATTAAGAAAAACCAGAACTCTCCCCATTTAAAGTAACACGTGTTCCGTACACGTGTTTTATTAATTGTACAACTTCAAAAGCCTTGATCTCTAATTCAGATAAGTGTAGGTTCTACTGCATTGTGTTTGTAACATGTGTGCGATGACAAAGCGATAGCACTAGAATCAGATTTTGTTTTAGTTACTATAGGGACGAATATGGTTGTTAGAGAAGTCCACAGTTGCTTCTCAGCGTGAAAAACGTACGCGTCTCAGTATAATTAGCGTATAATTAATTTAATAATTAATAATAGTGGCAGTATTTTTTGTTTCTTATACTTCACTTGTGGATAATTAATAATAAAATTGTCTACGATATTTTTTGGAGAACGTGGACCCATAAACGGTTAAGGTGTAGAAAGACCTTTACACGATCGTTGAAAGGATTCGTGTGAACATTTCACGTATGTAGCTAATTATTAGAGGCGTCATAATTACAATCTACACCGACGAATACGGGCAAGGGAAATTTTCACATAACAGTAAGACCATGCTTCATTCAATTGTGTGTTTATCATGAGAAATTTCGGTCTTCAATAATATTCAAAGACGTTCATTTCTGATAATCATTTCTTTTTTCAACGTACTATAAATATTTATGAAAATATGAATTTGCATTGTTCAAAGCTGATAGTAGATTCATATCATTTAGATGAAAGAACAAAGCCTTTCATTGATATGATAATGATTTGAGATAAGAAAATAATGAAAACAGACTCTTTATTCATATTTTTTTATCAACTACTTGAACTGATTCAGTTGAAGATTGGCATGGGCATAGGTCATAAACATTCTTTGAAAGTGATACCATTCTATGACAGGAATGTCCTCTGTTTCATGATAGTTCTCAGTATAGTATTTCCATGCAATTTGTTGTATCACTTCCAGGAAGCACAGTGAAAGTTTATATCAACCCAAACAGTGGGATTGTTATAAGATACATTTTTGTTTTTAAAATTTATTTAACTAATCGAGGTCGTATATTTAATTACTTGATTTTATCGTCCATCGTTAAGTGGACTCTTATAAAAATGAATCCACTAACGACGTTTCTTTAATCGATCGCGTTAAAATATCATTTTACCTTTAACGATGAAAGGTGATTTAAGATTTAAATTTGGCGCCGATGCGCAGAAGCGTCGCGCACAGGCGCGCCACATTTTTGAATCTCGAATACCGTGTACGGCGCGAGGCTCGCTTTAGAAGTTAAAATTACTTCTCGGGATGGATTACTTACAGTTGAGTAAGATGGTGGGGAGTTTAATAGGGGTTACGAAAGGTATTCTGCGCGACGATTTCGTTTCGAATGGACGAAATACGAGCATAACCAAAGTGCCTTGTTTCAACAGCAATGTCCCTTGGTGGGTCGAATAACGGTGAACCGCTCATTCCAGTTGGCTCTTTTGCTCATTCCTACCGTTTGATTCATCAGTCAAACCTTTAAAATTCTTTTCCTACTAATAAATTCGGTGCACAGTTATTTTTATTGACGAGCCTGAATCGATAAGTTGTTCAATAAAATAGAACGCCAAATTTTGAAATACCTTTATTTCTTTCTCTTCTTTTGAACTCGATGTCATTTTAATGATTATAATTAATAAAATATAATCAATACATCTGGTTAATTAATAAAGATTTATAGTAATTGCTCCTGACATGTCTTAATTGGGTTATCTTAACATTATTTAATTAAAGAGCGATCAAAAATTTTTTTTTCATAAAGAAACGTTTGTGCACGGAACGAATAGGATATTATTTATATAAATTGGTAAAACGGATGTGAAACTCTCTCTCTCTCTCCATCCATTTCTCTTTTTCATTCTCTTTTTGCAGAGTGAAGTGAAATGAATGACAGTAATTGCGTGGCAAGTGAATGGTACCCTTGGAAATTATTCATTATCAATAACACGGTTCATTTGTACCATTCAGTGAAATTTCCTTTGAAATTTTATTTACTATTAATTTTAATAGAATACCGGAAACATCAAAGGCCTATCTCGCCAGATGGCAAGAATTCGAGTAATTATTCATTTCGTGCCATTAAAGTTTATTCATAAAACCGACCTGAAATGGTCAGTTAGAATTTGAAAAATTATTCCACATTTTAATGTATCAAGATCTGCTGGTTATGTGAAAGTATCCTTTCTCTGTTTTGTAAGTGAATTATTATATCTGTGGTTCCGTTCACGGATGGCCCCCTACGGAAAGAAATTTTTTAACAAACATCCGATTCGTTTGTTAACAATCGTTCAACGCGTTCGCTGGTGGTAAACGTTGTGAAAATGTCGAGGAAATCTCGGTTAAATACGATCGAAACTTTCGCCAAAACAGATCCCACTGACCCACTGCAAAGCGATAGCCGCGTTACGATCGAAAGAACATGCGTTCAGTATGCAATTTCATATACTACTTTGCATGCTCCTCTATTTAACGTATTAATGGCTCGATACAGAAGTTCCATTTGGTATTTATTAAATGTCCCTGATCCGGGAAAGATTTTCCCCGAAAATTTTTAAAAATCTTTTATCATTTGTAGAATATTATTTTTCATAATGATCCAATATTTCATGCGAAAGAAGCGATTGTTTCGTGACGATTATTGATCGAATAAAAATCTTAAGCAAATAAGTATGCATCGGTGTCCTACATTGAGAGTAACAGTTAGTCACAGACACCGTACAAAATTTAAAACATCCTCTTCATCAATGACACATTTATCAGAATACGAGGTGTCCTAGTATCGATGCTACAACTGAATGATATTTTTAAAATGATATTTCCTAAGGAAAGGGTTATTTATATTAAATTACGTCTGTTGCAGTTGACAATACCAAAGAGTCTGAAGTAGCATGCCAAATCAAACATGGATTATAAAGAATATCATTATCCTTCTTCTTGTTGGGACGTTGAAGTCCGGTATTGGTACGTACATTATTTTCTATATATTTTACATTAACAGATCAATATTATTGATAGCATGGTTGAATATGTGAAATATTGATCAGATGGTTTAATAGACAGTAAATGTTTTTAGTATTGATAAAATTTCTTTTTATCGTATATCATTGATTATCAATATGAAATGTATCGTCAATAAATATTGAACAGTTTATCGATAAGTTTCAACTGCGATGACAATGTACGACGTGTCTCATGTAGTAGGATAAAGAATTCTAAGCTCTCCCTGACTCTCCCTAAGATATCTTATCAACTATTCAATTTTTGACCAAAGTAGAGAATAATAAGACGCAACAATAAAGTTAAAAATTCCAGAAAAAATTTTTCAAATTGAGGGAGCCCAAGTCTCTCCCTATCTTTTCGACCCAAGTGCCTTAGTAATTTTCTATAGAGAATAAAAAGACGCTTCGATTTATATTTAATACCATTTAAGTTTTATATTTACCATTTTAAAGCACGACCCACTTACATGGAACATCCTGTATATTGTCCGTCCGAACCTCTTTACAGTTGTTTTCCTCATTTTGTTTTTAGAGAGATAAGTTTCTTATCTATCGCAGTTAAGAATTACAACAATGAAAGTGTCTGCGATAAAAACGTGACCATCGGTGACACGAATTTTCTAAAATCTTAACAAATCATTGTCTTTATTCTGAACGTGTTACATAGATAAGATAATAAATGGTAGCAGAAACAATTGCGAAATATTACAAATTAAAAAATGGTACGTATCGTCTGTCCATGACACTCGAATATCAAAAATATCACTTGAGTAAACAGTTTTGAACAAATAAAACTGCGTTTCCTATATTTCTGTTTCTTACGTAAAGGACGAGTTTCTTTGATAGTCAGACACAATTTGTAATCTTTCTATTTGTAGATAAATGACAAAAGGTAAAGTTTCTTTGTTTTCTTTTCACATAGGAAATCCCATCAGAGACAGGTCGAAAAGAGAAGCGGAAATAATGGCAACCAACTGGACGCAACTTGCCGACGAATGGTTCGCTGCCAGAGCAAGAGTCGCAGAAAGATTCGATGTTACTGTTCTGCCTCTGACTGATAAACTCAGAGATCTACCACCAACCGCTGAGACTGTGGTCATTAATGGCACCAGTCCTGAACAACTTACACGGGTAACAGGAAATTCAATTCTTTTAGAATAATCATTTTCCTCAATTCAGTTTGACTATCAGGAGACTTCAGATACAAAGGAATCTTAGTGTGTCGAATGTTAAATTGAATTTAACGTTCGATTCTTCCGTATTTTCTCGAGTATTTTTCATGTTCAACGGTGACGATGTCGCCGACTCTCACTTTCAGTGCCAAAATACTTTCACCGAGTTGATCGGCTGCTATCTTTCTTATTCGTGTTTACAGGTATACGTGTAACCCAATGTCAGCCACTTTCCCCACGGAAAGTTTTAACGTAGTTAGATTTTCCTTGGAGGAATTGAAATGAATTTCTGCAACGACTGTACATCCATAATTTCTCCATAATATCCGTAGAAATTTCTATTTTTCAGTATAATTATTCAAGAATGCTATGGGAAATGGAGTCCGCCCAGTCTAGTGGACATCTCTCAGGATTTGTAGATAAAGCTCTAAAGTTGTTAGATTTAAGGCAAGTAATGATGGAAGTCGAAACGTCGGTAATGTCAAAAGTGTCCTGTACAGCGTGCAAGGTTGGCGCTGGGCTTCTTCAGCATTACACCAAGGTCGGCAAGAGCGACGAGGAAATAATGAACAGTATTTACCAATTTTGTGTATCTCTTAATATACAAAGTTCACGTGTATGTCAAGGAGTGACGTTGCTCTTCGGGGTAAGTTTCTTCGTCGACATTTCAGAGATTTTTGATAGACATTCAACGTTGGTCGTTTTTCAGGGTGAAGTCATCTATGTTTTGAAACAAGTTAATATGGGACCAAATCAGATTTGTAGCTTCGTGATCGGCGATGCATGCGACGACGCTTATAATCCTCTTCACGAATGGGAAGTTGCATTCCCGCCGGTGAACAAACCACCTGTTAAACCTCCTATACCACCTCAAGAAGGTGCGCCGACCTTCAAAGTACTTCATATCTCAGATACCCATTACGATCCTTATTATCAAGAGGGTGCCAATGCGGAATGTAGCGAACCATTATGCTGCAGATTGACCAACGGAGCACCCCTGACTCCGGCCGCAGCTGCTGGCCGATGGGGTGACTATAGAAAATGTGACACCCCTAAAAGAACCGTTGAACATATGCTGAAACACATTGTCGATACACATTCTGTAAATATATTTAATATATTTCTTTTTCAATAGCAATAAGTTTACCGACAGAGCGTAATTAATAAAATTGATTAACTGTTAGGATATAGATTACATACTATGGACCGGTGATTTGCCACCACACGATGTATGGAACCAAACACGAGAAGAAAATCTGAATGTTTTGCACGATACGGTGAACCAGCTCATTGAAATGTTTCCTGGAATACCGATATTTCCAGCTCTGGGAAATCATGAAAGTGCTCCAGTTAATAGGTACGTTATTTTGTTTATTTATGATCTTTTTCCAGAAACTCGTAAACCATCGGTGGGTGAAATAGTGTTTTGAAATAAAGAATAAAAGCTAGCTTCCCTCTCCTTACCTACATTTCATGAGTTTTTCTTTCCTAATTTTATTTTCTGAACAGCGTTTATAATCGATTCTGTTTCTTTCAGTTTTGTAATGTTAATCACCAGTTAATCACTCTTAGACGATCAACAGTTATTTGTAATTGATTTATTGTATTTGCAATTGATTGTAATCGATTATTGTAATTGATTTATAAACGTTTTCAGCTTTCCACCGCCGTTTGTCCCAAAAGATAACGACATATCGTGGTTGTACGATACACTGGATAAACATTGGCGACGTTGGTTACCAGCTGGTGTCTCGCACACTGTTAGACGCGGTGCATTTTATTCGGTCCTAGTTCGTCCAGGCTTCAGAATTCTCTCTGTGAACATGAATTATTGTAACAATAAAAATTGGTGGCTGTTAATAAATAGCACAGACCCGGTCAGCGAATTACAGTGGCTGGTGTATGAATTACAAGGTGCCGAGATGAATGGCGAGAAAGTTCATATTATCGGTCATATACCACCTGGACACTCGGACTGTTTGAAAGTGTGGTCTAGAAATTATTATCAAATCATAAACCGGTTAGTACAATGATGATAAAGAGAAATAATAAACTCCACGTATAATTAAATATACTATTAATAACACTGTATAAATAATTTGAAACTAGGTACGAATCAACAATCACGGCCCAATTCTTTGGACACACTCACTACGACGAATTTGAACTATTTTATGATGTCACTGATTTAGGAAGAGCTGTCAGTATAGCTTATATAGGGCCATCGGTTACCCCTTATTTTGATCTCAATCCAGGGTACAGGATATACTATGTTGATGGTGATCATGAGAAAACTACTAGAGTAAGTTTGACTTAGAACGGTGGGATGTTCTACAATAATATCCTAGGATAATCATTAAAAGAAAAAAAAAAAAAAAAAAAAAAAACATTTATTTTGTTATAGATGGTCGTGGATCACGAAAGTTGGGTGATGAATTTAAAGGAAGCGAATTTGTACGATTATCCCATTTGGCACAAAATGTACAGCGCACGACAGGCATATCAAATGCCGTCGTTATTACCTAAAGATTGGGACTCTTTGATAGATAAAATGAGCAATGAACCATCGCTCTTTGATCTTTATTATAAGTATGTATCGGTATCTATTAGGTTATTCTCCTGAATATTAACTTCTTCACCTGGAATAACATACCATTTGACTCGTCCGGTTGTAAATTTATCCTCCATTTTGTGGCATGTATTATTTTACAGAAATTATTACAAAAATTCTCCTGTAAGACCGACGTGTAACGACGACTGTCGAAAGAGATTGCTTTGTGATTTGCGAAGTGGAAGAAGCCACGATCGCAAAGCGTTGTGTCAGAATCTCGAGTCCAGGATAGATGGTGAAACAAGGACAGGTTGGAGGGCATGGATCTACAATGGACTAGCATTATCGTACGTACAGAAATGGTGGATTCATTCTTATTCCGGCGATATCGAAACAAACCGGGTTGACGTTTAATTTTTAGATAAGTCTATTTCACACTTATTGCTCAAATATGGCTGTTACTTAGTGGTTAGTAAATGAATACGTGCTTTTAAGTACTAATACACATTACACGCAACCGGAGCACTTACCTGAGAAGAATAAATAATCTTTCTGTATATAGATTAATTAGGAGTATGTACAAATTTTCTTTTTTTTTTTTTTTGTTTTCTTTTAATACTTTGCATACTCCTAATATACTACCTATTATTCAAGGCTTTTAATAATCATTTTCTAAGGTAGTGGACACTTCTTTTTGTGGCAATCGTTATATCCGAATTTTCTTATTAACTCTCGAGTTCGTTGTTTCCAAAAGAAAATTAAATAACAAATAAGAAATGAAGGTAACGATTGTCAAAAATGTATTCATTATGCGTATAGGTACAGGATTTAACTTTTAAAATAGCTAAATATCGTTTCAATTATTCCATTATATTATTATTACAATATCTATAACTATTAACCATATTTTATAACACTCTAATCTTGATGACAATACTTAGAAATTAAGTTCTTAAACGTGTTGCAACAATTATTGTAAATTAACTAATCTGCACATTGTAAATATGTACACAATTCACTATCTGTTTAATTCAACATTTGTATTTCCTTGTCTTGTTCCGATAAAAATGATTTATGTAACCCACCAGAGAAGGTGGCAACAAACTGTAGTAAGTTAGAAGTTTCTGTCTGTTGATGATTAATGAATGCATGCCAACATGCTGTCTCAATGAAGATATTACATCAGATACATATCTTATTCAAATGTTCCAGAGGTTTCCTTGCTAAGCAAGTAGCTTCATAATTTTTGCAACAGAAATCCAGCGCGCAGCATTAGTATATATTTTATTCCAGATTATACCAAAGAGTATGATATTAAAAAAAAAAAAAGATTTTGTTATTAATATAGATGCAGTGCAAACGCTTTAGTTTACTATGAAATATTGCCGTTACGATAGAGATATTAAATGTAATTAAATTAATTCTTGTACATTTTTAAAACTGTTATAAATTTATAAAAATCCGTGGTAAAAATTATTTACCTTATTAGTTTTAAGTAACACATACTGTAAATATATTAAGTTGTGTGGATAAATTAAAATGAGCACCCTGTACATACTGCACTAGCAGATATCACCCCAAGATTTAATAACAGATAATTATTTATGGTGGTGGAAGCTGTAACATGGTGGTTGAAATCTAAACCCTCTGATGCTATCATACACCGCTTATAACAGGTATGTAACTTTTTGTATACGTCTGATTTAATGCTTTTTAAATTAATATTTGCAACGTTAATATATAATTTATGATTTTTCTCCTTGTCCACAGTGAAAATAATGTTTCTTTTTTTTTTTTTTTATCTCTTGTTTTGCAGAGTATCTGTTTTTATGGCAATTCCTCGATTTGCGTACAATTTACCTAAGTACGTTTTAGGCCTAGGATAAATGAAGATGTGATTGAACGGGTAACCGATTTGTAAGTTACGTGTAAATTTTCATTTGACATTCTTGTATATGATTCAACCCCTGTACGACGATTACAGGGTCACTTTGATCTGGTCACTAAATTCAAACAAAGAAAATTAAAATTAAATTCAAAATTTTCATATAATGACTTTTTAACATTGCTTTTTAAAATACAGTGACAATCAAGAGGAAATTTAATTACTTGTTAAGATAAATGTAAATAGTTACTATATAAAATGAGAAGAGTGTGTCAGAATGTTGCTTCATATTTATTCGAAATTTATTTTCATAAATATTATTCAATTAATTACTGTAAATTGAACATATTTTATAGTATGTGTAAAACACTCGTCGTGTATTTCATATGATGAGCGATGAAAGTTATTTATTAAAAAGAATATATATTTGTAAAGAATTTGTATAATAGTGGTATGTGTGTTTATAAATGAAAGATCTTTTGAAGCATTGTATAAAGTTACTGTTATTATGAAAAAATAGATAAGATAGAGATATATAGAAGATTTAATATTAAAAAATTGTGTTTGCAATTTTTATGATTTCGCAGTGAAAAAGCTTGCATAGAGAGTAAGGCTCTGCCATTCAAGCTCCTACGTCGCCATTTTGTTGATTTTTTTCACGTCTATAATCTTAAAATTGTAGACGAAAGTTCATTTAATAAATATCTATTAAAACACATCCAATACCTCATGTACTTTCAGAGAAAACCACTCTTTACACTTTCTGTCCGGATGTCGTCATATGACGACATACCTAACGAACGGATGGCGTCATAAGACGACATACTCTACGAACGGATGACGTCACAAGACGTCAATTTTTTTAGACGTGCCAATAATTTTGTGAAGGAAATATTTTTACAACAGCTTGTAGTTTTAAATGTAAGTTTTATTTAGTCTATGTACAACACATACGTACAATACGTGACCCTTGCTTAAAACTATATTACGCTCGCCCGGTATGCATTTCCACTTAATCATTTCTTTTTAATTTCACTTAAATCTTTACTCCTCGACATATGTACTTCGGTTCGTGTGAAAGTGTTACGTGTACGTATACGTTTTACATGTGCATGCCATTCTAATGCATACACATGTTTGATTTTATGCGAGTGTGTATTTGTGCGTGTGTCTGTGTGATATGTTACAAATTTTTAGGAACATTTCGCGTGGAACAGCGCGAGCGATATTAGTATTAAGATTGCAGTATTTCCACTACACGAAAAACAATGTAGTCGTCTGCAGCTCGATTCTTGATCAATATATTGATTAGACAGTTATCAGAAAATGACACCAATATAGACGAATGTTGATTGGACAGATCCAAATATCACCACTGAAAGGCGCCAGGGAAAACCGATCATTCTTTTAATAATTAAAATAATTCTTTTCACAATTATGCATCTTTCAAATTTTAAGCTTGAAAAGAGGATGTTTATCATTTTATAATTAAGTTTTCTATGGTGATTTTAATTTTTCATAATTAGAATTTAACACCAGAGTCACCTGTTTTAAATTAAAAATAAGGTAGAGAGATAAATAATAAAACAAAGGGTGGAAAACAAATTAGCAATCTTTTTTAATTTATTTTTAATCTCGGTGATTCTAGTGTTAAAGACATTGAGAGGATTATTTTTCTATGTTCCCTTGTTAAAATAATTCTATCGTATGAGAAAAAAAAAAAAAAAGAAAATTTGATATTTATAATCGAACCCCTGGCGCCTCTCAAATTTTGAACGCAAGGCATTATTCACCCTTGTTCAGCCCTCCCACCCTCTATTTCAAATTCTGGCCAACATAAGCACACAAATCAATGCCTAATATTTCCACTAAGGGTAGGTATGCTTACATTTTTAAAAGGACATTGAAAAATCGCATATTCTAGGATATCTGTCGATTACAGTGTGTGTATGTACCCCTCGATTTTATTTACAATCTTCATTAACGAAAATGTGTCTCATTTCTTTCTTTTTTTTTAAATCGTTGTTGAGAAACTAAAGATTCCCGTGGAATGTGTCTGGTTCCACTTCCATTTTGCATATACTATAAATATGCAAAACAACAAAATACTTTCCTAGTCGCTTAACATCGAAACTTTATACACCAATAACGAAATATAAAAGAAAGAATAAAGAATTTTTAACTTGACAGTGAAATATCGAGCCTACGAATGAATTAAAAAACAAATTGATAAATAATATGAAGATACGTTATACTTTGTACAGAATAATTGAAGTTTCTGTACAGTACCGAGTATGGTAGGCTTTCTTAGAGAAAAAGGTAATATAGAGAAAAATTCCGAAATTCAAATGTTGAAGTTTCAAAACCAAAATTTGGATGTTTCAAATTATTAGGTTTTCAAAAAATAATAATAATAATAGTGACACACGAGTGGTGAAGCTATTTTCTCCTAAAGTACCGTTTCCTCTAGGAAAGCCTCCATCCTCGCTACTGTACATAAACGTTTTCACTAATAATTAGGTGTATGGTGCGAATATGTGTACTTAATTTGAATATACGTACCACTCGCGTGTATGTATAGCGGCCCACACGAATACTCTTAAATAACCAATATCAAATGATATTAACAATGTTAATTTACCAAAAATATCGTTAACATTACGAGTCGAAACGTCAGACGATTATGAACGAGAGCGCGAATAATCAATACTGAAGTTTCGTTATCATAATATCGATACTCTTGGCAAGTCCTATCGAAAGATTTCAATACGCGCTTCGTTTTATTTTTCCCTTCGCTATCTTCCTCTCGGGTGCTCGTTTAAACGAGCTTCTTCCTTTGTCTCGTTTAAGCAACACATTTGAACGGTGCCGAGAATTTGTCTCGCAACATGGATGCACACTCAAATACTTGTGTTCGAATTTCTATAGGATTACAATTATGTTTGATATTGCAGCATCGGAGCAGCTAAATTAGGGTGATGAGCTGTATTCATTCTCAGAGCAGAGATACTCTTGTTGTACCATTCGTCCTCGGCTGACATTCCTGAAATAAGGTAATTCGTTGTTTGGAAATTTTTATTGAAAAATGTTCTAATCTAAAATTAAATTCATTCGTTTAGTGATCGAACGATGATAATTCAATTTCTTTTCTCTTCTTTCGAAACTAATCAATTCAATCAATTTTAACCAGCTTTCAACTAATTTCCAGCCGCATTTAAGACGTTAAATCGTTACAAGAAGCTGGGATATTAATAGAGTATACTATCTATACTGAAGCCTCGGAACAAGTCGAAGAGAAGCAGCCAGGCAATTTGCGAATAGTTCTTGATTCGATTTAAAAGCGATATTCCATCTTGCGCCGGAAATGGTATAAGACGGTGCTCGAGCGGAAATGGAGAGAACGTCTTGGACTGAACGAAACGAACGTTTGCACCGACGTCCGATTCCCGTTATTTCCGTTCTAATGTTTTGCAAAGTCATTCGATAATCTCGCACCAATACCTCGAGATATCTGGAAGAGTCACGGGAAAATCCAAGCAGGTTGCTTTTATCTTTTATTCGCAATAGAAAGTATATTTTTGTTGCTATGCATTTCTGTTAATTAATTCGTATTCTCCGTTCATTAGTATCGATAATTTGATTAGAAATTTATTTACACGGAATAAGATGAAATTTTAAGAATTTTAAAAATTATGTCCACTCACCCATTGCATCTTGTCTCATACCGGTAACTGCAGACATATTCGACGCTGAATGTGACATAGAGAATGGTTGGGTCATACTTGGATAGGACGTTGTGCCCATCTGGAAACATTTAATTAGACATTATTTAACAAATTTTTCTTTATTTCTTGGAAATGATTAATTTACAAAATTGAAATCAATTTACCAAAGGTTAAACGATAAGAAAAGATAATAAGTGTGCCATACTGGCATACTGGAATTTGAACTTCGAAGATCAATTAAGAGGAACCACTGAGCCCTTTTTTTTTCTGGCAAACCGATACGCTCAACGAATTATTGGCTTAATTAAACCGGTAGACATTCGGTAATCCGTCCGACCCAACTAATCAGTCGAAATGCAATTTAGCTACATCGACCGATAACGATGCGCTGGATGTACGCTCAGCTGCGCTTCAATTTAATACCTCGGTTAAAATCATTAACGAGAAACGCATCGAATTCATTCGTAGGGAAAGGATACCGTTTGCCTATTGGCTATGACGTATCAATTGTCCAATAAATTAATTACGAATCTTGAATTTATATAAACATACAGTGAAATATTAATAATTTCTTCTTCTTCTTTTTTTTTTTTTTCAATTTTTATATTAATTTTTATTATTTCTGGTAATGTGATGATAGAGTTAGGTAAAAGGGAACTGAAAATTGTAGAATTACCATACTAACAAAATTGAATGTTTTTGTTTCAGGTGTGGAGGGATTACCTGAGGATAGCGATTTATTCCATTTATGCTATTGTGAGGGTGAGGGTACGGCTGATATCCTCTGCTGGCACCAGGATAGATATTCCTCATCATGGCACCTTGGCAAGCCGGAATTGGAGTCAATGCCTTCTGCAGTTGTTTTTCTTGTTTCCTATATTTCGCCCTTCTGTTCTGGAACCAGACCTATTAACAGAAGAAAAAGGTAAAACTTAATATTTCTTTATTCCAGAATGTAACAATTAACATTTTGACAGGCAACATTAATTAATGTCTAGAAGTGGACTTTATGTTGAAAGAAAGAAGCCAGATATATTTTATTTTAACTGAAAGATGCGAAAGTAAATTTGTTTCCATCAATATCCAGGTTTATTTCAAACATACTGTGTATTCCATCTTTCATCGAACTCCCCGAGGGTAGAGTAGTTTACCTATCGCCATTTTGCATCGGGCAATTTCCATTGTTTCGCGGGATTAGTAAACCCATATTGGGGGTTGCCTGAACCGCCACCAGCGACACCCAGGCATCCACATCGAATCCATGAATCTCCTACACCCACGTATATTCTCAACGCCCTCCGGTTCTTCCCTTCCCGAACCCCCTCCCTACCACCGGTTCTTCACATACCCTACCACCGTCCAAAACCAAACCCCTCTTTCGAAAGCATCCCCTAGAAACAGAAAAGCCTCCCCCTTGGTTGAGGTCGATTTGTTTCCACTCTCGTAGTGATGTTACTGCTGCCTCCTGATTGGCCAATGCCATGACTATGACGTCACTCGGAGCTTCCTCATTGGCCAACACGTTTTATCGACATTTCTACTCTGTGTCCCTGTCTCTCTTCAGTATATAGAGTATCGCGTGCTGAAGTAGGTGACATACGAGGGGTGGCTCTTTACCCTCTTGCTTCCTCTATTTCCTTTATCTCTTTCTATACTTCCGGTTCGCTTGTTCTAGCTTTCTTTTTATCGCGAACTGCTCCGCCAGAGGAAATGTTGGAAGAAAAATCGAGTAAGAATTGCGGAGTATACGTAGGGGATGAAACTGTCACCCATGGAAAGAGTTTTCATTTTTCTTATTTTTTTTTTTTTTTTTTAGGGAAATTATTGAGTTTGGTTTATTAGCAGATAATAAACAGTTGAAAGAGTTAAAGTATTCATTGCAGATGTTATATTTAATAATTGATTACCGAGGAAATTTGATTCGAGGGTTTCATTTTATAGACACTGGAAATTATTAGTTTTCCTAATTCAACTGCAATTAAAAAAAATTTTTTAATTTGTATTATTATTTTAATTTCATCACTCAACTTAATATTGTAATATATTGTCAACTGAGGGGTGATAAATTTTTGTTTTTTTTCTTAGATTATCAAAAGTGTGTTAAAAATCTTGGCAATCGTTACGACGAATATTCTCTGTACGTATGTACCTAGGTACATCATTTTAAACTGCACATATGGAAATCAGGGAACAAGCGAAGCACCGCGCATAACCAATTGCCAGTCGCATTTGAATTCACTGCACACGAGCCGATTTGCACTTGCACAAAAGATACTTGTATCCGGCATAATTTCAATTTACGTATCACCCTGAGTCATTAATTCGCGTTAGACTTGGACATTGCTTGACTGAAATTATTTTAATATCATTAGTCGAATAACATAATACCTTCGCTTAATTGACTTCGTTAGAGTGACAGAAAATTTGATGACAAAATTATTTAAATAATTGCACTCGTGGCGTGTCGATTTAGAGATGAAAAATTATAGAAAAATCTCTGATTCGATGATGTTTAGGAAAGGAGAGTTGAGAAATGTCGTAGTATCTATCCTCTGCATACGTTACGAATAAATTGATGGATACATTTAACCGGATAGAGACAGGTCTTTTTTCCAAAGAGATCCGGTAAAAGTGGATGACTCCTTTTATTTGCAACTTCTCTGGAAGAGCTTTTTGCGAACATACTTGTGCGTCCCTTAAGGCGTGCACCCTACAAGAACTGGAAAGCTAAGAGTTCGTAATTCAATAACCGTGCTCTCCCAACCCTCCTTTTCTCCTCCCAACTACCCTCTCGCTACATAGAGAAAGATAGTACAAGGAGATGGGATAGCGAAAGTATATACAGTTACTTCTCAAGGGGAGAACAGCTGAAAATGTCTGCTACTTTCATCGCTATCATCGCGAAAACTATCCTTCTCTATGCTTGAAAGAAAAAAAATGAATTACCTTTTGCAAAATACAAATTGCAAAAGTATAGACAAATCTAGCTTAAATTCTATTTATTAATTTTCTGATTTTGTTAACTTATTGAAATTAAAAAATAAAGATGGTTAATTTTATAATTAGAAAATTTTTCAATTTTACAGTAAAAGTTACACTGTTGGTTGTTGTTCTTTTATTCGTGAATTCACTTGCTTTCCGTTCGATGAGATTGATTTTCTTGTAAAACGGCCGACAGATAGGCTTCTTCGATCGGAAGTCGAATCGAAGTAAAAAGGTCGAATGAAAACTCAGCTAACTCAATATCGTGGGTCGGATTCACCTTTCTTTTTACTCGGCGTAATGGGATTTCTTGTGCGGTGATTCGAGAATTATTCTCTTACCACGATGCTGCTACCCCTTTTTTTTATCATTATCATTATCGCGGATATTATCGTCGCTTCTTAAATTGATTCTCGACTATTTCTTCAAACCATTTCAACCACTTATTTCAAACATTACCTTAACAACATATTCTGAAATTCAATTTGAACGATTTCATTCTGAGAAAATGGTTAATTTCAAAGGGGTTGTTTTGAACAAATTCTATTTTATATTCAATCAAAAATAAACTATCTGTACATAATTTAGACCAACCCTTTTAAAGTTACAGAGAGAAATTATTTTACTGAAAAATTTTTCAAAATATCTTTTCTATCTAACTTTTCGACATTTTTTTTTTCAGATTGCCGTATGTGCACGTAAGGGCCCTGGTGAACATTCTGCCGAGCTTATTTATCGAGGATGATAAGGATGAAGGGTATCCATCTCAGCCGAGGGGTTGCGCGGATAAGAAAAAGGTAGGGACATAAGCCGTAGCAGGATTCCCTTCGTACCTTCTCTTTTCCTTATTTCCTACCCCTCGTCGAAGGAAGAACCTCGGCAAGACCGAGACGTTTCAGATCTATCTAGGGTGGAGAAAATTCAATTTAAAATGGCGGCTCAGATATAATGGCAGCCTCCGGTACAGCGCCACCCCAACCACCCTTCGCTCACCCCCCTCAACTCATCTCAACTTTGCCACCGTCCTTCCCTGCCTATTTCTCTTTCATCCAAGAACACCCTATTCGCATGCCGCCATCTTTCGATACACAAAACACCCCGAATACCGCGGCAACTTTAAACATTCCATAACATTCGTAATTGAGTAAGAAAAAGTTTTCAAAAATTTATAAAAATATCCAAAATTTTCAATGGCTGCGAAGGTGTGAAAAAAATTCCTAAAATTCTAGTTTTACGTTTGAAGCCGATGTGAATGATTTCGAAAGTCTCCGGCGCATTGGCGAAGCCACTTCCTGGCCTGGACACTTTGTGCATGGATTATAACCAACGAGTAAAAGCAAACCGCGTTTTACTTGGCATCGCAGTTTAACAGGGTTAAGTCGCCGCGGTTCCTGGGCTTTTAACTCAAACAACACCGTCCTGCATTATATATCAAAAGAACGAAACGCACCGGCGAACTGACTGTTTTAATATGTACCCGGTGTTGAATTCGAGGGCTAGCAATGCTCGCAGCAAAACATGGATGGTATATTCTATCTCCCTGTCCATCTTTCTTTAATGTCGACGGAAACCGCACTTGCTGCCCTATAGTTTGTTATTATACCTTTTATCTTACGCACTGATGCTTTCATCTATAATTATCTCCTTTCTTTTATGGTGTTTAACCCGTGAACAACGGTGCCTTGATCAATCGTGACTAAAACTTACAAAATATTTCATTTTTAATTAAAATTCGGGCTCTCTCCATGGTCCGCCGTCCGAGATACATTCAAAGAAATTAATTTTTAAATTTTACCAATATTTCTAGGACTCTCTCCATAGTCCGAGGTAGATTGAAAGAATTTAGAAATATTTCTAGAATCCTATTTTTTATTAATCATTATGCAAGGATGTTTTTCGAGAAAAATAATTATACTTGTATTCTCTGCGATCGGTTCTGCGACCCCTCGAAAGACAGGGGGTGTCTTGGATCGACATTTGTGCGCGTAATTTCATTTTATCGCCCCACATGCATCTTTGACTCAATTATCCTGTGAGTCATAGTCGAAAAGGATGTACTAAAAATGTGTACAGTTTCGAGAAGCAAAGTAAAAAAATTTACTTTGAATCTTGAAAATTAAAATAATCGTCGTCCAAGATAGCGTAAAATTTTCTTTGAAGACAACTTTTAATAATAAGAATAGTCACTGAAATTTCATGTCGCTATTTTGCACGACGAAAGTGGGGGGAACGTCATTGGTTAATCATCTTAACTCGTTCTTTCTTTTGAATCAATTAGAAAGTTCACCACCCACCTGAATTCTGGCTTCGTTCAATTTGGTGGACCGCGCCAATTCCTCCCTGCAGTATATGTCCGGATAATGAGATTTTGCGAATGCCGATTCCAATTCTGCCAGCTGCTCCTGCGAAACAATTGAAAGGCCGTAGTACAACCGATCAGAACTACCTCGACGGGAAATTTGAAGCGTTATACGGAAGCACCGGGATCGGGGTAATTGAAACACTATTATCCGAGAAAAAGAAGAAAAACATAGAACGAATGTGGAATGGAAGGTAAGTTCAGCATTCGTTTCGTAATTTGTAATGGTAAATGAAAGGGCGTTATTATGACATCCTTGGTTATTTTTATTTTACAACAAAATTTCATATTATTATAACAAAATGCCACATTAGCACCCTTTTGATGTAATTAGGATTTTTCTTTAAAATGGATCCTCTAATTTTACTGACAATTTTTATTTCTTACTTTTAATTATTGTATGCATTTAGTTTGCATTTAATTGCATTGCATGTTGCAATTATAATAAGATTATACGAGGAGAGCCAGAGGTCACCCTAATTGCGCCAGTGATCTTATGTTTGAAACACTTTCGCTGTCGTTGGCCATTAAGGGTCCGATCACTCAGTATTACGTGATTGATCGTGAACTCTTAGTCATTAGCAGGTGTTGAAAAATAAAATAATAAATAACAAACCTGTGTGAAAGTAGTCCTGTGCCGTCGTCGAGCAGGCGTTGGACAACTGGCGGTGGTAGGAGTATGACCGATGTGAGGACTCGAAGCACAAGGGTCGGGTTTTAACTTTTTGAAAGCCCCTTCCGCCCCTAAAATTATAACATATCAAATTTTAAGCTTCACTTCAAATTTTAAATCATTAAATCGTGTCAAACTCGACATAGTTCGAAATTGGTCATTGTTTTCTGTAATCGAACGATCAGCCATTTAAACGGAAGATATTCATGAAGGGTTTATGTAGTTATATTCGGGAAAGTTTAAGCTTTAATTTGATGTGCCTTAAGTAATAATTTGTCATACTTTTATGTCATGAAATCATGGTGCAAGAAGTAACAGTTCTATTAACCCTTGAACAGAGGAGCCACTCTCCATGGTCCGCCGTGCGAGAGTTAATCATATACACTTATTTCTATTATAATTTTCAAATAGAATTTTAATTCAGTGTTTCAATAATCACTAATTACATTTTATTTTTAATTTTGCAAAAGAACATGTCCAAAATTAAAGCTTCTATTTGATTGTAGATCATTTCAAATTTCATTAGATTACAATATATTTCTTCGTGTCTAATTAATATTTTTAAAAATTTCTAACAATAATCAACGTGTCGATGTAAAAAATGAAATTAATATCTGCATTGATTTCAAGAGAAAAAGAAACGTCTTTGTGTAAATGTCTATTGCATTAAAGAATGTAGGTAAATGAGAGAATTATGCATTCGAAGGTGTTAACTCTCGAATGCAAGAAACTGTCGATAAGACGAAGGATCTGGATTGAGAGAAACGCGGGTTTGTCTTGGTCCTTTCACGGTATCGGCTTTATGAACGAACGTACGAACATACGGTCGAGGTAACGGTGGCGAGCGAAGTCCCTCGCACTATGCTAACTTGGTTAGGGCGTTAATGACCTAATCATGTTACATGCTGATTCAATGTTCAAGGATGAATGCTGTCCACTTTACATACCTTGCCCCGTTACCCGGTGAACAGTGAAACTCGGTCAAGTTCAACGAGAAGACAAGGAGGATTTTACGATCGCTTCCTTGAAGATTGATCCCTCAACCATTTCTATCAATCTAAATACTAACCCTTTATATACATCAATGGTAGATCTACGGACGTTCGATACATACTCGATTAGAAAAATGAATAAATAAGGGATGAAACATAAATTAGCATACTTTTATATCATCAAAATGTATTAGACTTTGTACATTTTGAAATTGGTCATTATTTATTATAATTGATGATCAGCCATTTTGTATTAAGAATATTAATGAAACATTTATACAGTTATTTTTGTTATAATTTAAGCTTCAATTTGATGTATTATAAGTGGTATTTGAAAATACTTTTATGTCATCAAATTCAATCAGTATTAAAGGGGTTGATTATAGGATTTATGTTAATTAGTTATTTGATGGCTATTTCAATCATCTAATGGCTTCTTTTTCTAAATCACTATATTTGAAGCACCATCTGCCTCTAATACCGTGGTAGAAATAATTACTGACAATTTTAACGAGGTGAAACTCGTTCCATAAGGAGTGACATTTTCCATGGGATTACTAGTGATGCACATTTCTATAATCCACGCAGCTGCCCATCGTTGACATCTGCCGTTAAATTCCAGTTAGTGTGAAAAATGGTGTCTCCAATTTATCCATTTATTTTTCCACAAATTGTAGTATAAATTGATCGCGAATATTTGATGACACAGAAAGTCCATGATATTGCTAATTATCCCATGATCTCTCCATGGTCCGCGCGCGAGGGTTAAAACTGATAAAAAAGATTTGGTTATTCAGAAAAGTATTCTATTCTTTTATACATTTTTCTATATTTATTTGTGTTAATTATAGATGTAGTTAGTAATCTATTTTCAAAGCAGGGTCAGAATTGACCCCAATCCGTTCATCCAGTGGTGCAACCTTTCCACGTCGGTTAACGACATTAATCTTTCTCTTTTTTCTTCAGCTTCTTTTCTTTCATTTTTTTTCTCTCTTCCCTCCTCTCTCACTTAATTCAACATTGCAGAGACTTCATTTGCATTAGAATGCTACCAGTTAGTTTCATCCGGTTTCCGGAAAGGCCGACCTTGGGAGGAAAACAAAATGCCGGACTTTCTTCGGTTAAACTAGTAGGATTATTGTACGAAACTTTAATTCTTCTTGAAACACTTCTTTTTTTTTTAAACGAAGGATTTCAAAGCATAGACAGTCTAAGGTAATTTGATGACATAAAAGTATTAAAAATAACATTTAAAGTTCGAACTTTGATGAAAATAATTCCCTAAACCCTTCGTTATGATTTCTAATATAAAATTGCTAATTGCTAAATTATCCTAACATTTAGAATTCCTATTTTGGAATAAAAAAATTCATCATTTGGAGTCCAATTACAAAAATGGCCCTTTAAATCAGAACTACATATGTATCATTTGGGTAGAATACACTTTTGATGACAACACTCGACATACGTGTACATGAAAACGTTTTGTGCGAACCCCATTATCACAGCTTTAGTGCTAAGCCCTTTTAAACCCTAGTGGCACATAATAATAGCCCACAGAACAGGTACCACCATATGGTCTATCCCTCGCTCCCTATTGTCAACACCTAGGCTGATCGTATTGTCGACGAACATGTGTACTCGAAGCTCAACAAGCGGAAAATTCGTCTATATCGAGACGGCACGATGTCCATTTTTCTATCAAAGTCATCCTCGATGCATAAATCAAACAACCATTAAGAATTTTCGAGTATCATTGTTTACTTTGAATTGATCTGGGTTACAATTTTCCCCACCACTAAATATCGACGAAATAGAATAGAATAGAATAGATACTTACCAACGGTGGAAGTCGCCCCGACGCTGCTCCTTCCGGGCGTTGCGGCGGGCGTTGGCGGGCTGGCTTCAAGTCCCTGATGTACCCCGTACAGGCTAAAATCTTGCTCGTTCGAGCTGGTGCTGCTACACTTTCTCTTCTCTTGATTATGATTCAGATGAAAGCTTTCGTTCTCGACGAGGCCGACGCCGAGCAATCCAAGGTTCGGCCTTAACTCGTCCATCAGCTTGTTCTGACCGCAGTTGGCGGCAGCCGCCGCGGAAAAGTTCAACTGACGGCTGAAGATCGCCGGGAATATGTTGAACTGTTGATGATCGAGGCTCAAGGCGGTGGTCGGCAGAGACGAACCGCCGCCACCACCTCCGCCGACGGAGGTGCCACCGACGGAACCGACGCCGCCTGAACCGGGACCCCCGGTACCTCCGGACAGGTCGTTAGCCAGGGTGATGCCGGGGTGACCTTGTCGAGGTCTTTCGAGACGATTAACAACGTTCTTCGTCGACCTACTAGAACATCCTACGTTCTCCCCCTTCTCGAGGAAGCGGAACAACTTCTTTCTAATTATGCAGTTTTATCCCCCGATCGGTTATTCTTTCAAAAATATACTTCAATCGGTGGTTAGGTTTCTTGATAGTGGAGGATCGTTTAAGTAAATGTTAATCAGAATTTTTCATTAATTATTCAATTCCTGAAGAATGTAATTAGTACTGGCAGGTTTGTGGTTTATTATTTTATATTCACAAGGTTAATCTTCTTCGTGGAACCAAGATGGTGATGAGTACGACTGGTTTCTCTTATTTTTAATTAAGAATTTTCGTTAATTATTCAATTCCAGAAGAAAGTAATTAGTATTGGCAGGTTTGAGGTTGATTGTTTTATATTTACAGGGTTCTTTAATTGTCCTGTTTCTGAACGAACCACTAAGATATATAACTTCTTCTTCTTCTTCCAAGTAGGATTATAAATTAATCTGTCTTGTTGCTTCTGTATCAATAATCACCCCTCTGATGAAATTTGCATACCAATTTAATTTGAGATTTATTTTTAATATTCACAGTATTTCTAAATAGTCCTTCTTGTAAAGAATCCACAAGATCAGTTGGTTCCTTTTCTTCTTAATCAAAGTTTTCTTCGTGAAGCGATAATTATTCACTTTGAACTTCTTTAATATCCCGCTGATGTCATTTACAAATCAATGATTTTCTTCATAAAATCAGACCGATGTTACAGTAATGATAGATTTGGTGATTCAAAGGTACCTTTCTTCGACTATCCGGAATATTAGAACCTGAGGAACAGTTCTTCCAGTCACCACATTTAGGTTCACTTCAACACAATACCGACGACACTGTCCGAGAACTAATCCAGATGATCTTCCTTCAGTCTCCTCTTCGATCTTTCAAAATCGAACCCTCTTATCCTCGGTTCTCCAAATTTCTTTTAACTTCCCATTCACAATCAAAGTCTTTCTTCCTCGGTGTCTTTTCCAATCAACGGATTAACGAAATACTCTTCTAGGTAAAACGACGAAATATCTGAGAAAGAAAGATGAAAGTAAAAAAGTAACGTTCTATTCTTCCTACGGAAGATGATCGAAGATAACGGTCACGTGGAGGTTGCTGAACGATCGACGATGATTCAAGTAGGAGAAGCCGAAGAGGAACACGGTTAATCGTAAGCTGGCCTCGATTCGAAATTCAAATGTTATTATCTGGTGGATGGCATTAGGTGGAGTCGGATGGCTGGTAGAAGGAGAAGGATGGAGGGGGGTCTCGGGAAGGGTGTACAAAGGTGGTGTGCGCCCTTGAAAATTGAAATATCGAAATAATTGTTTAGAGAAATGGCGCGTGACCGGTGTGGCACGTTAACTGAGCCCCGAGCCCAGTTGTATTTACGAGATTCACGGGGACGGATAAACGTCCGCGATGACTATTTTCGCGCCCTTCCTTCGGGTACACGTTACGTTGATGAAAAAGACCCGAAACGATAGGAGAGTCGGCCGTGTTAGAGGGGCGACCGCTCGCCGTGAGTTCTTGTGGGATTCTGTCCGCGAAATGCAGTTATCCTCGCTGCCGAGGGGGGAGCAGAGAACGTTTAGAGGGGTTGCTACCCCCGTACGAGTGGCAGAGGAGAGAGAGGTTGTTGCCTAGAACCGAACGCGTACCCTTTTCAAATCCCCCCTCCCCCACCATTTGTGATAAGCAACGAGAAAGCACGAGGCACTCTCGTTGCCTCGTCCTATTGGACGGTGCGAGTGATGCGTTACCCGGGCGACCGCCAATCGCGCCTTCCCTCCGTGATACTACCCTCTGCCCCCCACTCTCGCTACCAAGATGGCGGATCTACCAATAAAAATTCCTCGGGAAAATAGCCTGCGAGCGATTTTCTTTTCCACCTAGCCCGTCGTCTACCTTTTCCAACTCACTCGCACATACGAATGGCCCGATGTGTGCCATTCCCACTAACACCAGACAAACCTAGGGACGGTACCTTCTATCAAACTCGCACACCTTCCACCAACTCTCTTCTCCGTCTTCCTTTCTATCGTCTTCTCTCGTGTCATCTCTCTACTCGACACCCTCTTTACCAGCCCTTATCTTTTTCTTCTACTTCTTCTCACTCGACTTGCCTTACTTTTTATCCGACCATCGTAGATAGCTTTTTTAATTCGCTTTCGTCTTCTTTAAACGCGTTTTTTTTTGTTTTGTATCTCGTTGAAAGGTTCGTTCGAATCGAAATTTTAGATCTAATTCTAATTTCTAATGGAAGATATTGTGTTTAATCTAAGGTGGAATCTTTTGATTCGTCTGTTTCACGTTTTCTTCGACTGAAGAAAAAGAAATGAAAGAAGCAAGGGTGGGTGGGGTTCGAAGAAGCAACCAAAGAGTACGAGGAGGAGCTTCTATAAAGGAGAAACGTAAAGTTTCGAAAGCTTCAGCGTCTTCGAAGTTCTTAAAAGTTTCGTGAAAAAAAGGAAGAAACTTGGTCATCACTTTCGCTGTAACGGGAAAAATCAGTTCGTTAGTTATGTTATTCGTATTTAGGTCATAAATTAAAATCATTCCTAGTTTCAAAAATGGCCCCTTGAAATCAATTCGGAAGCAACAAGCTTAACCCCTCGGATGGCGGACCATGGAGAGAGTCACGATTTTATATCATTTAACTTTATGTTAATATCCTTGTATATATTTTGTAACTCACCATTGACCCATACTTCGCTGTTCAAGCTATTAAAAACAATTAAAATCATTAATCGAATCGATTTAATTAGAAGTTAATGAAATTGAATGGAAAATATTATCGACGCATGGATGGAAAAAACGATTTCGAAATAGAATAATGGTTCGCAGAGCTGTTCGATAGAGCATCTGTTACACACACGTATCCGTGTATCGCATCAGCGTAACGTAATGCAGTTACATAGTTATGTCGAATATTTTAGCAGAAACTCACTCTCCATGGCTTTTGTTTTACCGCCTACAATTTCGCTTTTCTGCCGACGAAAATTTTCAGGAAAACGCGATCCAGCCAGGGACACAATAGTTATCGAACGTTGAAACTTTGATAAACGTGCACCTTTTGTTAAATCCCGTAGTAGAAGGAGAGCAATTTCGAGTCTCTTTGAAAAAAAAAAAAAAAAAAGAAAAAAAGGACATGAACTCACCCTGTGCACGCGTGTCACCGTTTTCGAAGGCTGTAATTTTCGTTGACGATTGTGAAGAAACTTACATTCAAGTGGGCAGAATCATCCCCATTGAGGTTTCTCTTATTCTATTCATTATTATTCATCTGGTAGCTATTCTTCAGGGTGATGTTCCCATGACTCAACTTTGCAATTTTTATATTGCTATCTTTTGGAATTTTTAATTAGAATCATTAACCGTTTACTGCGTTGTTGCATTATGCTGAAATTATAAGTCATGGTGTTTGCAATGTTACATGTATCTTTTTAAACAAATTGCTAGAATAATAATAATTTTACATGTATAGGTTTCTAAAGTGTAGTCGTTTCCATTCAATACGAATTCCACATGGATCTCCATGTAACGTCAAACCACTGTTTGTGACTATACAGTTTGAACGATCTAATTTATAAAGGGTAGATCACTTAGATTAGATCAGATCTTAGAGATTGGAAAGGCAACTTTATGGTTTCCATGGACCATATGCAGCTCATGCTTTATAAGGGTGCTCGACTACCCCCCATAGTAAGATACAAAGGTAAAGATAAACTTAGTTATTTTTTCATGATACTCTTTTCTTTTTTCAAAGGAAATTTAATATTCAATTTTACATCCAGCTTGTAGTAAAAAATGTTTCGTACATTGAATTAACATTTTTTTGCCGAAACGTTTCGACTGCGTTGGTATAAAAAAGGAGGTAGAATATTGAGAATGGTAATTACATATCTCTGGTAAAATGGTACGTGTGGCATTTTGACAGTCAAGGGAACGTTTAAATTGAACAAAAGCGTCTATTATCGAAAAGTCAGAGAGTCAAGCGACACGTGCTTGCTAATTTGTTCACCCGCACGTGTCACCGATAAAACCGCGTCAAAATATTGCTCGGTATTTGAATAGGGCAATTTATGAAAATAAAGCTCCAAACACGCCTATTTTTCTCCCACTTGAAAATTATAGTAATTGTTAATCTTTAACCATCGTTTCGATTTTCATTCGTTACCGAAATTTCATCCCCCTAACGAAGTGAAACTTGGAAATTCTTTATCTAATTTCTGGTAAATTTTCAAAAACATCTGACCGCGTGTTTTCCGTTTAATTTTTCCAATGTAAATCGACGCGAAGGCTCGATGGAACGGGTTTCAGCTCGGTTGTCTTTGACGTGCATTCGTCTCAACGGAGAGGATAAATACGATCTGAGAAGAGGCAGTAGGTACAGATCAAAGCCAGTGAATTTTCGATGCACCCAATCGAGGGTGCAGGGGTATCCTGAAAAGGGGGTTCACACCATATCGACAGGGCGTGGTCGAAATCTGTCACACTAGCCACCGACAAACCTGATGCCTTGTCACGGGCTGGCATAGAATTTCTTTCCATTAGGTCAACTAAAAAGTTGATGACATTTTTCAAAGAGCCTCGAATACAGGGCGATGGTCGTATAAATATACGAGGAAGTTAAAATGAAAAATTAATATATTATCCAAATTAAATTCATAGAATTATCAATGCCATTTCATATTTTTCCATTGCATTATTTTAATTAATCAAATATCAGACACCAGTGACCCCGAAAGATTAATTTTCTTTTTCATTCATTATTTCTCTCTGATATATTTTCCCAAAGAAATAAAAAAGAATTTTCAATTTAATGGAAAATTGAACGGCAGCTAAGCGTACTAATAAAAGTAAAAATAAAAATCCTTGGAGAACGTCGAAAAGCATCCTCGAACCGTGCAAAGAAACGAGGTGTACAAACGATCCGGAAAGTAACTCAGCATCGATCCCTCGATCCTCCAACAGTTCCTCTTTCCACATTTTCCTTCACTTCGACCGTTCATTGTCATCGTCATTCTTTCTCCGGCTTCGGTTTTCCTTTCCCTTCTCTTTTTTCCACCCAGCTACTCTCGGGGTGTACTTTTTTCCTTGCTCGCGTGTTTTGCCAAGAGCCCTCATGGGCGGAAGCGTCACGTACAGCTCTGAAACAAAAACATAGCGACGTCAAATGCGATTACGAGAGCTGCGAGAGCAGCTCCAGAACGCGGATGCTGTGCTAGGTAGGTTAGGTGGAGAACGCGGCGTGGGCGGACGGTGGAGGGCGGCTAGAAAGGGCGGACGAGGGGCGATGAAGGAAACAGGAAAGAGAGAGGGAGAGAAATATCGAGGAAAAAGAGAGTTCGCTCAGGGATGAATCTATACAGGGTGTGGTAATAACTTGGATTGTTTAAAAAATATATATATATATATATCAAAATAATAAAAATATGATTGCACCCTTGGAACCTTTTAAATGATAGGCAACTTTGAAAATATTTTCTCTCTGTCATTTCCATTTTAAAGATCTGAAAAAGGAGACCGAAATTCACATATCTTCAGCGATATATCATTGAAAATAGAATTTGTTTTCACTTCCATCGAGTTACCGTGCAGAAAGTGGAGGAGGGTGAAAGATTCGCGGTAGGGTGAGGAGAAGAGAGTAACAGGAGGGGTAGGGTACCGAATGTACGGTATCCAGGTCTGGCTTGGCTGGATAGCAAAGGGTAGCTCGATAGGGACGAGGCAGGAGGGAAAGTGGACGCTTATCAGGGGTGGAGAATTGTCGCCGAGGCGGGGGCGGGTGGTCGGTTGGGGTTCGGGGGTTGATTCTACGAGGGCTTCGAGCGATGGCTCGGCCCGAATGTGAGCTTCTGTGGATCTGTGCGTGCGTGGGTGCGTACATGCGTGCATGGACGAAAAATCGATGGGTACGTTCGACATGGCAAACCATCGACAGATACCATTCTGCCATAAATGGGAATAGTCATCGAAGATAAAGAAACGTTCGATACTCGTTATTGTTTCATGTAATATTATTTACAACATTTTTCATTATTCCATAAATTTTTCTTTTCAGTTTAATTTTTACAAAATCGTGAGGTAAATTAATTTAAAAAATTTTTTTACTAATTTAAATATATTATCAATTTTATTTTATACTTTGGTAAAGATACAAAATTTTGTCGAGGGGGATGTTTTCACCCCTAAGACGGATTCATGAATAGACTGAAATGTTAAAATTTATATAAAAATTATGAAGATTGATATTTATACAAATACTACCTTGATGTTAAGAGATTCGATAAGAAAGTTATTTTTAAGACGACACCCGTTAGAATTAATGTTTCAACGCGGAGGACGAGGCGATGGTCGCCAAGCCTCCATTAAAAAGTTGTTAAACGCAGCCTGACGGCGCCCCGCGGCAAATTGGAACCCCATCATAAGTCTTCCTTGTATATAATGTACATGGCTGTTAGAGCAAGCCATCTACAAGATAGCGATATCAAAGTAATTAAGTATTCGATGAAGATATTTTGATCGACCTTATGGTTGAAACTGATACCGTACAACAAATAAACAGAAACGTTAAAAAGAAAATGAAAATAATCGTTCGTTTCCATATTTGCATATTTCAAACAATATCTAAAAGCAGATAAATTCAATGTTTCATGTAGAAAAGTTATTAATGAAAATTAAAATTAATTAAATAAAATTAATTATACATTTTACTCAGCTTGGAACTATAAAGAAAGGAAAATTTCTTTTTACGGTTTAACGTCTCGAAAATGCGATAAATTTGTTTGACATTTTCCTTCCACATATATCCCCGACTTCTCTGCTACTGCTTTTTCTTTTTCGAGAAAAAAGCTCTCGAACAAGTTCAACGTTTTCTACGTAACGCTGACTGGAAACTCTTGGCCAAAGCAACGAGAGGTTCAAAATAAGAGAAAAGCGTAGCGTAAAAAGCATCGAAGGGGTAGGGGGTTGAAGCGAGAGGGAGGTTGGTTTAAAAGTACGTGAAATAGGAAAGGTGCACGAAGGACATACAGGTACTGCTGTAAAATATAAAACTGAGATGGTAGGAGATCGGTTTACTGATATTTTATTAGAAACATAAATATAAAAATTAATTGGATAAATTATCTTAAAAATTTGTACTATTTTTCGTACAAAAAATTACATTAAATATATACAAAATTATTGCAAAATAGTTTTACAGTAGACGTTCGATAATTTCCCGTTTATAGAAAGACCAGACTGTAGAACCCTGAAAGCAGGGAATTATCGAAGGGGTACCGTATTAATGTTATTTATGATCAAAATTGAAGACACAGGATTTTATAAAACCTCCCCCTATATTTTTCTCACTTCTTCATTGACTTGATTCACGTTCCTCCTTCCAGCTTGTTGCATCGAGGTACGCGGAAAATGATTTTAAAAATATTTTCTTAACCAGGTTAGCCTGAAAGCTAAGCCCATCCACCTTGTGCGTACCTAAAAGGAGGGACGCGTGCGAGTGAAAAGAATTGGTAATGCCGCATCGTGGTTTTTCGACTTGCCGCGGTTTTTACACCCTTCTCTCGCATTCTTTTTCTTTTTTTTTCTTCACCCTCGTTGACACTAATCTTTCGTTGTCCATAGACAACGAAAAACCGCCGGGTCTTGAGAGACGACCGCCAATCTTCCGGAAAATTTCACCCTTTAAGTTTATAATCACTTTGATCGAGGGACCAATATGGGGGTTGGGACACAGTGCGCTAATATTTATAGGTAAAACATTGTGAATTTAAAGCGATGGGATTTAAAAATATTAACTGGATTTTCTTTGGGATAAACGACGAGACAATTTATATCTTAAGGGGTTAATTCGTAGATGTTAGCCAAAGATGATTATTTAATTAGGGGATGAAAAGAGTGTATTTCGATAATTATTCGACAGTCTATTTGCGTGCGGCTGCAGCGTAGGATGATACGTGAAATAGAGGGTAGTTGCAGAGTGATAGTGGGGGTGGATTTCGAGAGTCGCGTTCAACCATCCGGAAGCTATGAATATATTATTTGACGGGCAGTTTCGGTAGTCTCCGATCGGATGGAGCATCGATCATGGCTGGCGCATCCCTTTGGGCCATTTTCATGCGTCAGAATGCGACATGCCTCAATCGACCAGCTGCCACGAAATAAAAAAAAAAATATATATCTACATATATTCTTAATTAATAAAACAGTTTGATGAAATATATGCGAGTTACGTATATATCTGACAATGAGTTGCATACAGTGATCTATGCCCCCACCCCAGTTTTATATTTCTGCTTACACTTTGATTCATAATTTAAACTGCTTCGAAGTTTGCTTAAAATGTAGGTAATTTGATGAGGCTATCAGTGATAAAAGGTGAAGATAAAGGGTAATTACCAGGAAGGGTAATACCACCCCTTCTGGTACCTTATAAATTGAACTCTTTCTTGATCCTGTTTTGCAACCCCCAAGAAAAACAGTCTGATATACGAAGAAAGAATTTGTTTTTTGTTATACGAACAAAACCGAATGGTACATGGTTCGTCCAGATATCACGATAGGAGGTCCTGGTTCGTTGTAATCGGGTAGAAAACTCAATCGCGATCTGACTTTCGCATCAGTAGTTTCACTCATTGTTATTGATTCGATTTTGAATAGGTGCTTGCGGATAAAGAGAAAAGATTTGACAATTGATTCGCTTTTTTTTTATATCCACCCCTATTCAAGATCCTGACAAGCTGCTAATTTGATTTTCCAAAGATGCATTTTTGTGAAAATTTCAGATTTTGTGTATACAATCAATTGTACTAATTCTAATTCAAATTGTACTAATTTTATATTATTAATATAACAGTGATCGATTTAATTTACAACATGTTCTTAAATTACACCTGTTACCTTAGGTTCAACTGTGTTTGAATAAAAAATTTGAAATAATTTCAAAGAATTTTGTTGTCCCAGTGCAGTTTGCACGTTTAAAGTGACCGTATCTCGATGCAAAGGCTAGACTACTGTTCCCTGTAAATTAATCGAAGGGCTCACTTCGGGTTGACCCTGCTTTTCTGGGCCACGTGCCCATGGGTATCGGTATTTTGGGATACGTTAATACCTCACTATCTAGACGGATAGAGAGAGAACAGAGCGAAACATCCACTCCTGTACATTGTTTGCGGCTTGGAATCAATAAAAGCATAGCTTTAGGCGACGGTGGTCACCATGGCAACTAGAGACCCATCCGTGTACCCTGTTTCTCTCTCTTCCTCGCCTCCCTCTTCACCCTCTTCGTTCTTCTCGCGGTTTCTCTCTTTCAATTTCTCTCCTACACGCGTGTCTATTCTCTTTTCCCAACTCAAACGACACTCTTCTCCTTTATTTTCATACCTTTGTCACCTTTGTCCCTATTTCTGGTTTTCATCTTTGTCTTATGGTAGTTGCACGCATCTTTTCTATGCCAATGGATTCTTTTCACTTCTCTTCCTCTCTCTTTTTATTTTCTTGCCTCCGTTTCATGCATTATTTGTCGGTGTAAAGTGTTTATAATTTTCATATTTTACCCCGACATTAATATGCTTGATAATTAGTGTATTGATATGTCTGACTATAGGTGCACATATTCACTTTGAGTGCCACAGTGAAAATATACAGGTTTAGTCAGACATATACTGAAGAATACTAGTAATTGAACACTAGATTGAAAAATTCAATTATAATATATTTGATAATTTATATTATGGTGTGATCTACTAGATATGGCTGTTTCTACTTAAACTGCCACAGTAGTAATATCAGTGTATAGTCAGGCATAGAATATAATTAACCTGTAGACTGCTATGGAGCTCACAGGTGACCAACTCATTAAGTACAATTGAATTATGTAATTAAAGAGTTTTATCTACCATTACTATTATATTTTAATAGTAATTCAAGATAATTAATTAAAAATTTAACAATTTATTTTATTTTGTTGTGTAATTATTCTTGAGAACCTGTTGCAGTCAAAATTTACCAAATTTAATTTTTAAATCCTAATAAAATTCAGTACAATCGTTGATCGTCGATCCCGCATGAAATTCAAAAATAAAATAGCCCGCTCCGAGGAGAAATCAGCATCGAGCAACTCTTCGAATACGCAAACTCTGTGAAGAAAGTCGATAAATGTCACGCGCTTTCCTCGTTGTAGAATTCCCAGTCGCAAACACTTGTCAAAAAATATTGACACACAAAAATCAAGTAGGAATTTGAGGATCGATAATTAATCAATTCTTCTTTTCGACTTCAGGTAAAGAACATATTTTATTCATTGATTTCTTTATACATTTTAAATTGACACGAATTCAGGGTGGAATGGCAATCTCCGGCTTCGTTTCCATGTTAGGTTAGACTAACCTAACCTCATATAAAGGTAGTTTTGATAGTTGCAACACGTTGAAGCTCAGAGGCGGGATATTTGAAATTACATTTACAAAATCATTCTATGATACTGTTTTACTTTACTTAATTTTATTATATTTAATACTCTATATTATTATCGATTACTCTATTGTTGGTTCTGTTTTGCTCTTCGCTGTACTTAACACTACAAAAAAAAAATCTGAAGCGGTCACAGGTCCCTTGTAAGTCGACACAGGTACATATGGGCTCTCTTGTTGAATGGACCAAATGATATAAATTATTTATAGATTTCGACACCAGACCGAGGAGGAAAAATCGAGGGTGTTCCGTTCGAACATGGGGTGCGCGTCCCCCCGTGGGGGTCCACTTGCATCGAAAGCCCCTTGAGGCCCCCTACACAACATATGTATTCTCGCTCAACCACCGTAAGCCTATATAAAATTGATTCCTAAGTACCCTGGATTTCTGTCAATCTCGCGCGTCTTTTAACACTATTCTCACTTATCTTTCGTTTGTTCTCTTCATATATTCGAGTGTCAAATTTACCAGGCAAACATGACTGAGAAAAACGATACCCCTTCTGTTTGTTCGTTTTCTTTTTTCATAAAATGATTCTCTACTGACTTCATTCAAAGACTGTATATTATATTTATTTTTTAATTTATCTTTAAATTAAAATATACGCAATTTTATATTTTTCTTAGAGAATTAGAGAATCTCTGAGTCTTCGGTAATTTTACGAACGACTGTAGAAGTTTCTGACGAATGATGTGTAACAAATTTGAAGACGGGCCCAGTGCCGTGCACCGTGCACCCCCCGGGGTCCAATCTAAATCAATCGGCTTGTGGGTAATCGCATAATAATTACTAGGACCCCCTCTACCGCCCATCTGTCACTAGCTAAGGGCTGTTCAACCCTTAGAAGTGGCAGTAGGCTGTGCCACGGCGACACACACGATGAATATGTCCCAGCAGGTCCTATTGTCATTGAGCATGGCAAGAAGTATCGTGCGGTGTCATTCACGCATCTTTTTTAATTTATGTGCCCCACTTGTCTATGCAAAAATACATGATACTACAAATATTCAAATTAATTCAATTCTCCCTTCCCTTATTTTTATCAAACACATTTGAAAATTGTTTTTATCTCTCAAAATTGAAATTTTTGATCTCTTACATTGTTTCAGACGAACAAATGCTAACCACACTTTTCATCGGTCTATGTATTGGCTCTTCTAATGGTTTTCGTGGACCACATCATCCGCGAAGCGACATTTCCCATCACCATTATTCTCCCCAGAAAAACATTAAAATAACGCAGGATGCAAATTTACTTCAAGATGCTACGTTAGTTCACACTTAACTCATTCCTTCGATATGAATTTTATTTAAGTATGTGTTCATTGTTTTATCATACACTGTTTCTTTTTATTTCACTTACCTAAATATCACTGCTACCCCTATCAAAATAATTTTCTTCTTTTTTTTTTCTAATTCTTTTTTTTAATTTTTATTTACCTGTTACAATTATTCTATATTGATACATATTCATTTTAATGTCATTTAATGAAAATGAAAGCTATAAGTATGTAATTTTAGCCATTTAAAAGAAGACATGGGATCCATGGCAGATCAATTGGATTTTTCAAACATGACTGAACAGGAAATAGAATTCCACTATTTTAAGTATGTTTTTAGTCAGTTTTTAAATAATTGTAGAAAATTAATTACTGTATTAATCATAGAGTGCACGATGTCGATAATAATGCCAAGTTGGATGGCTTAGAAATCCTCCATGCAATCCAACATACATTTCACGAAAATAAAGTGACCAATAATAAAGGTGAAGGCTTCAGCGAGGAGACGAAAAGCGCGGATTGCGAAGATGATTTGCCTTGGATAGTAGGTACGTGAATAATTATTTATCTGAACGATCAAATAAATTTTTCATCTATTTAATTTTATAATTTTCATTTCCATCTATTGTTATCAAGAACTGATAGACAAAGTACTGAAGGAGGATGATGTAGATAATGATGGGTACCTTGGATACGTTGAATATGTACTTGGAAGACAAAGAGACCATATTTCTCAGGCAAAAAGAAATGACAAAGTGAAAATTGAAAACTGAAAAGTTTTTAATAAATGGTATATATTGGTAAGGGACATGCCTAAAACACATTCAAAGAAATATTTTGTAATTTTCTTTATTCAACTTATTTCTAACTGTTCTAAAATATACGAACAATATAAATTTTAATACAGTTTTAATCGGTAAGATAAAACGATTTTATTTTTTATCTACCTATAGCGCAAAATATCTATTGTATGTTTGTATATAAATCAAATAATACTGTGTACATAATTTCATACATTTTCAATTGACAGAGTGACTCGTAAATTAATTATGAATTTCAAATTCATATTTGAATAATGACCTAAATATATTTTCACCACTCAAACTAATACAAACTTTGTACACCTAAAATGCGCTTCATATATATATATATATTAATAAAGGAAATTTACTAATGTGTTGGGATTAATTTATCTTATAATATCTGGAAATTTTAATCACAAAATTAAGATACTAATACCATGTTACAAATATTTATTTAAACGGCATATCAGTCGGTATTCCTTGTATACAAATATCAAAATTAAAATACTAAACATTTTAAAAAATCTTCAAATTACTGTATTTATTTTGTCACTGAATTCTTTTACAAATTAGGTAAAATCATGTATTTACTCCAAAACGCATAATGGATTCTCTGTTACGACAAGACATTTCTCCCAGAGGTCTTTGGCTATTTGTACCTGTCAAAAAGAAATAATCATATATTCTTGTAAATGACTTGACTATATTTCTCAACTTACCTTATTATGTTCACCCTCAACTGGCAAATCTTCGACTCGTATAAACTCAGGATATTGCAATATTATTTCTTGTACAGCAGGTACGAATTCTTTGCTAACTTCTAAAAATTGTGGTTCGTACTCATGATACTCCTTTGAATTTTCGGTGGAATAGTATATTCTAAATATTTCATCTTCTTTAATCAATCTAAAAACAATATATAATATATATTTTTCAGTTCAGTATTAATTTCAGTCTTCGTTAAATCATACCTTATACAATGAGATCTCATTAATCGTATCCTAGTATCGGGTTCTATCTCTACTCTATTTTTGACTGCTCCATTTGCAGTCATCTGCTCACCATCTTCAACAACCGAACATTCTCGTTCAATTTCAAAAAGAGCGGGTGGTAGAAAATCGTATACATGACCCTTAGCCATCATATCTGCAGCTTTGTCCATGTCCATATGATCTATCAACTTGTTAAATAAATTTTTTATTTTCGCTTTGAATTCTTCTTTGCTATTGCTCTGAGTCCCAGAATGCACGTAGCCAGTGTGTCTTAAATAATCAAGAGGCAATCCTTTTCGAAATTCACTGTCGGTTCTTATGGCGGTGTTTAACGCTTCAGGAAGCAGTTTCTCTAAATAATCGCCCCAACTATTTTTTTGATACACACTCAACGTGATATGGAGACTGTGCGTGTCGTCCAAGGTTTCACCTTGATGAATGGTCCCTCGTGGAAAGTATAACAAATCTCCTTCGTTTACAATTGTATCTAATATCGGTTCACCAATTTCAGTTTGCGAGAAGTTCTCTGAGGAATACCTCGCTAAATATTCGCTTTCGTTTCGCGGTTTGTACAGTCTCCATCTTTTCTTTCCTTCAACTTGTAATATAAAAGCTTCGATGTCGTCGTAATGGGGTGCAAATCCTTGGCTATTAGGCGGTGTTAAGTAAGAATTAGCACCGACGAAACAACCAAAAAATTCTTGAAGGATAGCTAAAAATATAAAATATTACAGTCACGCTATTATATACTACAGTCAACGACAATTACATACTTATTTTTAAAACAGTGAGTACCATTTAATTTATATAAGTCTGGTATGTACGTTTGTGGATTCAACATTCTAACAGAACATCCATTCATATAATAATCCCAAACAACACTAGGAACCGCACGACCAACAGGATTATGTGTTTCTCTTACACCGTTTTCGTACGAGGTGATGTCAATATTTTTGGTGAACATTATATAAGATTCTCTTAATATTTTATCTAACATTGGAGTGGACATGAGTGATTTGTAGTAATTTGGAAACTTCCGCTTAATGTGAACTGGTGTTTTTTCCCAATTGTTTCTGAAATTAGAATTATAGATTATTTATTAAAATAAAAAAGTTAAAGGTATGTTTAGAACTTACTCAAAGAAATCTTCTACTTTCATTGGGTGTATTAACCACCCAAATATAACATGGCTAGTTATCAATGGATTCTGATGATCTTCTTCAGATACTTTATTTTTAGTGTAAGCTTTTTGTTCATCATCCTTTTTCAATTTTCTGCTTTTATTTTGCTTCTGTGCAATTTGTTTCATTTTTGCAACACCTGTATTCATGGTTAAAAGGGAACCTTTTCCTTTCTTCTTTGATTCCTTTTCTTTTAGACTAGTGGCTACATTGTTATTTTTCTTATTGTGTATTACTTTATGAACTACTTTATTTTTCTTAGAAGTGACAGAGCGATTAGGTTTTTTAGATACAACATTCTTTTTCTTTGTGATTTGAATCTTATTTGTAGGAACTTTATTTGCGCGTTGAACAGTTCTTTGTGCAGCTGTTTGCTTTGTCTTCTCCTGTACTTCAAGTTTAATATTATCCTTTGGAATGATCTTTTTCCCAGGAGAAGCATGTCTTTTTTTTAATTTCTTTGATTTTGAAGATAGTTCTACATTCTTACGTTTCATAGCATACATTGCGAATGCTGATATTGGCTCACGTTGTTTAAGCATCTGTAAAAAGAGGGTTGTAAGATAATGTTCATAAATAATAAGTCATAAATTTTAAATATACATATAACAAAATCGGCAAATTTTGAGGTTATATTTCAATATTATATCGTAATAAAATATTTCTTTATGATTACTGTGAACTATATGCAGTGGTACACAGTTTATAATATATTTCAATTAAACAAGGTATGTATTTAACACTTCACTGTTATAAATCTTCGAATTTGTCATTCACAACACGTGTATTCAATTGCACGTCATATTGAAAATAATAAACACAGGACTGTGATTATACATTCAATAAGATTGGACATGCCTTTGTATTCGAGGGGTCTGAAGTGCCCCAAAAACTTCGATTGACTCTTATCTTACTATAAAAAACGTAAAACACTTCTCAATGGAACAGTTTAAAATTTAGATTCTAAACACACGTTGATGGTAACAGCAGATTGCTTTGATACCAAACGATTACACCCCATCATTTAATGTCTCAAATGGTCTCGAACTTAGGGTTGCCATATTTGTTGAAATTGTAGTCATTGCTATAAGTTAGCCGCTCCGCGCTGAAGCTGAAGCGCGTCAGTCTGTCTTCGGACGTCAAAGAAGTAGGGTGTAGAGGTAAAGATAGGGCCCTTCTCTCAATACTAGATATGACGGCTTCACCACCAAAAGCGGGCCCCTGGCGTCCGGAGTGGGGGCTCCAAGCGCCTTTACACGCGGCTCAAGTAAAGGCCGGCACAGGGTGCGACCCCCGGTGTCGGCCACGTGCTAGGCACCCTATATGGGTACCAATATGGCAGGCATGGAGGGCTCCGGAGTACATAAGGTCCCAGAGTCCTCCTTAGCGCCAGTGTCGGTCGCCGTGGGGTTTTAGTCAGTAGGAATCTGACACTCCCCCGCCGCCCTCCCCCAGGGGTCGGTGGGGGGTCTTATGCAAGATTTCCCCACGTTAAAAAAAAAAAAAAAAAAATTTACAGACACTGATGCCAACAAAGGTAGCTGGCTGTTATTAACCGATCGACGTAGAGCGAAGTGGAACATCATCAGTCTTACAGCGACCGTCGTGGGGTGCAGATCTACCTGTTAAAGATACATATACCCTTACTTTATTTTCTGCGATCATGTAATTTGCTGTTTTTATCTTCTTAGCTTATTGAATAAACTCATGAGGAGGATGAACATGTTGATTTTATTACTCCCGTGTGCATCCTTTGCATCCCTTGCATCCCTTGCATCCCTTGCACCCCTTGCACCCCTTGCATCCCTTGCAACCCTTGGATATCCCTTGCATCCTTTGTATATCCTTTGTATATCCTTTGCATATCCTTTGCATATCCTTTACATATCCTTTGATTATCCTTTGCATCCTTTGCATCCTTTGCATATCCTTTGCATATCCTTTGTATATCCTTTGCATATCCTTCGCATCATTCTTTGATCTAAATTTTTTTCGAAAAAATAGCGCCCTCTAGCGGCAAAAATGCGAACTAAATTTTCGACCTCGAATCAGCGCCATCTGGGGGTAGAAAAAGGAACTAAATCATTCCACGATTTTGGCCCTCTAGCGGCAAAAATGCGAACTAAATCTTCGACCTCGGATCAGCGCCATCTGGGGGTAGAAAAAGGAACTAAATCATTCCAAGGTTTTGGCCCTCTAGCGGCAAAAATGCGAACTAAATTTTCGACCTCGAATCAGCGCCATCTGGGGGTAGAAAAGGGAACTAAATCATTCCAAGGTTTTGGCCCTCTAGCGGCAAAAATGCGAACTAAATTTTCGACCTCGAATCAGCGCCATCTGGGGGTAGAAAAGGGAACTAAATCATTCCAAGGTTTTGGCCCTCTAGCGGCAAAAATGCGAACTAAATTTTCGACCTCGGATCAGCGCCCTCTGGTGGTAGAAAAAGGAACTAAATTTTGCACAAAAATTGATTTTTTATAAGGGTTGCAGGGACACAAGGGTTCGCGGAATGTAAAAAACGCAAGGATATAAGGAATGCAGGGATGTAGGGGTTGCATTGTTGTAAGGGATGCGGGGGTATAATTAATGCAGCGATATAAAAAACATAGGAATATAAGGGATGCCAGGATGTAAGGAATGCAGGGATGTAAGGGTTGCATTGTTGTAAGGGATGCGGGGGTATAATTAATGCAGCGATATAAAAAACATAGGAATATAAGGAATGCCAGGATGTAAGGAATACAGAGATGTAAGGGTTGCATTGTTGTAAGGAATGTGGGGGTATAATTAATGCAGTGATATAAAAAACACAGGAATATAAGGGATGCCAGGATGTAAGGAATGCAGGGATGTAAGGAATGCCGGGATGTAAGGGTTGCATTGTTGTAAGGGATGCGGGGGTATAATTAATGCAGCGATATAAAAAATATAGGAATATAAGGGATGCCGGGATGTAAGGAATGCAGTGATATAAGAAGTGCTGGGAGGTAGTCTCTGCGAGGTCCATGAAATGAATGAAAAAAATAAATAGCTGCAAAGGGAAGCCTTGGTCCATAAAGAGTAGGAATAAGATAAACAATAACTGGGAAGGGCGATCTCCGCGAGGCCCATAAAGAGAAATAAAATAATTAATAACTGAAAGGGGTGGACTTGAGTCCATAAGGAGGGATAAAATAATGAATAAAATAATAAGAGTCAAAGGAAGTGTCTAGGAGTGTCTAGGACCCCTAAATCGTAGCCCTTTGAAAACGAAAGCATGTCCAGTCTTTTGCCACTGTAGTCAGTGCTTCAACGCACTTTCTATATAGCGCTAACCGTAACATTCAAACGCAATTAATAATAATAAATATTTATAATTATGGGTGATAAAAGCCGGAAAAATTTTTATAGAAATAAATGGTACCCAAGTAAAAAAATATCCAACAAATCTCGTAGTAAGATTTTTCTATGATATGATTTTAATTTATAAGAATATTTCTATATATATACATATATTTATAATGTCTTACAGAATCTGATGATGGAAACAGACAAAGTAATCAAAAGCTATGTCGATTTTTAGACCCTATTGAGACAAACAATTTATTAAATACATATGACACTTATATCAATTTTGATATTTCTTACTATGGATGGAAGTTATTTTTTTATGATGAAGGTAGGAACATCTTTATGTAATAAAATTGCAATAGAGAATGATTTTCAATTCATAAATGGCTCTGTAACTTCTTTGGACATTATATTTTCATTATATCTATTAAATAATTTATCTTTCAGAATATGAGGAGAATTCTGATACTGTTAAAAAAGTTCAGACAGTAGAACGCTTTATAAATAGACATCAACGATTATCAACTATGCTTTCATTAGAAAATTTAGAAAATGGGATAGTTTTTGTAATTGATATATGTGAATTATACAGTGATCAAGATTTTTTAAATGAGTGGCCTGATTTTAAAAGAAACATATATGAAAATCCTGTACACACATTAAATTGTTTTAAGCTTGCCATGCATCAGGTAATTTTTATAACTAATAATTTTAAGGTATGGATATATCCATTGAATAAATGTCATTTAATTTTATTTTCAGAAAATATTAAATACAATACCTCCGCAAAGTTTAAGTTTTTTAAACATTATAAATACATTGTCTACTGTTAGATTAAATGTATTAAATTATAAACCAGTTATATCCTTGCAAGACTTGAAAGCAAGTTTATATGGTATGTATTTATATGGTATTCTGCAAAGAAAACATTTTAGAAGCTAAATCTTTTTTAACAGGAAAGTTGATATCTGTTAGGGGCTGTGTAATAAGAGTAGGTCATGTGAAACATCTCCCAGAATGGATTGTATTTATGTGTCGCAAATGTAACTTGCAAAAAATGGTTAAACAGCCACTGGGAATTTATACGGTTCCAAAGAAATGTAGTATATGTGGTGTGTCCAAATTTCGTGTAATATTAGATTCCCCATTAATAAGAAGTGTTTCCTTTCAAATTATTAAGATACAAGAACTTTCGAGCGACGAACAGGTCATTATTAATATAAGTGAAACATTTTTACTATCATTGTATTTGAGTAGAAATTAATATAATCTGCTTCTTTCTTCCATACTTAGAACAGTAAGGGTAGCATGCCACGGATATTCGATATTGAATTAAGAGATGATTTAGTGAGTACTTGTATGCCTGGGGATGATATCACTTTAACTGGAATTATAAAGGTAAAGTATATATTAAATGTGCGTACATTTTATAATTAATTTCGTATTTAATGTTACATGTTTAGGGAAACAATACAGCTAAAACACAAAATAAAAGTCAATTTACTTTATACATGGAAGCTATTACCATAATGAATAATAAACAAAAGTTTCAAAATAAAAATATTATGAGCGACGAAATGTCGGTAAAGGATTATTTAGCAATAAAGGTATACAGAACATTTATTACACTTTAATGGACTTTTGATATTATTTAATATTTATGATTTTTATTACTTACGATAGGAAGTATATAATACACCGAATATTTTTTCACTCTTGGTACATTCACTTTCTCCAAACATATATGGTCATGAAATGGTCAAAGCTGGATTAATATTAAGTTTGTTTAGTGGAAATGCAGAACACTTAGAGTTAAGAGAAAACATACATGTATTAATGGTCGGTGATCCTGGTCTTGGAAAATCACAAATGTTACAAGCATGTTCAAGAGTTGCTGCAAAAGGTATATTTCAGTTATTTATCTTAATCTTATTCCTGTTGGATTATATCTTTGTATAATTTGCAATAATAATTTTTGAAGGTGTATATGTATGTGGAAACTCTAGTACATCTTCTGGTCTGACAATAACACTTATAAAAGAAAATAAAAGTAATAACTTTTCATTAGAGCCAGGTGCATTAGTTTTAGCAGATAGGGGTTGCTGCTGTGTTGATGAATTTGATAAAATATCCAAACAACATGCGGTATAATTATTACCTTAAATATTAAATTAAATACTTATGATTAGTACAGTTTTCGTAAAAGCAAAATTTTTCGATTATAGGCTTTATTAGAATCAATGGAACAGCAGAGTGTAAGTGTTGCTAAATCAGGAGTAATCTGTTCTCTCCCTAGTAGAACTTCAGTTCTTGCTGCCGCAAATCCAATTAGTGGTCGATTTCATAGAAATAAAACATTATTGCAAAATTTAAAAATGAGCCCACCTCTGTTGTCACGTTTTGATTTAATATTTTTATTATTAGATCAACCAAATAGAGTGCGTATTTATTAATATTGATTTGAAACGTTAATAATTATTATTCAGAAACATTACGTATTTTATTTGCAATCCAGGATATAGATAATTTCTTGTGTAAGCATGTGATGTCAGTCCACAATGACTTAAATACAATTAAAGGCACGCAAGGTAGTACATTTCAGAATACCAATATGTCAGATACAATGAACGTTTCATTGAGGTAATTAAGAATAATTTTATACAAATAATCATTCTTTATAATACATCATTTTTATTGAAGCATACTCTTTTAGAGACAGACTAGTATTCTTTTTAAACGAAAACACGAGTACTATTCCACATTTAATTCTTCGAAAATATATCGCGTATGCTCGACAATACGTTAAACCAAAATTAACTAAAGAGGCAGCAGCAGTATTGCAAAATTATTATTTAGAACTTCGAAAGAAAAACAATAAATATTGTGGCCTACCAGTGTATAATAGACAACTAGAAGCTATGATAAGATTAACCGAGGTTTAAATTTATTAAACATTTACATAAATTTTAAATATGCACATTCTGTTTTTTTGAGAAAAATCAAATTAAAATTACAGGCTAGAGCAAAATTGGAATTACGCACCGAAGCGATAGAAACAGATGCTATGGATGTAATAGAAATTCTACGATATACATTTGATAATGAAATCATTGATTGGCAATCTTTGGGTAATAAAAAAGTAACAGATAAGAAACAGGTAAACCAAATTTTACATAAATTTACAATAATAAAAACTAACGATTAGTTAATATCATAACGAAACCGTTTTTTTTAAAGGTCAGAAAAATGATAAAAATATTAAGGGAAGAAACTTTTAATAACAGCAATACAACATTTTCTATAAAACGGCTACAAGAAATCGCGTTGGATAACAAAATTGTGGTAGATAATTTTGCAGAGCTTATTTCAAAATTAAACGAAAGTGGTATTTTATTGAAAACTAATAGCAATACTTTCAAGTTTATTTCTTGCTAATCTTACTTTTCTAACATAAAATGTAGACAAATGGGTCAGACATTTCTTTCTTTACACTTCTCTTTAAGAGAAATCTAAGTTGCACTACTCTGTACATACATTGTACATAACGAAATACTTACATATGTAATCTAAATAATTTATGTTGTTCGAATAATCTGTAATATTCCATAAATGTGTATATTCAATCCAACAGTATTTTAATATAATTGATGTACAGTTTTGTATTCTTCAGTAGCATAAAATAAATGCATACCAAAATTGTTAGTTGTTTGCTTTTACACTTCAAAACAGTCTGCTTTACACGGCAAACGCCAATGCAAATAAAAGCAGCATACTGGTCCTGGTTTATGAAGACAATTACATCTCTGGCAAGGTCGTTTAGGTATGTAGTATTTTGGTTCTGGAGGAGGTGGAGCAGGTATAGTAATCGGATTCCTGTTTAATATAACCATCATAATATATCCTATCAATTGCAGTTGTTCTTACGTGCCGAGCGGACAAAATGATAAAACTTAAGGAAAGTACATTTAAAAAGTCCATTTTACAGGACACATTGCAGTCCTGGTTAGACATGTCGTTGCGCATGGCGGAGGGCAATATGGGATACATTTTGGTGGACAGGGTCCGCACGGCACTGGAGGTGTGCATATTGTAATTCTACACGGTGGTGGGCATGCTATGCAACGTGGCGGATAACATGAGTAAGATACACACGATGAACATGTTGGTAACCGGTACTGGACTACAGGTGGGCAGCATGGAGAACAAGGATTTGGGCAAGGATTTCCACAAGACATTTTTCTATTTTTTTCTCTTTTAAATTTATGTTCTATTAGAAGAACTTCAAATTTTGACAACTAATTTTCATATAAAATAATGCCAAACAACTGATATTTAGATAAAATTATTATTCACTTGTTACATATTGTAAATATGTTCAGAGTAATTATGATTTTTTCCTGGTATTAAACCATTTTGACCTTACGTTTAAATTCTAAATTAATCGAGTAAAAAGTACATTAAAGTGCAGCATGAACGTATAAAAAAAATCTAAATTCTACGATTTCTACGTAAATTAAAGTAAAATAAAAATTTTTTGTTGATTGCTTCAATATAATCCGGATTAAAAATGCCCTGCGATGGAAAGAATCCAAATTGTGAAAGAAGACGAGCATTATTAGGTGAACTAAAATGTTTAATTTCATCAATGGAAATGCAGTAAGTATATTTAGATTACATTAATAAACGTAGATATATTTATAAATTTAAAAATCATTTATTATAGAAAACCATGCGAATGGGACGAGCCTCCTGCACCTTGCAACTATGAGTACCTCTGTTGTGTGAGTACCTACTGATTTTTAAATTCATTCTTCTCAAATGAGGGGGAAAAGTATGGAGTGAGGGAAGTCCGAAACTCCTCTAAATATACCTTCTTCTTAAGTTACATATTTAAATTTACAGAATCCTCTTAAACGCTGTAGAAGTTTCGATTTTCGAACAAGCATTATATACAGATGCGAGTGCATCAAGAGAAATGGTTTACAAGATAGATGTATGATGTGGCACTGCTTGGGTAGACCAGCGTGTATGACAAAGTTATATCCTATTTGCTGTCCAGGACGCAATGCGTTAATGAAACTAATGGAATTAGATGATGTGGAATCTGCTTTACGAAAATTCTTCTGTGCCGATCAAGCTAGAAAAGATGCATTAGCTACATATTGCACAATGACTTGCAATAAGAATAAAAATCCGTGCTGCCCGAATGAGCAAAGAGTAGTTTGTAGCCCTCCTTGTGGCGAACCTTGTTGTATGTCACCTTGTACAACTTATAATATTTGCTCTCCTTGCCCACCACCATGTCCACCACCATGCTCACCATGCTCACCATGCCCGCCATGCTCACCATGTCCGCCATGTTCTCCATGCCCGCCATGTTCACCATGCCCGCCATGTTCACCATGCCCGCCATGTTCACCATGCCCGCCATGTTCACCATGCCCGCCATGTTCACCATGCCCGCCATGTTCACCATGCCCGCCATGCTCACCATGTCTACCATGCCCGCCATGCTCACCATGCCTACCATGCTCACCATGCTCACCATGCCCACCATGCTCACCATGCCCACCATGCTCACCGTGCCCACCATGCTCACCGTGCGTACCATGCTGTTCACCATGCTTACCATGCTGTCCACCACCTTGTCCGCCACCATGTGCACCACCGTGCCCACCACCGTGCATAATATCATGTCCACCACCCTGTTATCCACCATGCCCACCACCCTGTTGTCCACCATGCCCACCACCCTGTTGTCCACCATGCCCACCACCCTGTTGTCCACCATGCCCACCGCCGTGCACACCACGGTGCCTACCCCTCTGCCCGCCACCATGTCCGCCTTGTCCTCCACCCTGTCCACCATGTCTACAAATATGTCCACCACCTTGCCCACTACCCTGTCCACCACCCTGTCCACCACGATGCCTACCACCATGCCCACCACTATGCCCTCCACCTGTTCCACCACCCTGCCCACCAATTTTACCATTATGCCCACCACCACCCCCACCAAGATTCCGTCCGCGATGCCCTCCACCATGTCCCCCACCATGTCCACCACCTTGCCCACCACTTTGTCCACCTCCGTGTCTACCATCATGCCCTCCACTTTGTCTATCACCATGTGTATCGCCATGTTCACCATGTACACCCTCTTGTCTACCAGCTTATTGTCCTCGCCCACTACCTTGTGTCCCTTCCCCATATGCTGCTATTTGTTTCTAATTTTAGTTCCCAATTTCTTTCCTACCCATTTTTCTACCACATTTATATGTTATAAATTTATTGTTGTGCCCAAGTTTATTGTGATAAATAAACAATTTCTTTAATACCTACGTGTACATCTGCAGTTTCGTTGAAATACAACATAGAGATATCTGAGTTGCTGAGATGTAAGAGATGCAGAGATATAAGGGTTGCAATGTTGCAGGGGATAAAGGGGTATAATAAAGCATAGCAGAGATAGTAGGAATGCAGCGATATAAGTGATATATGTATGATCGAACTCATTATTCATTTTACTGGTTAATTAATAAATCGACTCGCTTTAGAGACTAGCTGTTTACGAAAATTTTGTTTTTTCTCGAATACAAAAGTATCTGCTGCTAGTTGAATATAATGCCTGCTGGCTCGAAATATCATACCCAGTGATGGGGACACCTTCCCCTCCGCTGGCTTAGACCGCCATTTTGCCTAAAGGGACGCCAAGCGTGCAGACCTACTTTACTTTACAGTTTTCCCCTTTCCCCTTACTTTAGGGACAAGCGGTCCCTTTTTGCCCACCGAAAATTGTCGGCCACGCGAGCCGACAAGGTTGGCATCACTGCCAATCCTTTTCCACGCCATTTTCAAATTTACATTACATCCTTTTCACATTTCGTTTCAAATTTTGCCATACTTTTAGCTCTATACACTTGTTTCGCGATACTTTTAGCATTCACTCTTTTCGCTTGCGCCCCCTTTTAGTCGCCTCCTACGACAGGCAGGGGATACCGTGGCTGTATTCTAAACCCCCCAGCCACAGGGGGAGCGTGGGGTATCTAGGACCCCTCGAGATCAAAAACATATTCAATCTTCTTTGTATGTGTACTCCCTGGGTTGTGTTCACATGATTAACGAAATTTACATCACTTTACACGTGTGAGCGTTATAAACATTGCATGGGGTTTAAAAGTATCTTGTAACTGTATTTGAAAAGTTATTTAAAATGGAATCCAATAAATCAGATTCAACTCCAAAACAGGCTATGGTATATATTTGTGGAGGTAATGTTTATAATGTAAATAATAGCTTGTAATTTTTCACATTTTATGTATAGGTTATAGATATTATGATTGTCATTGATAATGATCGATCGATTATAAAAAAATTTTATTATATACACATGTATTCTAATATTTCTGTTGTTTTATAGAGTGTCATCATGATAATGAAATACGACCTAGAGACCCAATTCGATGTAGAGAATGTGGATACAGAATTATGTACAAAAAACGCACAAAGAGACGTATCCTTTTGTAATTAAAATTTCAGTTCATTTTGCAAAGCAAATACTTAAAGAAATATGTGATTTTATATACTGCATAGTAACAACTTATTTTCCTTAATAATATATAGTTGTTGTATTTGATGCAAGATAAGTTTATTTAATATAGCATTAATGGAACCAATAGATTAAGGGAATGTTGTGATATTGTACAATATTTAAACCTTTGTATAATTTTCCCCACTTTAGAAATAATAAATGGGTGAATTTTGAAAGAACTTATGAGGATGAATGATATATGTTAATATTTATTGTAAGGATTACAATTTTTAATAAAGTAATACAAATTTATTGCAAATTAAATATTTATTCCCATACCATGTAATTCATAAAGTTGTACTTTTATGCTTGCAATACTATCATAGAAAACTATGGTATTAATTCCAATACATTTTGCAACTCTTCATACATTTTAAATTAATTAATTCTTTCACATCTGTGTACCAAAGTTCTGTTAAATGTGTATTAATGTAGTTTATGTAATATAAAACTGTTTAGAAATATATGTTTTTTATTTACAATAAATAAATTACATTTTTATTAATAGTTCAACAGAGTCACAGAATTAGTTAGAGATGACAGTAACACTAGCAAAATGCTGACATTTACAAATTCCATGAAAGTTGATATTATTGTGTCTGCATATATCTTACAAAGTCTTATTCCGGTCCCAGTATTTGATATTTTCCAGTAAAGCCTCCATTAAGGTTAATTAAATATTTCTAATCAATTAATCTATCGTTAATTTCTATGAATAACCTTTAATTAATTAATCTATCTCTTTCTTATCAATAAACTTGCTATACTTGAAACACTATTAATATAACAGCTGATTATCAAGTATATATAGATTATAATCATTATAAGAGCATAATTTAAATTCCTCCTTCAGAACATTTTAAAGCCTCAATAATCTATAATACATGTAAGATATTTGCTAGTCAACTATTTGTAAATGTTACTGCCATCATTCATTATAAAATTTAAATCATTTTTAAAAAGATAAAGATTGTTTTAGACATTTATAGCTAAACAAACTGATAAAATCTCATAACTTCAAAAGAATTTTGTTATAAAATAGTTCGATCAAAAATAATTTACACATTGTATTGGATTGAATCAAAAGTTGATTCAATTTTGTATTGACAAATAAAAGTGATTGAGCTTCTGCATTACCGACCACATTATAACCTATAAATTATGCATGATTATTTTTCTAATCTTATCACCTGAATTTCAAAACCATCATAAACATTACAATAATCAGATTTATGTATGATTGATTTAAAAATGGAAGAACAGAAAATATATTTTAACACTTAATGCATTGAAAGGATAAAAGTGTTATTCATATCCAAAAACAGAGTTGTACAGATTTTACTGTAAAAGATTTTACTGTAGACAGATTTTGCACTGTTAAAAGTAATCAGATTGGTGTATTATATATATACCGCAGGTCACCAGAGTCCATAACTACGAAAAGACCAGTTTTCGTTCTTCGCGCATCTCCAGTACGCATCTTCGCCCTGATTGGCGATACTCCCAAACGAAGTGGAAAGCGATTAGCAGAGAGCTCGCTGCGTTCCCGCGCCATCTTCCAACCTGCGCGTCGCAGTTATGGACTCTGGCGAACTGCGGAATATATATACAAACAATCGACATAATACCACTAAAGAATTAGCAGAGACATTAAACATTTTAGAAGATCCATTACCAGACATCTTACATATTTCAAATACATTAATTGTTATGACATGTAAATAGTTCTTAAATTCACAGAAAATAATTTGATCAACCATTATACTAAATGCAAAAATAAATATTTAATATTTAGGCCCGCATTTTTTCTTAACATTTGAATCAACTTTTGATTCAACCCAATAAGTTCAATCCTGCTTATTTTGAAAATTTCTTAATACTGAGTTTGGAAAAAGCCAAGCCAACTTCTTGCACAAAGTCATATGTGATAATATGTAGAATAAGGAATTTTATCACTTATAATAATTTCTCTCTTTTTCTTAAATAAGTATTACTGAACATTGTTTAACATTGGTCTGTGTTCTTAATATAAAATGGAATAAATTTTTGTTTTAAATGATGTGTAATTACTACTTAAATTCACAAGTTCTGTGTAGATATAGATATTTTCATATAGTTTTTATTTTTAGAAACTGACGAATTTAATATTTTTCAGAAATTAACTTAATTAATTATAACATTACAACAATCATTTTTGCAAACTGTAAATATTAAACATATAAAATGTTCACAAAGTGTAGATTATATAAACTAGATTATATACTTTTTGAAGATTAAGACTTTATTGAAATCAATAATGATAAGAAATTACAGTTTATAATAATGAATCAGTTCAATCAGTGCATTTTGTGTAAAGGTTGATATTTATTTTAAACTAAATTATTGTGTGATAAATATTTTGCATACATTAAAAAATGTTATATATACCACATATTTCAAAAAGTATTCTCTGCTTCTTTCTTTTGCTATATTATATCCTCTACTTTATTTTAAAATAACATTTATATTTTTTTAATTCAGTAAATATCTAATAATATATATAACTGAACTTGAATTTTATATATTAAGTTATTCATAAAATTTGTTTCGTTTAACTAAAAATAAATTTATACTAGTATTTGTGTAAATGATCTAAAAGTGTTTCCAAAATACGATAGAGCAAATATACTGTTTAACATATTTGTAATGTTTGCTTTCTTTTTTCTTTAATAAAAATATAAATGTATCTTATATTGAATTGTTTGTTATACTGTAGGATATAAATGATAGAAGTATGGACACTTGTGATCGCCTAGATCTAAATCAATCAATCTGATATGTAAATGATGTTTTGTTATTTATGCTCTTTAAAATATGAAATACTCTTACAAAGGACAATAGTTTCGAAAATATATTGATAATCATATTCTGAAAGAACTATCTTAGTTAATCATGTATGACATAGCCAGAAGATAAGTATTACATTGTACGAAATTTGGCTTTAGATACATTTCAAAATATGTATTTTATCTTCATGAATTCTTTAATATTCATTATCAGAGATTAGTTTCAATGAAACAGTTATTTTTTTGTATGCCATATTATTTCTTCCAAAATATAAGTATTGTTGGCTTGGCATTGTGAACAGACACACCTGAACGTTTTGGAAATCCATACACGTTATTTTATAATCGGACTGCATTAGAATGGATATACACCAAATGCTATATTAAACTATGCTACGTTGATATTGTTTGGCGACAATCACTTCAACTGGACCTCAATGTATATGATTGTGCAATCATTCTATTTGTCTACTATTTTATCTCAAGCACACTTAGGTACAAATTGTGATAATCGAAATCTGATTATGCAGTAGGAAAGACGAGTCGTGCTTGAGTAAGATGTTAAAAATTGGACGCTGTATATTAAATAGATAATTATAAAATACAGTAGCTGTCGCTTGTGGAAGGTATGTTGCTTCTTAAATAGTTTAAGCAAAATCAGACAATCGGTTATCGGTTACCTAGTTTGTTAATGTTAATCATTAATTCGTACTAATTAATTTCAATTAAATTTACTAAAAAAATATTGTGTTTGATACCAGTCTTTAAACAGAGTTAGGAATTTCCATTTAAATCTAATGAATGAACAAAGTATAAGACACGTTCATTTCTCAGTTTGTAATTCTAAATATTTAAGATGCATACAAGATTTTATGATGTATTTTCTTTCCCTTAATGTATTATTTTAGTAAATTTCAATATATTTTGTTATAAAATATTCGATGTATATCTAAAGCTGTAATGAAAAATATGTTTATGTATACAGGATGTCTCAATTTTTTAAGAAAATTGATGCAGTATACCTAACTCTGTTTTTTTTTTCTTTTTTAAGATCAAACGTATATATTACCTCTACACAAATCAACAAAAAAAAAAAGAGTAAATGAGCTTTATAAGAGTGGCATACCAAGCTTAATTTATCAATCCGTATAACCGATTCTATTTCCAATGATGAATTTCTTAAAATTATAATAAAGACTAACAGGATTTCATGATATCATACATAAATATATACAAACACTTCATCTCTTATGTCAACAATAATTCTGATAACTGTTCGTACTAATATCATACAAATATATATACATATATGTATGCATGATGTGTGTATGCATATGTATGTACATATACACATACACATTCATGTATCAATAATTAAGATACAATATTAATTTTTAATATTAGAATACTCTTCAACATTGAACGCAAAAGTTGCATTTTAAATACAGAATCACATGCCAGTCCATTGCACCTTATGCTGATATAACACTACTGTGTATAAATATTATACTTTTTACTAGTTGCGAAAACTATGTCATTACAAGTCACTTTCCACCACTTTTCGAAGGAAAATTTAAATAAACTAGCTTCAAGACAAAACCTTACAACTTGCGATTCGGTCTGGAAGTACAAGACAAAAAAAAAATAAACTCTTGACAATAAATTACTATTTTCTTAATAAATTGATTAAATTTAATTCATACAATAAATAATTAAACTTTCAGTCTGAAGTGCTAAGTGATGTTATACGAGCAATAAAATTATGAAAAATTAATGCTATGTACAATTTTTCTATTCCTTGATTCATAAAACGTGAAATTAAAAAATTCAATAATCTAAAACATTTTTTTCAAGAAATTTAAGGGTCATACCGCCTCGAAGTATGATTTGAAATAATTGTTAGTTCAATGATCATGAATAATACCTATATTACTGCATAAATATTGAAGATGGAGGTGATATCAAATACATATGTACATATAAATTCATTTCTTCCAAGACGTAAACAATAATGAAAAGAGTGTTATCTTGCAAATTATAACAATCTAAATGGCATTTCAAAAAAGGGACAAAATTTATAACGATGTATTTACAATGATAAGCAAGCTTTAGCAACATGAATTACATCTATGCAAGTCGCCATCTTTCATGGTGTACAGGGAGCAAAAAGGCCGGAAGATGAATAAAAAAACCTTTACTGACCTCAGCACAAAGAGGCAAGAAATAATAGAAGACTAAAGATTCTAGAAACCCTGAAAAAGACAGGGTACTTAATTCCTGAAGGAAGTTTAGCACCAATGAATGGTGAGAAGGAAACAGAGGAGGACTATGAGTCTCTACAAGAAAAGGAAGCTCGCCTGAGTGGGCGGTTTGTGCTGATTACTAATGATCAAGAAAATAATTTTCAATGTTAAATGTTACTTTCTGCATGATTCGATTTTACAATTTTTATATACAAAAGAAATTTGTGTGCTAAAGTAGTAGAATTACGTTACAATGAAGTCATTTATATTCTACTAATATGCATCACTTCAGACGCATGCACTCTTTATGCACTTTGGCTGGTAAAATAAATATTAAATAAATCAGATTTCCATTATATAAATTTTCCTCGATAATAATATTCACTGTACATTACCATAATGTAGAAATTGTACCTTTTGGCATCTTGGAAAAAGGTCTTTATAATTTGAATAACAAACATAGTAAAATGAATGATTACGTTCCTTTAAAAATTTCCTTCGAAAGATGGTGGTATCATATACTTCCTGTTTACAACTATTTCATCGATACGACAACGAATTCAATCAATTTTACCGTTGATTTTTCATTCTAGTCCACTGTATTATTTTGGCACTACCTGTCTTTGACTTATCGTGGTCTTTTTTTCTTTTGGCTAATAGATATTTCTGTACTTTTTTTTTCTGAGTATTCTCTTTTTTCTCTACACTTGTTCACATCCCTGTGTGTATTTGTACTAAAAATCCAATTCGATATTATGTTCAATAAAATTTCTATGTTGTTTATATAGTACGCATTAGAAATCGTGCAGACTTGGCACTTGTATAACACCTCATCCAGCCTTGTATAATCTATGGAAGATGTAAAGCTTGATTTGGCATCTAATTCACACTGTACTCGCGCTCTTTTTAATTAAACTGATCGAACTTTGGATCTTCGTTGGTGATTGGCACATGATATGATCGAAACATATCCAAGTCTGTGGTCACTTTCATGGTGGTATAGGTTCACCATCGTTTGAGGAAGTTTCACCTCCGCTGATCACTTGACTTGGAATTGTCTCGGATTCCCATTGTCCTACTTTACTAGGATCTTTCTCGCAAAGTCTTTGAGCCAACATCTGTAAAAATTATTTTAATGTTTCATTTTTTTTATCTGCCTATAATAATATCCGGGATGTGTTCATCGTTGGTAAGCCTATGAGCAAAGGAAATGAATCAAAGAAATATAAGACATTTGAATTCGTTACATACCTGAAGACTAGTAAGACTATTATCACAGTCGGTCGTATCGATGTCATTCAAGTTGACACCAGACCTTTCCATTTCAGCGTATGTCCCGAATGGCAATTTACCTAAACATTCTAATTTCATAATATGCATTTTGCTACGAAGATGTTTCGCCAAGTGACCGTGTATCCTGAATGCTATTTTACAGTCGGTACATTTGAATGGTCTTGGATTGCTGGTAGTCGCAGCCCCGAACGTGGAAGTCATACTGACCTGTAACACGATAATTAAAAGTTCTAAAATTGAGAATATACCAATTAGTTTACGCGTATACGTTTGAATGTTCTCTTCATCCACCTTATTGTGATGTGAAACAGATCTCTCGTGTTTTGTCAAATGACCCTTGGTCCGAAAAGATACCGCGCAACTCTCGCACCTAAATGGTCTCTCGAAGTAATGAATATTGATATGCAACCGTAACTGACTAGGTTTGCTGAACACCTTGTTACAAATAGCGCATACACTTTTCCCATCTTCAGTCACACTGTAACTACATTTGTTAGATTCGCTTCTTTCGGCGAATGTTATTTCCTTCAGGTAAGCCGGCAACACGTGCCCTTCGGCGTCCGGTTTCCATTCTCTCCCTTGTATCGGTAACCTTTCCATCGTTTGAACGATCGTTTGCAGCAATACCGGTTCCGAGACTGGGGTTAAAATGTCCGTTGGTCTAGCTCTTTGCAGTACAGGAACGGGTAATGATTGTACAGCGGCTTTCGTTGTAAGATCCATGGGCTGGGAAGAAGTGTTTCGCGAGTCTTGTTCGCTTTTGTTTATCTCTATATCAGGACATTCCTTCTTCGACGATTGAATCACGGTCGTCCTTAATTCCTCCGGTGCGGTACGATTCGAAGGGAAATAATAACGATGGGACAATTCGTTTCGAACGACGGTAGTCTCTTGGGTGCTGGCGATCGTTTGGCTACTTATGGGCGCGCTGGTTACGGTCACAGACACGCTCACCGATGCCGAGATCGTGGAAAACGTGAGGGTGTAAGGGTAAGTAGTTGGCCTTCCCGATGGCAAAAGTCCTGGCAATCTGTTCGCATTACGTTGCGATAAACTTAGCAAACTTTGTGCCACTTCCTGTTCCTCGCTACCAGACTCCTCGCTCTCCTCCCCCTCGCTCTCATCCTCTTCGTCCGAGGATTCCTCGGTGTTACCACCGGCTGCCAAACGGGCAATCGCTTCCTTATCGATATTTTCGTCGCAAACTATCGTTGGTACGGGAACGACCCCCAGCTCGACGCATTTCTTGTAATGAGCCTTCGACTTCATGTGCTTCGTGAGGTTGCCCTTGGTTTTGAAACTGAACAAAGAAAACGATAGGGTATTTTTAATAACGATTAGCAACTATGAGATCCGAAAAACATAAGAGGTACTTAATCTCTTCAGGGACGATTTTTTTATTGTGAGAAAAAAATGACTTAATTTTTTGTTCTATTAGGATTTATTCATTTTATATTGATAGGAAATCAAAAGGCAACAAATAATAGGGAAAACAATAAAAGTGCACAAAAAACCATAACGACCACATTTATGGCCGCTGAGCGTTAATAATAATTTATAAGTGAAATGATTTCATACAAACTAAACGCCCACATATGTGGCCAAGGACGTCAAGATATTAAAATATAATCTTACCCAAAAGCGCAGTGCTTGCACGTGTACGGCCTTACATCTGTGTGCGTTCTGATATGTTTCTTCAACATTGATGGCTTTTTACAACGAATACCACATTCCTCGCAAACGTACCGACCTCGACCTTCCAGAGAAAAATAAAAATAAAAGTTGAATTACAGCCCCAATTATAAACTTTATAATTTTAAAGAAAAATTCATTTTCCTCACCTCTGCCCCTGACATACGTGTAATCTTCATTACTCTCAAATCCTCCATCGAATATCTTGACTCTCTTCGCTTTCTCTTGCATATCACCGTCGAGACCGCTATCCGGACTCGTCGGAGTGGTGGGTCTTTGAGATGAATGCGTCAAAATATCCTCCTGTTTTTTCCAAGCGGTGGTGTAATTAAAGGATCTGTGCCTCGAGTCGTAATGCGCCATATCGACGTCCGGTGGTGCTTCCTCGCATATCTTCCAATTCGAATACATCGATAAACCGTGTTGCTGGGTGACGTACATCGGCTGCGGTCTGTTCAGAGTGCAATAAAACACTCTGGTCGAACATTTCAATCCCAGATACGTGTAAGCGTGCCCGTTCAAGTAGAGTTGCCCGTACGATTTCTTCGGCCGAGGGGTTTCCGGGCTGATCAAAGGAAGCGTGTTCGCCGTCGGCGTGATACCGTGATGCTTCTTCGGGGTGAAAGTACCCGGCTTCAACGGCAACGAGGTGGGTCTTAAGAACTTGCTCGAATTGGTCTCCTCCATCGTAACGTCGCCGTTCTTCGGCGACCTTGCCTCGGGTTTGTTAATTAAATCTACGGAAGCTCTGTTTGGCACATCTGTTTTCGAGGTATTATCTACGTTGACGAGCACCATCGGCGACACAGGATCGGTCTTAGCTTTAACTCCGTTGAAACCGTAATACTCGGCCTGCTTGCCTCTGGTCTCGTTCAGACTCGCCTTCAAACGTCCGTTCTCCAGGCTCGTAGGGGAATCGTATTTCGTAACCGTATTGTGTCCCAGAGGATCCACCAACACCCTGCCAGTTTCTACGTCGTTCCACGACAACAATCTCTTTCTACTCTCGGATGACTCCTTTGGCGAACATCGAAGTTTACTGTAGGAAACCGAGGAAGCGACCGCCGAGTCGACGCCGTTCGAATAACCGAAAGTTTTCTCTACTTTCGGACTTCTGTCGTACGAGAATTCCCGCCTGTCTCTAAGACCCTCCATACCCTTGTACTTGATAGCCATGCTGTTCTTGATATGACGATCGAGCTCTATCTTCGTAACCTCCACAACAGACGGTACTCCTCTTCGGTATTTCTCCGAAGTTTCTACCTTAACGCTAGGAACTTTCGGGCTGGTCAGTCCAGCCTTCGAAGCATCGTTGCCGGGTGTCTTGAAGTTGAGCTTCGAGTCCTTCGCCGGACTTGCAAGGTCCAGAGGTTGGCCCATCATCGACACGTGCGCGGTTGACATCGGTCCTGGGATTCCGGGTACGCTCGGTGTTTGGATCTTCACCGGACTGGCTAGATCTAAGGGTTGAGGTATCATGTGGAGGCCAGGCAGACCTGGTATCACTTTGTATCCGGCTTCGCCCGTCGCTATGCTCGGGGATATGTCTATGGTCGGTTGCAGAGTGTGCGGTCCAGGCATGCCAGGAACGTAAGGTATGACTTTATCTCCGTGAAGTATGCTCGTGATACCTGGCTGGGGCAGAGTCAACGGATTGTAGGCAGTGATACTGGTCAAGGGATTCAGATGAGGCTCCATGTAATTGTAACAGGACATGCTGGGCGCTATGTTCGGGGTTGATATGTTCGGTATGATCGGCGCCAACATCTTTGGCGTGTTCGGCAAAGATATGGAGGAACTGGGCGTACTGGATGGAGTGCCAGGCGGTTTGTGCACCATGGTGCCACCCGAATGAAGACCGGATCTGACTACGATAGAAGCGGTCTCCGAGGTGACGCACTTATTGTTCACGATGTGCTCGCTCGTCGGTGACTTGGTCTGTCGCGGTTCGATCCTCATAGTTTTCGTTTCACCTGTGTTGTCCAGTATCCTCACCTCTCCGCCGAACATCTGCAACGAATTCGGCCGTGGATACTTGCTGAGCTCCTCTAGGGACCTTAACGTAGTGGGCACGGACTCGGGTCTCTGTTTCTTCACGGGTGGCGTGTACGCGTCCACCAGTCTGGTGTTCCCCAGAAGTGGTCCAGGCGAAGGTAGAGGTTGCAGGGTATTGTAATAATCGGAAGACTTTGAATCGAACTCGGACTCTCTTTTGTCTATCTCCAAGGAATACTCCCTACGAGGACTTAGGCTACCTTTACAGTAGTATCTACGGTGGGCGTCCAGGTTATCGATGCTGGAATAAGGGATATTACAAGCGGGACAAAGATAATTCTCGTTCTCGGCGCTACCTTCCTGACTCGAATTCTGATTCTTCAGCAACAGGTCCTTGATTATCGAACCCTCGGAACCGTTCTGGCAATCTCTGTCCTCCGTGAACGTCTCGCTGTAGCAACGTTTCCTCGAGGAGAATTCATCGCCGGAGGAGAGATTCAACGGTTGGTCGGACTCCTTCATCTCCACTAGACTCTGCTGCCTCTGAATCAACTTGTGAAGCCGCGGATCTACCGCGTCGACGATAGCCTGATTATCGGTTATAATTTTATCGATGTGCTCTTGCACTTGCTCCGGATTCGGTTTCGGCGTGACGACTGCGGTCGTCGAGGAAGAACTGTTAGTGGAAGAAACGGAGGATAGGGAAGACGTTTCGATATCGTTATTCACGCATTGAAGCGCCGTGTGAAATTTTGGCTTGTAGATTTTCCCGGTTTTAATGGTTTTCATGCTGGACACGGTGGAGGTGGGCGTCGAAGAGGGTGGCGGCGGTGGTGTGCCAGTACCGTTGCTCGCGCTATCGGACAGGCTTATGTCCGAGTCCTCTGATACCTGTGACAAAGTATTTTACATGGTTATCGTTTATTTTACACGGGCTCTGTTATAGAAGAGACAAACTGAATAAATCATAGCCGTACCTTACTGGCATCACCACCCTCCATCTTCAGGGCATGAGCACGAGACCTGCAGTGTTTATAGAGATTCGATTTTGTTTTAAAGGCGAAACCACACGGCACACAGGGATACGGTCTCTCGTTCGTGTGAGCCCTAATGTGTTTCTGGAGGACACTTGGCTTTGCGCAGAGTAGCCTGCAGTAAGGGCATACGTAGCCGCTTTTCCTCGACTCCGCGGCGGGGTCTCCATCCACGGACTCCGGGGACGCCTCGATCTTGATCGGATCTTTAGGCGAGTCTCGGAAGTTCTTGGTCGTGTCCTTCTTTTTAGGTGGCTCCAAAGAATCGTTCGTAACCGTGGTATCCTTCTTCGGCTCCACCTTTGGCGTGACCTCGGTTGTCGCCATCTTTTTGAACTTTTTATGCAGGTACTTTTGCTCGCCATCGTTATTGTTGTTGTTGTTATTGTTATTATTATTGTTGTTGTTGTTGTTGTTGCTGCTGTTATTATTATTCGCCAACTGTGGGTCTGTCATCGCCACAGTATGAGTCTCTGAATAACAGAAATGAGACAGCTCGGTTAAAAAATACATTTTTTTCTTTCGTTTAATCTTAATTGATATTAATTTTTAATTGATGGATTCTGAGTGGATTCTTTACTTAACAATTTTATCATATGAAATTTGACAAAATATTATCGTTAACGTATCTCTAATGATAATTATAATCGATATGATTGACAGATTATGTTACGTTATGAAAAGCAGACTCAACAATACTGCATAAAGCTGTACGAATGCCAACAGCGAAAAAGAATGATGGTTCGTCGAAGAAGGTGATTCACAAACAGATCCCAACTGTTTTCCGATATTGCACGCGAATCAACTGGATTGTTCCAAGAATTCTCTTTACCGAGAACATTATAACGAATCCAACGCGATGAACGAAGTGCCAAGAATACAGTGAAATATTTTATGTTCGGAAATTTCAAAGAAACTCCGGGTATCATATACCGGGTAGGTAATGGAAAAATTTATCGAAACGCGAGAAACATGAACTTTTTTACTGGAATTTTACCTAAGTGATGGAATAATAAAATCGATGTTTACACGAGGCGAATGAAAGGGTTAAGCGAGTATGTTTAACACGTAGTTATTAGATCGTTCGATATTCAATGCCTAAAAGGTCATTCCTGCAAATTTATGCAAGAATCGCGTTGCGAAAGCGGAAGGAACCGAGTTCAACAGTTCAGATCGCTCGGTCGTCGCTTATGTGCGAATAAGACTTTGCTCTGATTGAATTACCATTTATAAGTAACTGGCTCAAATATCGTTCTCTGCTCGTTATTGAATCGTTAAAAAATTATTCAGAACGTACAGGAGCAGCATAAATGTTTCAAAGATCGTCATACTGATTTACAACCACCTTCTGTAAAGTCTAACATAATTTGATGACATAAAAATATCGCAAAATGGAACTTATGACGCATCAATTTAAAGCTTCAAGTATCACGAAAATGACTACATAAACGCCTCATGAATATTCTTACTACAAAATGGTGTGTCGCCATTTACAGTAAACAACGATCGATTTGGAAAGATACAAATTCTTACGCTATTTGATGACATATAAAAGTGTTACAAGTGTATACTTTCACCTTTTTCTCATCTAAAAGGATCTTTTAAATTTTCTAAGTATCGTCCATTCAGCTGCACTCTTTGTATGACTCGTCTATCGGAATGGCGCCGATTAGGAAATCGTTGTTTGTAAAGTAAAGGCCGCAGAAGCACCCAAGAAACGTGTCTGTGTACTCACGATTACGGTAACGCGTCAACGTGATAGCTACACAGATACCGACAGTTCAAACATCTAGTCAGACGTAGTAGAAGCGATAAGGGACAAACTATGACATTGTTGCAAGTCACGATATTGTTCGCAGCTACAGAACAGAGAAGCTGTGACTGGTGAAATCTTCTCAACAGACTATAAAATAGGTAGCAGACTGTTGAAATATTGTTTTTAATACGCGGAGTGTCTTATGTAATTGGGTCAAATTGTAGTTCACAAATGGTAGATCACTGCACGTGACTGTACAGTTGGAAGTAACGTAAGCTTTCTTTGGGTGAGAGGAAGCCTCATGGGCATCAAAGTGGGGTATGGGGTGGAAAGGTGAGAAATTGTAAATTTTTTCAATTAGTCATTCTTTAAATTTAGAAATTTGTCAATTTAAAAACTTGATAATTTGGGAATATGGGAATTAGATAATTTGGAAATCTGGCAATTTAAAAACTTGATAATTGGGTAATTTGAAAATTTGATAATTCTAAAGTTTAGAAATTTCAAATTTCCAAATAGAAAAATAATTAGGGTAAAAGAAGGACCTTCCTATCATTTGCCTCTAGTCCCAGGGAGAGTCTAACCAAGAATCTTCTATTTTCCACAAAAACAAATAAAAAAAGATTTATTTGAATCGGATTCTGTGCTTAAAATAAATGTAACTTTACCTAATTATCAGTTAAAAACTGTTTGCTATAAAACGAATTTATTATACATTCCGCAGAAATGAAGCATTTAAATGTTTAAGATAGAAAAGAAATGGAAAACAAATTATATAACCATCGTGAAATTTCAAGCACATGTATATTTTTCAAAACACACTACTTTATAGCTGTAAATAACTTCGCTTCTTTCCTGTTCTTTGAAAACATGAAAAATAGAAAACACATTCCTTCTTTTCAGATCCAAATATAATTCGAGCAACGTAAATAAATTCTTTCTAGGTTAGTCCAGTCGTGAATTAGATTATGCAAATTCGACTGCTTTGTACACGTGAATCGTTTTCCATTTTTACAATTCCTTTTTTTAAACTGTTATTGTGCTCGACATCGGGCAAACAACGGTGCCTTGGAAGTTGAATAAATTTGTTAACAGGAAAATGAAATTTTCTAGATTCTCATACAATGAAAATTTTAGAAATATTGAATTTATAGGGAATTTGGAGATATATTGTAAAATTATATCATATATACAGAGAAACTACTTTCTAAACAGATGCATACTGTCTCGGGTTACGTGGAACGAATAGCGTTCGCAGCTACATCAGGCCTTCAAACCGGAAATCCAAAGAAGCGAATGAAACGACGACAACGATGCCGTTCTTCAACGAATTCATTCTGACACACGTAAACCGTTCCCTTCCGCAACCAGGCGATACCAATGAAAAATTATCACACAGGATGTTTTATTTTTTTCTGCGCTACAAGCCTGTATCAAAAATAAAACATCTCTTACAGAATTCGTCTACAACTAATTTATTAACATAAAAGTATCACAATATAATACTTATGATACATCAATTTGAAGCTTAGAATTTCATAAAAATTACTATATAAACATTTTATGAATATTCTGAATACAAAATGGCTGATTGCCAATTGTATCAAACAATGACCAATTTTGAAGGATATAAAATATGGTGGAATTTCATGACAGAAAAGTATCGCTAAGTAATATTTACTTTATACAGTCATTTTCAAGAGATTATAAGCTTCAAATTGATATATCATAAGTGCTATTTTGTAATAATTTTATGTCATGAAATTGTCATTAGTCGAGTAGGTTAACATTTTTATAGTAGACTCTTAATATTATACCATAACTATCATTTCTTTTCTTCGATGCTTTAAGTATTGAAGAATTGAGATAATTAAAAAAGAAATCAATAAAAGCGGAATTTATTTCTGCTGTTATTGATAGAAGTCGACCGCAGCCGTAACAATGAAAACACGATCAATTAGCAAAGTTCGATCGTCCCGTTAATAATAGGACCGTTCATTGTCGAAGTCATTCAACTTGTAATTATTCCAGTCTAATAATTGCGACGACAAGCGTGGAATCACTGCGCTAGAATTAGCATGGAAGTGATAAGAAGGGAAGAAAAATGTCGAACGATGAGTAGCAGTGACACACGAAGGCTGTGCTCTCTAGATAAAGCTCGATTTCAAGAAATGAAACGTAACTCGTACGACAAACCATCAATTACGAGCCATGAATAGACCGTTGAAATGCAACTTGTACATTGAACGACAGTGGCCATCGGTCAGGCCTTGCAATTTGTTAATCGTACGCGTTAGGTGTGTCAAAGGTTGATTCAACTTTCCTTCAATTCATCGCATTCGTTATGCAGTAAAACTTTGATAAATCGTCACTCAAGGGACCGAGAAATATTGACGACTTAAACGGAGTAAAAACCATGTAAATTTTTAAATGACGACTCATCCGGAGTGACGACTTACGGAGGTTTTAATGTATTTTTTCCTTCGATTAATTTGTCGAACGTTTTTATTGCGAAATGCTGGGAAAATCCTGTTACTTTCGTAGAATCCAACAAGGAAAACAATTGATAATCTGTAAATTCTTAGAGTTTGGAATCATTGAACCCCATTCCTTACGGTCATCTCTGCTTGGAACTGTACTTGTATATTTAATAAATTAAAATTATATAATTTTATTTGCAATCATTTTTAATTTCACGCATCCTTGAATAATAAAATTATTCATTCAGAAAATATTTCACAACCTGCACGGGTTTTGTGTTCCTTCGGATGGAAACGGAAAGAGAGAATGTTAAACAATTCTTTTAGCATGATAATAAAACCTAACTCTAGGGTAATCAATTCATTTCCATTTACGAATATGAGTTCCGTGAAACGTTTAAACGTTTCAAGGAAAAATGGAATGTTTTTATCTTCCTAATATTTCGATCTTCCAAGAATCTTAATGATGACATTAAAACGAAACGTATCGACAGAATTTATTCCCGCAAACAGAATATCCACTTCCATATGCATCTCGATAACGGATATTTCTACATATGTTTATTAAATTAATTTAGGTATATCATTTACATTTATATCGCGTTAAACATTTTTCAGTGTTAATAAAAAAAAAAAAAAGAAAAAAAGAATGGCAGTATTCAATCGATTAAATTACTTTTTTCAAGCAGAAAAAAAGAAACAAGGCAATAATGAAGATTTTTCAATGCTTATTAAATTCGCACGTGCAGCTCTGTGGTGAAAATAATTAATTCAAAATGTTGCGTCAATATATCCTGACATTTGATTTTGTCTTTTTCGAAAGAGCGTGTGAATCATACCCTTAATTCAACTTCATATTTTAATCGGACATTAAAATTCACATAACACCTAAACACATGATCGCACGTGTCCCAATCGATGCCATTTTTCATCCGTATTTTAACATATAAAATAAAATGAACAACTGCATCCTAGATTTATATACCGGGTGTTTCGTTAAGTTCTTAAGAGGAAGGAGTATATTTAGCAATGGAAACTGTGATTCGTAGTTTGATCATCTAATTGAGGATGAGAATGTGTTATCTATTAACACGTTTCGTGCCACGTGAATTTTAAGCTGTGTAGTACACGTTTAAATCATAATTCTTGATTGGAATAAAAACGGAAATTATACTGTATTCGTTATGTTTTCATATTGATCAATGAAACTTGATAAAAAAAAAAAAGTTGTTTTATTCAATTACGTGCAGAATTTTAAAACGTAATTTTACCCTACTGACTGAATAACACAGATCTGCATAAAGTATAATTTTAACCAACCGGCTGTCGATGTGTTAATTAAAATTGTACATTCGCGCGCATAGCAGGCCTCTTTCGGTTAATGGGAATAGTCATACACCTGACGCAATTTACAGTTTAAATTTAACAAACTTAAAGAAATAACTTCGACGAAGTTACATTTGACCATGCTATGATATTTAAGTGTTAATTGAAAAAGGCCTACTATAGTTAGTCACGTGTTACGCGTTACACAATTACGAGTATTCATCGTTTCCATTACACCAGCGAATGTCCTGCATTCCATCGAAGAATTGAATAAGCAATGTTATCGTCCGATTATAGGAAATCGTTTCTATTAACAGCATCTTGAAAGTTTTCAATTCGAAGAATTTCATTCAATCGTATTTTCATTCATCATCGATAAACTTTATCTAAATTCGAATTAATTCCATTAACTAGGGCAAAGATTAGTACTGCCGACCCATTCGTATATTTTTCTTATTTTTTTACTATACTAAGATTGGTCATTTTTAAAATTATCCAATCTGTAAATAATGCACCTTTACAGGTCCATAACTATACACTGTACTGTACTGTACAGTTGCATGCAACATAGACTTTTCTTGGTTAAGAATAAGCGTAAGGGGAAATGTCTCCCACAGAGACACGTGCGGAGGTCTCTCTAGGGAGGCCTTCCCCTACAATATCATTTTCCCTAGGGAGGCCTCCCTATTTAATACCGTACACCTAATAAATAAGCTTATAACATTAAAAACCGAGTAATACAAGTTATATTCCATCGGATATATTGAGAAAAATCTGTACGTTAAGGGGTTAAATGTATTATCGAAGCCATCATTGTTGACGATTCGTACAGTGCTGCCACCAGGCAGTAAAACGGGAGATTCCCGCGACAGGCAAATGAGTCACGCGTACGAGCGGGCTCTCGCGTCTGACGTAGCGTCCTTCCTCTTTCCTCGGTCAGACAAACCGACACTCTCATCCAACGCTAGTCTGACGAAGCGCCAACAATTCCCCTTACCCTGCACGCGTCTTCGCCATGTGGTGGCTCACACGGAGACGGTCGCCAGCTCCCCGCTGCGTCCCCGGAGATACGACAAGAGACTCGACTTGACTCGGTTTAGCTCGCCTTGCCAACCACGAGGAAACCCCGAGGAGCCACCTTTCCCTCTTTGCACCGCCTACCGACTGTTTACCCGGCTCTTTCCCCTCTACTATCCTCTGGTAACCCTACTTCTGCAGCCGAAGCAGTAAACTCGACGGAGATTCGCGTCGTTCCGAGTTGCGCCGCTTCGATGGAGCGGTGAACGGGTGATTAGGTCACGCACCCCGTGCGTCGCCGTCTATCTGCCCTAGGCCGTTCACGGCCGTGTGTGTCCACGGAATTCCCCGTTGTTTTTCGAGAGCCACGGATCTCCTCTCTCTACACCTATTATACCACCACTCTCAGACCACGCTTTTCTATATAACATATATATATATATATATATACCGTACAGCGTTAGAATGCACCGCTCTCGTGATTCACGAGTTTCATAGTTTATTCCCGTACAACGTTTCGACCGACATGTACACCTCGGTCCAACGAGAGCTTCCTTTTTGGTTAAGGGTTAGAATAGAGAGAAGAGCCTTCTACTATTTGTTTCTGGTTTCTAGGGGAACTTAAGAAAAAATTCCTATACATTTTCTCCTTAAAGATTATCGTGGTCTCTGGTATGGGTAGATCTATCCAAATCGATTCCAACATGTTAATCGAGGGGAAATTTAGGTTATACGTTGTTCTATATATAATTTTGTAAATTTAGTTAGTAGGTTAAATTTAATTGATGTACTTTGTAATATTATAAAAGTTGACACAATAAAGAATCTTTCCAACATCAACAGTTTCCTGCAAACGCAAATACTATAAACGATGATTATGAAGAGTGGTTTTACCAGGAAATTTCCACAATGGTTAAAGACACTCAAGTATGCTGGTAGATTACCACTGGACATTAAAGATACTCCACAGATAAAGCAGTAGCTAAAAATAAAGCACGTTCCTCGTTTCGCGATTTCGTCAATAAAAATGGCATTTCTTTTACATACTGTAGTATCATATTTCATGATATCTCAAATAAAACTATTAGAGAAATTTGTTAACCATATAAAATATTAAGACGTAAGCGGTAACCATTTTATAAATTAATAATAATTGAAGCTTGCAGGAGTAATCCTTTAACACTGTTGACCTTTATTTCTTCACATGATTCCATAAATAATTGATAGTTTCTATCGCTCAGATTAGTTTTTATCATTTGAAAACTTTATATAGCCATAGCTGTTATTAGCAATACGTTAACAATGTCCAATGTACTGGTTGAACAACCCTTTTGAGACTGATTGCAGTGTTTGCAATAAATTCACTTGTAGAGTGTAGCCATGCAGAAAATTCAATGGTCGTAAAAATTCCAGATATGTATCAGATCGTGTTAATGAGTTTCTCCTTTAAGTAATCTCTTTTATTTATATTTTATCAAGCGGAACGTCAATGCAAACAGGCGGAAACTCGTAAAACAGCTTTGTAATACTTTTTTCAAATATTTCTATGATCCTTAACGAATATCTTTTCCTTTCTAAACTCCTACTTTTAGATGGTGCGATAATTTCACGAAATATGAAATCTCATTCCGATGAAAAGTTCACGTTTTAGGAAAGCGGAAATATAAGAGAAACGGGAAGAATTGTGTCAATCCGTTGAAGCCGTCAAAGTTATACACGACCGTTAAGCAGTTTCGACGAAAAGGAAAAAAGAAAAAAGTGCATTCAACTCTTTTAAGCTTGTTACAAGATCGTAACCTCTTACGGTATCGCTCAATGAATCTAACAGGGTCCTTCAGATTTACGATAAGGAAAACTCTTAGTTTTCTACATAGTAATCAATTACATGACGATGTACAAATTGGGTGTCGTGTAATTTGCGATACAACGGGAGAAAATTCATGTACACGCGCGATCAAAAGACTTCCCTAGGGAAAAAATGGCGACATAGGGGAAGGAAGAATTTTCAAAATCTCAATTTGAATGATATTGATATTAAAAGTCATTTTTAATTATTGAATATTATAAAATTTATTGTACAACAAATTTTCCCTAAGGAAGTTATATTGTACAACAGGTCTGCACGATCTGATGCCCTATGGGGCAATTATTTCGACGCCTAACCTGAAAGAGCAGTTGCCATATGGTAAAGCAACGCTCCTACGAGAAACCAGTGACCACGTGTGACTTTTAGCAGACTACAGTGTTACAAATGTCAAACGTCTCGAGTTAGAAAGAAATCGAACGTCGAAAGAGCAGGAAAGAAAGTAAGCAGCCTACCACTCCTTTTAACGGCTTCTGACATCATGGCTGACGATCGTTGCCCGAGGCTCTGCCCACGGGCAACGCTAACTACCTACTATCCGAAAGGTAACAGTTTATATGTACACGTTTCCAGTGAAGAATTTCGAAAATGTTTAACATACTTCATTGTTAACTTTGCATTAATATGTTCCCCTTTTAACGATTTTCTTTAATTATTCGTTAATCGACACTATCGCCATATGGTGAATGAAAATGTTAATTTCTGATAATTTTAAATATCATTACTATCGCATTATTCTTAGTGTCGATTTCTCTTTCAAATAGTAATAATTTTATAAAAGTGAGAAATAGAAAAAATCAAACGGCGATGGAAAGTAGGTTAACATTGAAAGAAACGTTGGAATTTCATAGTAGGCTGAAATACAAAATGGAGAATTCCAAGAATTCCAATTGATTCGGTATAATTTCAGTTTTATACGGTGCTCGGAGATCGGCCGTTCATGTCACCTACAAGAATGGTGCGTAGCTTAGGTATCTTTCTGGTGTAGCATGAAAATAGCCAAGTGTACTTGGAATATCGCGCGGCCTACGCATTAGGCATGCTACAACGGCGTTCACCAAGCGTCCGCACAAGCGCGAGCAAGAACACGAGAGAGAGAGAGAGAGAGAGAGTGATTGCCCGATTCCTGCGGGAAGTGGGGGAATACGTACGAGGGAAGACCGTTGAGGAAAAAGAAAGAAACAGAGTGCGAACAAAGAAAAGGATAAAATATCAAGAGGAGGGAGAAAGGCCGCGGAGTAGAGACAGGTAGATAAATGTGGTCTACGGGTAGGAAGGTAGAGGACGGACGACGCCGTTGTCGCCTCGTGTCTGTTCAGTGTACCGGGTCAGAAACGAACAAGGGAACAATTGCGAGAATCAGCTGCAGAGGGGTAAAAAGAAGAGGAAAACTAAAAAAGAGGATGGTAGAGAGCAGGTAAAAAGGGGATTAATAAAGATGAGAAGCAGAGAGTACACTGGCCAGCGTGTTTTCCCTAAGGAAGAAAGATTCTACTACTCGGTTTACGAGGGTACACTGATCAATTTGAAGAAAATTTTGTAAATATAGAAAGTTATGTATGATGAAAATAACTTTCACATTTTCTAAGGGTAAAACCAGTGCCGGAGCTTCCTTCTGTACTGTCTTTTCCCTAAGGAAGACCGGCATGCTTGGTGCTGTAGAAATAGTATGGACAGGAAAGATTTGAGAAAGTTTCAGATATCTACCTTTATATGGAGGGTGATTTGTAAAATGTTTCATTTAAAATCAGCGAACTCAAGTCAATGTCTTTGTCTGAGCGTGGCTGTTCCGTGTCTGAACGGATAATATAAAGCAACTTTTATACGTAAGAGAGAGATATGGCAGGAGACAGGAGACAAGAGCGATTCATGAAAAGGAAAGACAGGATAAGGAGAGGGGGAAGAAAAAGAGGGCGAGACATAAAGAGAGAAGGAAAGAGAAAGAGATAAGAGGTTAAAAGAAGAGAGGAATAGCTCATGGTTCACCTGTCGTCATGGCAACGCCGCTTCGCCGCTCACTTGTTACTCTATCGGCATAGCTCGGCCCTCGGTCCTCTCGCAGCCTCCGCAGGAATACGAACGCGAGTCACGATCCATGGTGGGACACAGAGTCGCGACTCCTCTCTCGTTATCCACTTACCAGCGCGTCAATCTGTTTGCTATGCAAATCCCGTCCGACCGGTGCTGACGTAGACGGCAACACCAACGCAGAAACGGGTTCGTCAACGATATCTCCTACTAACACACTTAACAGCGAGCAGTTAGTCATTGCCCGCGAAGCACACACGTAGAAAATATAATTGGCTACCACGACGGACCACGCAGCAATTCCACACGGGTTCTCCTTTTAGCCCCACCACTATCTCTGTTCGGCAACACCGATATCGAGTCCACTACACAACTCTGTTACCACTACGAATACTACTCTGACAGAGATATTGCTGTTGCGTTACTACTACAATTACTACTGCCAGCAGTAATATATATCACCAACACACTAACGGCACCGTATCGGTAAACGCACTGCAAACTCCACAAACGAATTCCCCTTACGATTTTACACGGCTCCACGATTCTCGGCCTGACGTCATTGGCGCCTAATCCCGACGTATTTCGCGTACCATTTCATCACGTACTGTCGAACGGGCACCTCATGCCTCTCTTCGTTTCTTTCTTTCTTCAATGAAATACAATACAATGTAACGTATTACAACAAGATTTCGAACAGTCTCGATTCGAATATATCACTTTTATCACCGTAAATCTTCGGTAGCGTGAACGTGTCGCGTATCGAGCGTTCGATCCGCGCCGTTCGCTCGGCACAGACTCAAACCGCTTTCAACCGCGTCTACTCCGTTATTGCTCATCACTCTTCCTACAACATAATTCCCGTTCGACGCCACTATGTACAACGCACAGTTTACACACGTTTCTCTCTATTCATCACCACTCTTCCTATATTTATATATCAACGAGCTTGTTTCTTTTTTTTTTTCCCTACCAAAAGAAAATGGTTGGTAGTTGTGGTTGCTTATGTCGCGGAACGGGCGCGCGCTCTCCTACCGGGTCTTCAACAAGTGATCGCAGCAGCAGTAACAGAAGAAGCGGCGGCGGCGACGACGAATCGGTAGCTCGTCGTTCCAGGGTCGTTCGTCGGCGTATAGGTGGCACAGCACGCGCATGCTACACGTCCTGACGGCGTTGTTATTGTTGCGTAACTGGCAGCCCGCTAAGCCGAGTGTGCCTGCTCTGCTGCTGCTGCTGCTGCTGCTGCTGCCAGCAGCCGAAGATAGAGAGAGAGAAAGAGAGAGAGAGCGAGGTAACCAGCAGCCGTGGGTGAGCCAGTGGGCGAGTATCTCCTACGAGAGAGCAGTGAGCGTGCGAGCAGTGCGCCGTCTGGCGTGGCTGACGACAGTCTACTGCCTTCCGAGAACCACGAGGCGATTCCGTGTATCGAACGCGCACTGCCAACCCACCGAAGGGATGGACGCGGACCATCAGAGTGGGGGATCCTTTTCGGACGAGAGGGGAGGGTCCCGACGGCTGAGACAACGTAAAGGTTCATCCACAATCTGAACAATCTACTGTTACGCTGTTCAATTGTAACGGGTTCAACGTTTTTAACATCCATATGGATTCCTGGCACTTGTAATTGAAATATACAATGATAGGCTGAATACCAGAATATTTATGTTTACAAAGGGATCTTCGCATGAACGCCCAACGTAGGCTTCTTTTAGCTAAAGGTAAGTGTAAGGAGAGTAGCCTCCCACTACCTGCCGTTGATCTTGGGAGAGCCCTGCGAGCCAGGTAGAGTGTATTGTTTCAGTTGCCATAAACTCACGTCACTCGTGACGCGCTTATCTGTGTACCTGTTTCATCATAACTCACAGTATGATAGGTTTTTCTTTTTTTAATGTACATCAAGTAGAAAGTACGTGTGGACGGACATTAATACTGTTCGGTATGAGAAAGTCTGGCGAAGAAGCGATACTTGACTACAGAACTATGTAGAATCCTCAGGGACGCACTCAGTTTCACGCTCTTTGATCCGTGCTTCATATTCGTAGATAATAAGCCTATTAACCGTGGCCTTGCGCCGTTGCAGTAATATATAAATGAAAAATCGAGAAAATACCTTGACTCCGCACCGTTGCTTCGTCTCGCGTCACGCGTGTTCTCCGAGGTGATTTATTTCATGGATATTGTCTCGGCGTCATCGTATGAACTATGAATGAGCCGTATAACGAGTTTGTTGATTTTTGCAGTTTCATTTTACATCCTTAGCAATCGTAATTGATTTTTTCGTTTGCAAATAAACGACGTGTTCGAACTTCGAATGTTACCAATGAATTTTTACTATAAACGTACGTTATTTTAACACGTTAATTGGTACCGCTCTAACGAAGCATTGCATGCAATTGTTACACCCTTAATACGATTATTAGTTAATGTACTATCATTATCGTGGCTTATCATTGAAGGATAATCAAACATAGGTATGATTAACAGTTATGCCACGTAAACCATAGGCATACTCTCAGTTATGCACCTTAATCGATCGTATCTGATATCTAATACCGCACGGTGTACGTAGTTATTCCATGGTCAATTAACTTCAGGGAAAGATTCCAAACGCAACAAGTTACTTCATTTTATTCATTGATTTCTCAATCAGGTTTATGAATCGATTCAACGATTTTGCATTTCCTTCTTGGAAGTATTGAAATTTAAGATACCATATAAGATGAATTCTTTATCATCGTATGAAACGGTACCATTTTTCCAGGAACAAGCATCAATGCACTTTTCTCAATTTACCTATCTAGCGTTAAGCCAGTTGGAAGAATGACAGTGAAACCTTTCTATTTCTTATTCACTTTCACGGTTAAGGCATTTTCCTTCGTTCGTCCCTACCGAAGAACGACGGCTGTAGAGGTCATTTCCCTGAAAGCCGTCCTTCCGGGACTGGCAGACGTATGTATCTACCAGATAGCAGGCGTCTCCCTAACACGAGCCTTGAACGATGAAACATCGTTGGGGCAACACCTAGAATACTGCCCTTGGCTTTTGCCGATCCGAAATAGATAAGGAAGATTATCAGAAGGGATTCCTGTTTGCCCGCCATTCCCCTGCTATCAATGTTTATAACGGAACGTGCACCCAGGCGCCAAGCCAACAGTGATAAATACCGCGGCCGATTTTTCACTTTTTCCTTCGTATCTTCCATGATAAGTGTAATTCTAGCCACGGATGCTCCAATTTTCAGTTGAAATTTATGGCAACAATAAAATTCTAAGAACAGCGGGAATGCCGCGAATGTCTTATCATTAGGTCAGCCGAGAGTAGGTCAGAATTTGTCGAGTATTCTCTCGAGGTGCTCTACCGAGATCTTCGTAAAAGGGTGTTACGTATTCGGTACGCGAATGCACGATTCGAAATCGAAATTTTTACTAGCAATAACAGGGTCGATTTTACAAAAGCCGAGCTAAATGAAATTATTGAAATTATCGAGAAGTTTAGATAGAAAGTTTCTTCTCTAGCAAGGAAACGGAGAGAAGACGAAGAAAAGCGTCGACCGTTGATCGCCGGAGTCAACATAGCCAACCAGTCAGGCCAGAAGGTTCCAGCTTGTGCCCGATCGGAGTTGTAAAGGAGCCCGACTGTTGTTCTCCTGAGACGTTAGGACATTCCACGAAATGCTCTGCTGTTCTACTCCTCCCTGTACTTTTCCCCTCTTTACCACTTCTTCTTCGACCGACGGTTTCCTCTCGTTCCCTGATCATCGCAAGCCCCATAAGGAGGACGCCCCGAGCGTAGCGATGGGACTAATCCGCCATAGAAAACCAGTTGACAAATTTTTCCCCACCAGAGTGATGTAACAGGGTTGTAAATGATAGCCTCGAAAAATAGCGCCGATTGATCTTGAGAATCGTATACGGGCCCGTCGTATTGAGCGTGACATCTTATGACGCCATCCGTGCCGCGAGCTTCACCGTTCACGTTGTCACGTGACTCCTCCAAGCTGTTGCGTAAGAACGTACCTTTACTTGCCATCGACGATTAGTGGAATTCCCTCTCGCCTCGACCACTTACGTAAGGATCTATCAAAATTTCGCGATTATCGATGCTGCTCTATTTACCTGTTACGTTGACGAACTCCAGCGATCGATCACCTATCCTACTCGAGAGAGGACCTTGAAGCTGAAAACCGCAGGTG